TTCCGCATCTGCGGTGCCTGGCCCGGCTTGAGTGGCCTTGGTAATCAGATAGGCACCATAGTACCTGCTTACTAGCGATTGTATGTATAGCATCAGCAGGTTCCCCTGCATGAAAGTTGCGGGAAAGTCCATTACCATCTGCCAGATCTCGAGAGCGCGGGATTCCTTGTTGTCATAGCTGATGAAGAGGTCTGCCAAAGACACCTGCAGAGCAAAGGCTACCACTGAGTTGCGCTGTTTCTTCGCTACCTCGATTGCTGTCCCGTAGGCATATTCTAGCCATTCGAGCTGATCTGTTGATTTGGCTGCAAACGCGATAGCCTGGTAGAAGTCACTGCTCCAGACCAATCTTGAATTCTCCGAGAGACACTCTGTCAAGCGGGTGGCGCCATTGTCGCCGGATGCAGTGTCTAACCCTTTCAGGTGCTGTATGATCTTCTCGTTTGCTTCAGGGGTATTCTCCTCTGCAAGGAGTTGAATGTATTTAGAGAGGAACTTGCCCTCTGTGGTAACATGAAGAGCCTTTTCCAAATAAACTAAAGCACTCGCTCTATCTCCGAGTGACAGAAGTTCTTCGCCTATAGACTGGTAGGTGTCTGCAAGATCATCTCCCTCAACATCATGAGGGAGCTTATCACGCTTCTCGGGGTTTCCGAAAGCCGTCTCCAAAATTTCAATATTCTCTTTGTAGAGCTCGAGAGACTTCTCATGTTGCCCACTGAGGCTGTACAGATATGCTAGACCGCTCCTAGCGAGCCACATCTGATCGTCCAGTTCTAATGCCGCTTCAAAGTAAGCCTGGGCTTCCTCATAGTGTGCCGTGTCCCTCAGGCAAACGGCAACTCGCCGGTTCCATTCTGCTGTCTTTGGAAGTTTGGCCCATTCTGCCGAATCAAGCACAATGGAAGCAGCAGGGGCATCAGGGAATTCTTCATCTAGCTTGCCTTCAAGCAGGCATCTGATCCGATGTATGATTAACATGCATGTACGTGCGTCCCATCGGTAGCCTTGGAGCCATTTGTTCGCAATGCACTCCGCAGCTGGAACGAGCAGCCTCGCGGGCTCCTGGATACTGCTCAGCACCCAATTGCGCATGTCCAACGGCAAAGAGTCCACAAACAGCTTATCATCTAGAAGCTTAGCGATTGGGTCCAAGGTATCCAAGGACCAGAAGTCATCTGCATCCCGTAAGCTAATCCAAGCCTCCAATACTGATTCGTCACGAAGTGTTTTTAGCAAGAGGCTTCTAATTTCCTGCAGATCAGACCCCCCGATTCGATGTATGTGAGGAATGACAGCCTTAACATGACTATGCCACCAGACAAGTGCATAATTCCGGAGGTGCGGACATTCGGTTGAGTTACAAACCAACTGTAGACACGCCTTCAGCGTCGAGATTCTAGACTCAACAATATCAACCCCAATTGCCACGAATTCGGGACCTGCAGAGCGTTTGTTCTCGTTTTCATCACGAAAGAAATCACCAATGGAGGCATGACAGAACATGACTTCTGTGGTTTCCGGGTTGGAACTGAAATCATTTTCAAGCTTGAAGTCCTCCACATCTTCATCATGATCATCGTCGATCTGAAGAGGGGATAAATCTACTTCCGCCTGCAAGTCGGATGTTGTCAGGCCATCATCTCGCACGAGCGCCAAGAAGGATGCAAATTGCAACCTGAGCAGGCTTTCGATGTCAAGGATATCGTCTTGGTCAGAGGAACCTAGGGTCAGCGTGGCTTCGATCTCTCGAAGAGAAAGAGGACGCGAAGCACACGCAACCCATCCCAATATGGTATTCAGTTCTTCGGGGTCATCGCCCTTCAAGTAAGCGCTGAGGCCTTCCAGTGTACGTCTCATGGCCTCATATAGACCTTTTGGCGGTCGTTGCAAGCACTCTCTAATACTGCTCGCGCGATTATGTCGTCCCAATTCTTGTGTCATTAGATCAACCCAAAGAAACATTCCCTGTGCGTGCTTCACAAGGAATTCCGTAACTTCTTTCCGCAGGCTTGAAGGCGCACGAGCGATGTTCCTGGACCTCCTCACAGAATGCTCTACATAGCGAGCGATATCATCATCATTCTTGGATCGATCTATGGAAATGGATGATACAGACTCATGAAACGCATCGGCTACATCGGCCGAAAGGTGAGGTCGTCCCAGCATAACAAATTGTACCCTGGATTTGCCTGCACATAAGTAGTCCCAACTTAGCATTCCGAAGGGTAGACGGCAGGGAAATTCTATACTTACTCTCGGATTCCTCAGCTGTGAGCTCAAGCAGAAACTCCAAGAGACTCTGCCGATCAGCCTCCATACATTCGTCCAGACCGTCTAGAACAATATAGGCACGCCGGTTACCTGCATCGCCTTCAATGAAGTAGTCCCGGAACAGGGTCATCCATGCGCTCTGAAGACTGCTTATATCACCAGGTGCCCTGCAACGAGCCGCAACGTGCCCGGCATATACGGAATCATTGAGGCAGATTTGATATGCCACATCCCGTAACGCCTGGTGCAATCCTCTCGTTTGTGGGTTGTTGTCCTTGAAAAAGTAGTAGCCAACAGAGATTTCTGAACCTTGGTCGACGCCTTGGGGAAATCTTGTCTTCAGGTTCGAAATAATGTATTCTGCGAGAAAGCTCTTGCCAGAACCGGGTGGCCCATTAATCCAGAGTAGGGGTTGCTCCTGATTCAGCCATGACCGAAATCCCACCTCTGCCTCAATCCATTCTCCAGTACCAGACAGCCGTTTTCTTGCGAAGGTGTAATACATGTCTGAAGGAGCCAGTGACGGCTGTAGGAGTGTCCTCAGGTAATCAGAATCACCATTGGCCTTCGCACCTGACCCTATGAATGAACCCAACAGGCTACTAATGTCCCGATGCACCTCCTGGCGAAGATCATTCTGACCTTCCACGAGACGTTGGAGATCCGCCTGAGCCTGAGCTAACCTACCATGGTTATCTTCTAGTACAAGACTAGCTCCATTAAGCACAGCAGACAGATTCTCAACAGCCACGTTGGCCTTCTTAGTCTCACTCAGGGTCTCTGCTCCAACTAGTTGATGTTCTGTTTGACAGAGCCTGTCCAACTTGGCGACCAACCCCTGCAAGGTCTTGTCAGAGCCGAGCAGAGCATTTTTGGTAAATTGGATGATTCGGCCTCTCAACCCAGCCCGGACTAGCTTAGTCGCTTGACCAAAGATTTCAAGTAAGGTAACTAGGATATCAACAACCTTTGCTTGAAGTGCATCAGACATGCGACTACCGTCGTAGATGGCGAGGCGGACAAGGAAGTCCTAAATTTCCAAGAGGGGTCAGACCACGATGCCTCTCAGTATGTCTGATAGAATACAGATAAGCTTGCCTTTAAGGTGAAAAATAGTTCTATGACTGCATTATAAGATGCGGACACATCTTTCGCAGCATCAATAAGATATGTGATGGCGCTGAAGCACACGCTACTGGCTGGAAAGGCGTTAGAGGCAATGCTTGCAGCCATAGACCCAAAGCGTTCAATTGGATTGCATATGCATGTCAGAATGTTGAAAAGCGAGCGCTTGTTCTCTCTAAACTGGCTAAAATGACCATTCTGGCTATCCAGCCGATTGAGCAACTCTTCCACTGAAGAGGGGTGGGGTAGTGAGGGATCATCGAGTTGTCTGCCCACAGCCGCTGTATATCTTTTCAACGCCAAGTCCCAGGTCACTGCGAACTGGGAGTGGCTTTCGTGGGTGATAGTCATCTTTTTCTAGGCTGCTAGCTGAGATTCAAGAAGACAGAAGATGATGATGGCTGCAAGGAGGAACTAGTCCGGTCTTGTTCAGGCCCCGCCGCCCAGAAGAAAGTAAGCGATGCCATACGAGCTATTAACCAAAACAGACAGGGTTAGCGGAAGAAAGCGAAGTCCGCACTGCACAGGTAGCATACAGTAGGTATTAGAATTCACATTATACCCCAATGTTCTGCAGGAGGCTCTGCATTGCGGATTGGTCGTCATAGGCTAAGCTGGTTTGCCAGCAACCTGCAGGCTGCATACCAGATCAATTATGGAACCTCTGTCATAGTCTATCAAACAGAGAAATGAGTATCACCCGAAATCACTACGCTAACTAACGCCTTGCACCCGTCTATAGTCAAATGGTAGGCCTGTAGAGGATAGGTTCAGGATTCAGGGAGCAGCCAGGCGGGATCCGGCTCGTCATCTTCATCATCAGAGCGAGACACAGCACCATGAGGGTGCTCCTCAGTATCCTCGAGAAACTCAGCTGGAGGCTCAGGGTTGTCAACACCAAGGGGATCTCCATGTGCGTCATGATCCTCGTGAGTGTGAATACCGTTCGAAGTTCTTTTGTCGGCCGACGGGGAAATGTCTGTTTCAGCCACATTGAAAATATTCAACAGCAGTTGCCGCGCTTCTCGCAACGCTTGCAGCTCCGCCGAGATGCAACAAACCAGCAATTTCCAGTCTTTATTCTCTGCAACCTCTAGATGATTTTCTACGCGCTCTGTGGTATGCGTCAGGTCCTCCAATACTGTCCGAGCGAGATCCTCTTCCGACTTGCTACCAGAAGGGCCATCGTGGTTCAGTAGTTGTGATTGAGATTGGATAGAAAGACGCATTGCTGACTTGAGTCGCTTTTCAAATCCAGAAACCTCTCCGATCACTTGCTTCCAGACACCACCTCCAGCTTCGAGGGCCTCAATTTCGGCATCCACTTCCCGTTGTCTTTCTCGCAAATCCGATTGTTCCTTTTGCCAGTGTTCCTCTGCCATCTCAAGGGTTCGCCGGTTAGGGTTCAAGGAATAAAAGGTTGCGTCTTTGGAGCTGCTATCTTGAGGTTTCACGGGCGGATTCTGGAGGTACTTTCGGACGTTCGAGTCTAGGAGCGATATGGAAGCTCTGTAAGAAGAAAGTTTCGATTCAATAGAGTTTTCCATTTGGGACAATTCGCGAAGAATGTGTTGATGTCTTGCTTTCATTTGGGACAACCTAGTCTCCATCTCATGTATATCCTCCTCAAGCTTGCGACTTTCCTGGCGCAAGGCAACGGTGTGCTGGCTTTCCCGGTTATCCTGAATAGTCGAAATGGCATCTTCTAGCCCAGCGCGATGGATATTGAAGCCATTGATATCTGCCAACGCCTGTGTCCTTTCATCAATCCGGAAGGTTAGTATCTCTCGCTCTTCCTCGCGAAGCCTCAAGAGGTCGTATATAGATCTGAATATCCCCTTTCTGGCAGCAGACAACCCGATTTTCTCTGGAGCCGGTTGGCGGATTGGTATAGTTGGAGGACGCTGCGAACTGCTTGTGTCCGAGGTCGGTGTATAAGTTCCGTCGGAGATGGCGCCATTCTGCGGGGATCCGTTAAGAGTAGCCAGAAGTCCTTCACTCTGAGCATCGATTAATATCTGTAAATTACGCTGAATCTGTCTGGCCTGGCGGTCAATGTAGACGATAGGGTCCTGATGAAGGGAAGAGGTCCCGATAGGCAGGGCCGGCAGGTGTTTGTCTCCAGCTTGCGGAAGAATCGACGACATTTGGAAGGGGAACTGGATCGCAGGGAATCAAATTACCAATACATGAGAATCCCCTCCTTATGGATATTAAAATGAAACAAAACCGACAGCTCAGAACCCAAGTGACGGTGAAGTCTTGGACCAGATCACGAGTGTTTGTGCAACTGCCCTGTCCGGTCCCATGCCATCATAGGTCACGTGCCATCTCTAGGGGTTTCTGCAGGAACCACGGGAACCTTTCGACAGCTTCCATTGACGTGTGTCTCGCTGCTCTAGAGGAAGCTTCCTAATCACTCCGAGCTCATCTCTTCCATCATCTGTTATTTTGTTGCCTTGACTCCTTCATCGCCCTTTTTCTGTATATTTCGTTCTTTGAGGTGCTTAGATCTCCAATAAACACCCCATCCATTCACCCACGCCCTACCCTCAATCTCACAGCTCCGTCGAAGCTGTCGCCTCACTCCCCTCGCGACAGCACACCCGTCCTCCCACAGCGATGGTTGGACTCGCTTCGGCCGCTGGCCTCGTCGGCTTTCTCTCAGAGCCGGATCCTGAGTTGAGAGTCTTTGCTCTGAAGACGCTGGACTCACAAATCGACCTGCTCTGGACGGAAGTCGTGGATGCTGTTCCTCAAATGTTCGTACTGGCCCTTGTCTCTCCATCTGCCTCATACCTTCATCATAAATACCCCATCCTGTCGACCGGCCACAGGCTGCATCGATGCTGACATTTTGCGATTCAGAGAAGCTCTTTACGAAGATGAATCGTTCCCCGAGCGCGAGCTCGCCGCCCTGGTCGCCGCAAAGGTGTACTACCACCTTCAAGAATACAATGAGAGTATGGTATTTGCTCTGGGAGCTGGGAAGCTCTTCCAGTTGGATAGCGGTGGCGAGTTTGAGGAAACCATTATCGGTAAGAACAGCCGTTCCCCAGGCATTTGCTCACCCAGAGTGTCATCTTACCGGGATATACAGCGAAATGCGTCGATACCTTCGTCTCGCTCTCGGCGGCACAGCGGCCCGTCGCGGGTGACCACCAAGCCAATCTGAACACCTCTTTCCCCACCTCTGGCGAAGGCGCCACAAGTACTTCTGCCAGTTTGACATCCCCGATCACACCTTTCTCGCAATCAGCCTTGCCATCCAAGTCGCTCTTGTCTAGGCAAGAGGTGCCCGGAGTGGATGCTGCTTACCCAGGGGGTGAAGATGCGGGTGTGAACCATGCCGAAGAAACCCCTCTAGTCCTGAAGCGTGGTGTTCAGGGCCACCTTCAAACCGTTATCGATCGTCTGTTCGAGCAGTGCTTCGTCCAGAAGCGCTACCGTCAAGTCATTGGAATCGCTATTGAAGCAAAGAACCTCGATGTGCTTAGAAAGACGATCCTCCGGGCCAGCGAGGATGAGAAGAAACAGAACGGAGAGTCGCGACGCAGTGAGGAACTCATGGAGTACGTGCTCGATATCTGCATGGGAATCGTGCAGGAACGCGGTTTCCGCAACGAGGTATATAATTCATTAAGATGATGGCAAAACACCCAGAGCTAACCCTTGCTTTGAAGATCCTCAAACTCATCCTCGAACTCCTCAACGAGATCCCGGCCCCCGATTACTTCTCCATCGCCAAGTGTGTTGTATATCTCAACGAACATTCCATGGCGTCGGTCATCCTCCGTCAACTAGTTGAGAAGGGAGACGCTCGTTCGCTCGCTGTCGCCTACCAAATCTCTTTCGATCTCTACGATAACAGTACGCAAGAATTCCTGCAGAAGGTTCGCCAGGAAATTTCGGAGCTCGTGCCGGAGAATGATGAGTCCGAACAGGAGGCAGCAGGTGGGGACCAAGAAGAGTCGAAGGAATCCGATCCTTTGCTGGACAGCCAGTCTAGGTCTATTGGGGATTCGCGCACGAAGATCTCACCCGAAGCACGCACGGCCTTCAAGAGCATTCGTGATATTCTCGATGGCGTCAAGACCAACCAGTTGAACGTGGAATTCTTATTCCGCAACAACAAGGCCGATATTGCCATCATGAACAAGCTCCGCGATAGCCTAGAAGCTCGTAACTCTATCTTCCACTCTGCGGTTTCGCTTTCGAATGGTTTCATGCATGCCGGTACAGCGCACGACAAGTTCTTCCGGGATAACCTTGACTGGTTGAGCAAGGCTGTCAACTGGTCCAAGTTCACGGCTACAGCTGCTCTTGGTGTTATCCACAGGGGCAATTTGAGCCAAGGACAAAAGCTCCTGCAGCCTTACCTGCCCAAGGAACGCTCTATCACCAATGTGGCAGCGGGCGGACACAGCGGAGCCAGCTCGATTTACAGTCAGGGAGGATCTTTGTACGCTTATGGTCTGATCTTCGCCAATCATGGTGGTATGGCCGTTCCTGTGATCCGGGATTACTTCAAGAAGGCTACAGATGAGGTCATCCAGCATGGTGGAGCTCTGGGTCTTGGTGTTGCAGGCATGGCTAGTGGCGATGAGGGGCTTTATGAGGACCTTCGCAATGTGTTGTACACCGACTCGGCTATCAACGGTGAGGCTGTCGGTCTTGCCATGGGTCTTATCATGTTGGGTACAGGTAATATGAAGGTCCTCGAGGATATGATTCAGTATGCCCATGACACTCAACACGAGAAGATCGTTCGGGGTTTGGCTATGGGCATGGCCTTGATCATGTACGGTCGTCAGGAAGCTGCTGATGAGCTGATTAACGGCCTTCTGGGCGACCCTGATCCTGCTCTCCGCTACGGTGGTATCATGACTATCGCCCTTGCCTACTGTGGTAGCAGCAGCAACAAGGCTGTGCGTAAGCTCCTTCATGTTGCTGTCAGCGATGTGAACGATGATGTTCGACGAATTGCTGTTCTGAGCTTGGGATTCATTCTGTTCAGGAAGCATCAGAGTGTACCTCGTATGGTTGAGCTACTGTCTGAGTCTTACAACCCTCATGTTCGTTATGGTGCGGCAATGGCACTGGGTATCTCTTGCGCCGGAACTGGTCTGGATGAGGCCATTGACCTGCTCGAGCCGATGCTCAAGGATTCAACGGACTTCGTGAGACAGGGAGCGCTGATCTCGTTGGCCATGGTCCTTGTGCAACAGAACGAGGCCATGAACCCCCGTGTCAGCTCTCTCCGCAAGGTCATGATGAAGATGATTGGCGATAGACACGAGGATGCAATGGCCAAGTTCGGCTGCGCTGTTGCCCTTGGTATCATCGACGCCGGTGGTCGTAACTGCACCATCAGCCTCCAGACGCAAACCGGCAACCTGAACATGCCCGGTATCGTTGGCGCTGCCGTCTTCGTCCAGTACTGGTACTGGTTCCCTCTCACCCACTTCCTGTCCCTTAGTTTCGCCCCGACCTCCGTCATTGGTGTCGACCAGAAGCTCGAGGTGCCCTACTTCAAATTCCACAGCAACACGCGACCCAGCCTCTTTGACTACCCCCCGGAGCAACAGGTTAAAGCCGAAGAGGCGCCCGAGAAGGTCAAGACAGCCGTCCTTTCGACCACCGCCCAGGCCAAGCGCCGTGCACAGCGTCGGGAGAAGCAGCAAAGGCGCGAGAGCATGGACATTGATCAGACCCCTACGACTCCCAAGGTGTCGGACCAGGCTGACAAGATGGATACGGATGAGACAGCAGTGAAGACGGAAGAAGAGAACAAGGAGGGTGAGAAGGAGGCTGGTGAGGGGCAGAAGAAGAAGGTTGAGCGTGAGAAGGTCGGATATGAGCTCGAAAACATGTCTCGGGTTCTTCCCGCCCAGCTCAAGTACCTCACATTCCCTGACCCCCGGTATGAGCCGGTCAAGCGGGTACGTTTCCCTTCCCAATTATTTCTGTGTTATATTGCGATGAATGCCATGCTAACTCGAATCCAGCCTACCGGTGGAGTTGTGGTCGTACTTGACAAGACCCCCGAGGAGCCCCGCGAGACGATCGAGATGACGGCCAGCAAGGAGACCAGCAGGGAGGCTAGACAGCCTGCACCCGCCGCGGATGTCGCGGAGTCCCTGCAGGACCGACTACAGGCCACCATGGGAGCCGCTGGTCTGCAGACACCTCAGCGTGGAGCTGGGCGCTTCCCCTTTGGTGCGGATCTGGGCCCGTTTGCGGGCGCTGCCGCTGCTGCCGGTGTACTGACGGCTGTGGATGAGGACGAGGAAGGCGGCGAGGAGGCGCCGGTGCCGAATGAGTTTGAATATGAAACCGAGCCAGAAGACGAGTAGAGTAGACCATGAGATCTACGAACCTGCTCGTTGTAATACTAGGATAATTATGGATTGATGTCTTATTCTATCTCTGCAAGCGGCACCAGCTGCGTAACGTTTTGAAGCATTTACTATTTTACATGTGCCTTATATTATTCGTGGATAAAATCTTCGGAATAGAAGTGAGGAGTGATGACAATCATTGAATCCTGTCTCGGCTGTCTGCATGTAGTTTAATGGTCTTGAAATCCCCGAGTGGACTGCTCGTAATTTTTGAGTAGCGTAGCTCATGTTACACATGAAGCCAAACCCACAGCTGGCATATCAGACACTTTATATAGTGCAGTTTCTGTAGTGACACCAGCCTGGCACTCTATGAACACGACACGGAGTTCGGAACCTCTCAGGCCCAGCTGAGGTACTAGACAACATATTCAACGAATCACTCTTTCGACAAATAATAGTCTAGGACTAACAACTATAGCCATTAATCAGTTATGTGGAGACAAAATCTAAGTAACAACATGGTAGGTAGTTCCCCGAGGACCCTCCCACCCCATCCCTCATGTCAGATTCATTCAGACATACCCCATGAAACCCATCCGTCCCATCCATCCAGCTGATCCTGATTTCTGATACATAACTTCCTTCACATGCTTACCCTGCCTGACTCCCGGCAGCCGAACCACGCAGCGCCAGCCAGCCAGCCCCATGACATAAAACACAACCTTGAAGGAACTGATTACTTGGGCAGCAGGCGGCTGCCTCGGCACTTACTGCATTCGGTCAGTGCAGGTGCACGTGCCAGAGTGCCCGAGGTGTCTGATCGACCAATCAGTGCCACTAGAAAGGAGGACCATCATCCGGAGTGGCCGAGGCGGGAGTGGCCCACGTGAGTGTGCGGTTCCCAGTTCTTTTCTGCTTAATGAGGTAATGATGTATGCTGGCTGGTGGATGGTTGGTAGACATGTGAAAGTAGAATGGATAGTCATCTTCACAGTTCATTGTGTTGGAATGAGTACACTCTGGACAACTCTGAGTACGGGATATCTTGTCTGTCGATCATCGGACTCTTGTGCTGTGCTCTGTTACCTCTCTGATGAATTTACTCCGAGGGAGTGACTATCATTGATTTAGTTACTCGGTGGGTTCAATACTACTTCAGGTGTGTTATTGTGGGCCGGTCGTTCATGATAGTAACTCCGTTCAACTAGACTACATCTTTCGCCTTGTCCGAAGGCACGGGGATCCACTCTGCTCCCTTCTTCTGCCGGGGCCCCGTAATATCCATCAGAAGGTTGCTTTCGTGTCCTATCTTACTCGTTATTCATATCCTAGGTTAAATTGTCTGGAGTGATCATCGTCATTTAATTCTTTGGCTTGTGGCGTGGCGGGGAAAGCTCCGTGACTTTTGGTTTGGCTCGGGTACTGCTGAGCTCTGATTTCTCTGCTTTTGGGTTCTTGACTTTATATAACAGTCGGATACTTTGGGTTCCCCTTACTTTTCTTTTCCCTCTCTCTCTCTTTCTTCACACTTCTTTACTACTACTTTTGGTTTTGCTGGCTTGGTCCGTCCCCAGTCATCCCTACTATACCCTCCTCCCCCCATCCCGGATCTGGCTCCATACCCACTCTCTCCTCTATTTAATACCAATCATGGCCAAGACTTTCACAAAAGGCGACGTAGCGTCGCACAACAAGGCCGATAACCTTTGGGTGGTTATCGATGATGATGTTTACGATTTGACCAAGTTTCAAGATGAACATCCAGGTGCGTGCTTGACTCCTGCGAAAGAGGCCCTGTAATGCAATCATATGCTGACATCAATTTGCGACAAAATAGGCGGAAAGAAGAGTATGCCATAATCCTCCTATGTATCAGAATCTCGCGTCTAACCAGTCGTCCCTCCATCTAGTCCTTCAGCGTGTTGCCGGGAAAGACGCCTCGAAGCAGTTTTGGAAATACCACAACGAGGGGATCCTGAAGAAATACAAGGGAAACCTGCAGATTGGTTCCCTGGATTCCAAGAAAGCCGCAGCTCCCGAACCACCTGCTTCTTCTGCTCCTGCATCACAGCCTTCTAAGCCTTTGGCGGCACCAGTTGACGTTGCTTCGGCGAAGTCGTCCGAGACTCAGGATCCTTTTGGAGAATTGATTCCTTTTGCGGACCCGGCGTGGTACCAAGGTGTAAGTTCATCGTGTGATTGTGAATGTTGGCGGGCGGAGGTGTGGGGAGAGGACACTAGGCTAACTCGCTGGATTTGATGATTAGTACCACTCGCCCTACTTCAACCAGACTCACTCGGCGCTCCGCGAGGAGATCCGCCAGTGGGTTGACTCTGAGATCGAGCCGTATGTGACCGAATGGGACGAGGCAAAGAAGGTCCCCGACCATATCTATAAGCAGATGGGCGAAAGGGGATACCTGGCTGGTCTTCTGGGTATGAAGAAGTACCCTGTCGACTATACTCCGCACCGAGTTCAGTCCGTCGCGCCAGAGAACTGGGACCTGTTCCATGAGATGCTCCTTACTGATGAGTTGTCGCGGGTCGGCAGCGGTGGCCTGGTATGGAACCTCATCGGCGGTTTTGGCATTGGTTGTCCGCCGCTGGTTAAGTTTGGAAAGAAGCCCCTTGTGGACAGGATTCTGCCCGGTATCCTGGCTGGCGACAAGCGCATTTGTCTGGCCATCACCGAGCCGGATGCGGGTAGTGATGTTGCTAACCTAACCTGCGAGGCTAAACTATCGCCCGACGGCAAGCATTACATCGTTAACGGCGAGAAGAAGTGGATCACCAACGGTGTCTGGTCGGATTACTTCACCACTGCGGTGCGCACTGGTGACGCCGGTATGAACGGTGTCAGTGTACTCCTCATTGAGAGGGATATGGGCGGTGTCAGCACCCGACGCATGGACTGCCAGGGTGTCTGGAGCAGTGGTACCACCTATATCACCTTTGAGGATGTCAAGGTTCCAGTTGAGAACCTCATCGGCAAGGAGAACCAAGGATTCAAGGGTGAGCAGCCTAGGCACATCGACTCAATCTCGCAACCCGCTAATAATTACTGCAGTCATCATGACCAACTTCAATCACGAGCGTATTGGCATTGTGATCCAGTGTGTCCGGTTCGCCCGGGTGTGTTATGAAGAGTCGATGAAGTATGCCCACAAGCGCCGCACCTTCGGCAAGAGGCTCATCGACCATCCCGTGATTCGGATGAAGCTGGCGCACATGGCCCGTCAGATCGAGGCAACATACAACTGGCTGGAGAACATCATCTACCAGTGCCAGTCGATGGACGAGACTGAAGCCATGCTCAAGTTGGGTGGCGCCATTGCCGGTCTGAAGGCGCAATCCACCACCACTTTTGAGTTCTGTGCCCGTGAGGCCAGTCAGATCTTTGGTGGTCTCAGTTATAGCCGTGGTGGTCAAGGTGGTAAGATTGAGAGGTTGTACCGTGATGTTCGGGCCTACGCGATCCCTGGTGGAAGCGAGGAAATCATGTTGGATCTCAGCATGCGTCAGAGCTTGCGCGTGCATCAAATGTTTGGACTGAAGCTCTGAGAGCAGCTATATCTGCTATTTCCTTTCATTTTTGAGGGTACATAGATCACTATTGTAGTCGCTTTTTATAGCCACTTTTGCGGGTCGGATGAGAAATTGTATCTCCCATATGGTGTATTTATATGAACAAATATGAACTAGCTTGGTAAAATAAACTCCACCCTTCAGTAAATTGATTGTGTTAGTATCGATATGGGTATTTGCTCGGATGAAAGAAACCATTCAGAAAATGTTCATCAATGGAGCAAACAAGATCATCAAAAAGAGCAAGAGCGATGCCGCCGGGCGCATTCCGGCCCGGCAGGAGGACCAGCCATGCAACACGTCCGCCCGATGGAAGCCATCGATCTTGAACTCCGGCCACCACTTCTCCCCAAAATCAGCTTTTTCATCTCAGCAACCACTTCTTCTTCTCTCCAAGCCAATCCAGCGGCTGTTATGTGCTAGCAGTCTGACTTGGCATATTGTGGGAAAGATCCGCCTCTCTTTTACCTCACCCTTACTCTGCCCCGTTGGGGACTACAACACTACCTATCCTGTCGCGGTCGCGGACTCGGTCTCCCCGAACGAACGGAACCCTCCGCCCAAAACAGCTCCTGGGACCTTACTGCTGGCTGCTTCTGCTCTCTACATAGACTGCCATTTGTTGTCTTGGATTCGCTCACTCCTGTTCTTCATTTTTCGGACAATTCGTTGCCTCTATACACTTCTGTGAGCTGGTATTCGCCACAGCTTCCTTCACAGTGCCGGTTTCGATATTTGTTCGACTCCACTGAGCATCAGAATCGAGCTGAGACAAATCGATATCGCTTGACGGACGACAAATAACGCTGTTCAACACTTGGTCTTTGTCTTCATCTGTGCTTTCCTTGCGAAGCCACCATCCACCCCCCTGCGCCCTCAAACATGTCTCGAAACGTGCTAGACCAAGACTTCGGGTCTGAAGAGGAGGACGACGACTTCAACCCCGCTCCTGCGGATGACTCCGGGGATGAAGATACTAAGGTTTGTTGTGAAAGTGGGTGGCAAAGTGAACTATTTCACTGATACATAATAAAGCAGGCTGCGCGTCGCGCTCCAGACGATGACGACGATGACGATGACGAGGAGGAAGTGAACACTGGGCGGAGTGGAAGGCAACGTGCTGGCAGTGAAGACAACGCCGGAAGGGGCGCTGATGACGATGAGGAGGGCGAGAATGACGACGAAGAGGAGGAAGGGGATGAAGAGGATGAAGACGAAGAGGAAGAGGAGGAGGATGATGACGAGGATGCCAATGCTGTGAGTATAGGTTTTGGTCCTAAGTTTGGAAAGGTCACCGGCTGATCATGGTTTCGTTTGTAGGGACGGCCACGGAAGCGCAGACGCAAAGCCGGTGTGCACTCGTTCTTCGAAGAAGAAGCCGGTGTCGACGAGGATGAGGATGAGGCTGAAGATGACGAGGACGAACTGGCGGAATTCGGTGGAGAGATGCACCCGGATGATATGGACGCCCTGCCTGTCGGTGCTGAAACGGACGACCGCCGACACAGACAGCTTGATCGTCAGCGTGAACTGGCAGCCAGCATGGATGCGGAGAAACAGGCACAGATGCTCAAGGAGCGCTATGGACGGAACCGCGCTGCGGCTACTGACGCAGTGGTTGTTCCAAAGCGACTGCTTCTTCCTAGTGTGGACGACCCTAGCATCTGGGGTGTTCGCTGCAAGGCCGGTAAGGAACGTGAAGTCGTATTCTCAATCCAGAAGCGTATTGAAGAGCGACCTCCGGGATCTCGAAACCCCATTAAGATCATGTCGGCTTTCGAACGTGGGGGTGCTATGGCCGGTTATATCTATGTTGAGGCGCGCAGGCAGGCCGATGTCATGGATGCACTACAGGACATGACCAATGTGTATCCGAGGACGAAGATGATCTTGGTCCCAGTGAGAGAGATGCCCGACCTCCTTCGAGTACAGAAGTCCGAAGAGCTCATGCCTGGTGGCTGGGTTCGTATCAAGCGTGGTAAATACCAGGGCGATCTGGCACAGATTGAGGAAGTCGAAACAAACGGCTTGGCAGTGACAGTGAGACTGATTCCGCGTTTGGATTACGGAATGAACGAAGATATCGGTGCCCCTATTTCCGATCCGAAGAGGAAGCGCCCTGGCATGAACCCAGCAGTGGCACGGCCTCCCCAGCGTGCGTTCAGTGAAGCTGAGGCCAAGAAGAAGCATGCAAAGTACTTGTCTGCCACGTCTGGTTTGGGTGGAAAGTCGTGGAACTATCTCGGCGAGACATATGTGGATGGCTTCTTGATCAAGGACTTGAAGGTTCAACATCTTATCACGAAGAATGTCAACCCTCGACTCGAGGAAGTCACCATGTTTGCTCGCGGCTCCGAGGATGGCACCTCGAACTTGGATCTGGCTTCCTTGGCTGAGACGCTGAAGAATTCTGCTGCTGAAGACTCCTACCTGCCCGGTGACCCGGTGGAAGTGTTCCGAGGTGAACAGCAGGGCTTAATCGGTCGCACAAGTTCTACTCGAGGAGACATCGTGACTCTGCTGGTTACGGAGGGCGATCTGGCTGGGCAGACAATCGATGCGCCTGTCAAGTCCCTTCGCAAGCGCTTCAGAGAGGGTGACCATGTCAAGGTTATTGGCGGCAGCAGATACCAGGATGAGCTGGGTATGGTGGTACAGGTCAAGGACGACACAGTGACATTGCTTAGCGACATGAGCATGCAGGAAATCACAGTCTTCAGCAAAGATCTCCGACTATCTGCTGAGACTGGTGTAGATGGAAAGCTGGGCATGTTCGACGTTCACGACTTGGTGCAATTAGAGTAAGTTCCCTTCTCCGGCTGCCATGGACACTAGGATCTAATTCATGCAGTGCTGCCACCGTTGCTTGTATCGTCAAGGTTGACCGGGAGTCCCTGCGAGTACTGGACCAAAACGGCTCTATCCGGACGATTCTTCCCACACAAGTCGCGAATAAGATCACTCCCCGCAAAGATGCTGTGGCTACGGATCGCAATGGCGCAGAGATTCGCCATGGAGATACGGTTCGCGAGGTCTACGGCGAACAGAGAAACGGCGTGATTATCCACATTCACCGTTCATTCCTGTTCTTGCATAACAAAGCACAAGCCGAGAACTCTGGTATCGTGGTTGTCCGCACCACCAACGTTGTTACCGTCTCAGCCAAGGGCGGCAGATCCACCGGACCTGATCTCACAAAGATGAACCCGGCTTTGATGAGGAACGGTGTGCCTGGTGGTATGATGGGCCCTCCCCAAAAGAGCTTCGGCCGTGACAGAATGATCGGTAAGACTGTCATGGTTCGCAAAGGACCGTTCAAGGGTCTTGTTGGTATCGTCAAGGACTCTACAGATATGCAGGCTCGTGTGGAGCTGCATTCTAAAAACAAGTTGATCTCCATACCCAAGGACATCCTCGTCGTCAAGGACCCTGTCACAGGACAGACGATAGACATGGGTCGTGGCCGGGGAGGACCGCGCGTGCCGCATGGAGGATCTGGAGGGCCTCCCTCTGCCTGGCAAGGCGGCCGTACCCCAATGGGAGCTGGAGATTCGTCCCGGACGCCAGCCTGGGGCGGTCCCTCATCATCAAGAAGTAAGCATCTCCTTCTATGCCAACACTCGGTTCATCATGCTAACCCTTTCTACAGCACCCGCCTGGGCCGGCATGGGCGGTTCCCGCACCCCAGCCTGGAAGCAAGACGGCTCCCGAACCTCCAATCCCTACGATGGCAGCCAAACCGCCTACGGAGGCTTCGGCTCACGTACACCCGCCTGGAATGCCGGAGCCCGCACTCCCTACGTTGGCTCTGGCAACAGTGACTTCGACGCCTTCGCCGCTGGCTCCCGAACCCCCGCATGGGGCTCCTCGAACGCCGGTAACCGCACTCCCGCCTGGGCCGGAGCCAGCGCCAGCAACGGCACCAAGGACCGTGGCTACGATGCTCCAACTCCTGGAGGCTATTCTGCTCCTACCCCCGGCGCCTACGGAAGCGCACCCACCCCTGGTGTTTCCGCACCCACGCCCGGAGCTTGGGCAGATAGTGCCCCGACCCCGGGTGCCTTCAACGCGCCCACCCCCGGCGACGCATCAAAGCGACCCTACGACGCACCTACGCCAGCGGCTTTCGACAACGCTGGCGGTAGTCGTCCATATGATGCTCCCACACCAGCTCTGGGCGGCTCTGCCGCGACACCAGGCGCAGGTGCATACGGAGATGGTGACGATGGCGGTCCGCGATATGAAGAGGGGACACCCAGTCCTTGATTTTGTTCAATCAAGAGAGGACAGAAGCAAAGATTCTGAAATGATTGTGTGAAAATAGACAAAATGCGGGCGTATCATCTTTGTCTTTTACTTGTTTTGTGCTTCATACGTTCTAATCACATCATATCATTTCACATCATATCCGAGAAGCATGGTTGTTTCGTTGGACAGAGATTATCCCTTTATATCGCTGTATTATGTGTATCATCTACTGACTACTACAATCCATCACTTACATATTCCATCTCATCTACATTAACAACCTAGTGAGACGCCACTTACTAACACCCTGAGAGAGAAAGAAAACAAAAAGAAGAAAAGAAAAGAAAATTAAATATGCCACATGAATATATCCTTTCCGCTTGCTTGTTTGCTTGCATTCGTTCCTTCTTGGCTTTTGAGACCTCAAATAGAAATACATAGTATAAAAACATGGCAAAGAAAGAAAAAAGAGGAATTGCATATGAAGACAAGTTCATGCAATCCTCTACAGTTGTTACCGATAAATCACAATCAAAGCAAAGACATTCATCGACCATAGATAGATAAATTGCATGCGATCCGTCGTCCATTTTGTGTATCCGTGTTTATGTGCGAGAAAAGAGATAAAATAGATTCTTCAAGAGATGGAATGAAGAAAGAGGACACAAGATTGTCGTCGCAACCGAGTCGGTTAGGTAGGTAGGAAAGGGGGGGGGGGGGGTTGGACAGAAACAATAAAGGGAAAGAAATAACGTGGAAAGCAAAAGACTATGGCGGTACGGCACGTGCCAGAACACGGACATTGTCCACGAAACCCTTGATGAGTTCTTCATACTGGTTTTTAGGATCCCCCGTCATAGCCATTTGGCCTTGGCGGCGGATTTCGGCGGCGGAAATCTCGACTTCGAGTTCGTGTTCGAACTCGCCTTTGACGGGGGGCTGGAGTGAGGGAAGGGATGTTAGCATGTCATGTTTTTTTTTTTTTATGGGGGCGGGTTGTTGAGGGGTGCACACCTCTGATTTCGCAACCTGAGTTAGATCGATCTGGTATGCTAGATGTCGATAACTCATACGATCCTTGTTCCGGTCTCCGCCACGGCCACCCCTTCCATCGGCGACAGGCAGGTTACTAACATCGCCGTCGTAGCTCATTTCGAGGTTGACGCTGATTCGCCAGTCGACACAGGTACGGGGGCTGTGTACGTCAAGGTCGGCGATGCGGCATTTGACGATCTTTGCGAGGACTTCGCCCGTTCGCTGATCGACGGTTACTCGCACCTTAGGTTTGTGACGCGGATTGAGGTTCTGTCGAATGACTGGCGGAAGCTCGTTGGGGGATACTTCGTAGAATGTATCCCTTTCCTTTTTGTGAGCGTATGAAAGTGGGATGCGGCCTTGATTTGATTGGGGCATGGACATTTTCACGGCTTCGTTCAGGAAATTGTTCATAGCTCGGTGTTGCGCCTTTGCGGAGTTAGATTGATTATCACACATGAACTTGTGAAGGGTTACTTACCACGGTCATCGTGCTTTCAAACGCAGTCCTGAAGCGCGGATTATCCTTGTTCACAACACTCTCGGTCAAGATTGGCAGAACCATCCGCTCCCCACGATCCATGTCGATGAGTTGACCCAGCTTAGCTTCCACCTCGATGATAGGCATTTGACCCGCAGCGGCCGCCCCAGCAGGAGCTGCAATGGCGTCATTTCGGAGCACGACGTGTTGGAAAAGGAAATCAGCGACGATCTTGGTGACCTCCTCGTGCGGGATGAATCCCGTAATAGACGGTTCCCACGGCCCCAAGCTACCGACCTGTGGAGGTTCGGATGGCCGCTGCGGCGTCGAAGGTCCATTCACGGGCGTGGAGTCCCCTTTTACTTTAACTGGTGGAGCGACAGCAGCCACCGCTCCCTGCGCAGAGGACACGGCGCGTTGGCGCACGATCCAGGGGTTTGCCGGCGAGTCTCTTGCGTGTTTGGGAATAGGCGGATGTGGCTTCGGAATTGGTGGGCATCTCCCTTTTGAGCGAGCACACTTTTGGGCGTAGATAGGCAGCTCGTTGAGTCTTCGCCGTTTTCGCTTGGGCTGTTGCGGGCTCGACGTGATGTTCGGGTCTGAAGCCACTCTAGTTTTTTGGACCCACTGGGCAGTTGAATCATCCACGGACGATTCCTTTGTGATGGACATTCTCGACGAGGGCGAACTGTTGATATGTTGCTGATGTGCGGGCGAATGCTGCGTAGTTTGGCCCTCTTTCATGGTGATCCCATTTTCAACGTGTTCTGACTGCGACATAGCTGTCTGGTCGGGACGCGCCGTAGCTGCTTCGGGGCGAGACCCGGGGAGGAAGGTAGTTCTGGGGCTCACACTTTCGTCGGACTCCCTTCTTTCTGAGGTGGAACTGTGTTTGCGCGGAGTCTGGTCAAATGTCCTTGATTCTGCTCGCGACGACCGCGCCGCGGCGGAGGGCGACACGTGCATGGCGGCAGCGGCAGCATCCGGGCCCACCCACGGACTGGAAGCTCGATTGGAGAGAGAATCACGACCTGAAGATTGGGGACGAACAGAAGATTGGGGCGACTGGTGGGCGTAGATAGCAGCAGCAGACCCTCGTGGTGTATTGGGAAGCGATCCTTGTGCCGAAGGGGAGAAATGTTGCGACGGATAAGGTTGTGCAGCACCTGTCGGGGAACTTTCCCTGGCATGGAATGAGTTGGAGGAATGAGAATAGGGGGTTATAACAGACTGGATGGATTGCGACCGTTGTTGAGCGACGGGGGACTGCTGCTGCTGCTGTTGTTGCTGTTGATTGTAAGCGACGGACGCGAAGGAGTCACGCGAGACGGAGGCACCGTAAGGAGGCGGGGTCGGAGCTCGTTGGGATGGCGCGCTCGGGATTATAGCCGGTGAGGGACGATATTGATAAGGTGATTGAAGAGAGCCGTAGGAGGAAGAGCGCTCGGGGGATGCATGGGATCGTTGCGGCGGCGGAGGGCCGGGAAAGGCTGACGGATAGGAGGATGAGGATGGCAGCTGGTCGCGCGGAGGATAGATGGGGTCGGAGGAATCGCGAGGCGCTTGAGATGGCGACGGTTGTGGTTGGGATGGAGCGCTGGAGTTGCCAGCGCTCTCCGTGTTCATGATGGTGCGCAAGTCCATGGTGACAGCTGGCTAGAAAGCGACGACCTGAAGGTGTTGAGTAGCAAGAAAGAGGGAAGCTGCAGACTCCCTTTCACGATCACTCGGGGCAGCTGAACTTCACCAGAAAGCTCGGGAAGGTCACGAGAGACTGGCGAGGAATGACGGCATGAGGCAATCGCCGGTGAGTTGGCGATTTGAGGGGTGGAAGGGCGAAGGAATGAACGAGCCGGGATGGAAGCCGAAGTAGAAGAGGAAGAGGAGAAGGGAAGAATGAGGAAAGCTGAATTGAAGGTCGAGAAGTTCACGTCGCGGGATCGGCACGTCTTCTGGCGTGCAATTGGCGGGTGGCCGATTGGCGGCTCGGAGCTCCCATAGAATGAATGCAGAGGCTGAAGAAGAAAATTTGGAGGGGAAGAAGAGGGATGATGATGATGATGATGATGATGATGAAAGGAAATACAAGAACAGCCAGCTTGGAGTGCAGTGTAGTGAGGATGAGAAATGGTTCTGCTGGCCGCTGTCAGTCAAGAATTGGGGAAGAGACACATCACCGATAAGCAGCAAGTAGTCGTTAAGAAGCATTGAGTGTATAGTAGGAGGTAGTACTACTACTTAGTCCTGCTGCCTTCCGCCTTGATGTTGCACCGCTCTGAGTCCCATTGCGACGCTACCTTTACCTCCACACCCATCTGCATTAAGTTCCTATGCCTTATCAAAAGGATTAGTACACATCAGAATCAACCTGACATCTGGTGCCGCTCTTCTAGGTCCATTATCGTGTTCTTTTATCGTGCCTTGGACTATGTCTCCGCCATTTCGAGCCGGTTCTTGGTTCCGTCCAAATCCGCGATACTGTACGATAAAAAAGAAGGCCGAGGTATCCCAAGTTTATTCATTCATTATTTCTTTCGAGTCAAATCCGCAGCTGCTCATTCCTCCTAGTAACTTATGCTTCATGTTTGTCAATGGTGCAGGTTGTATATAGATTGGCGAGAGTAGTAGCTATAGTATACCCGGCTTCTTCCACTCCACGTTTGATTTATCCACTTGTAAACGAGTATGAAGAAGAGAAAGAAAAGCACAACCCAAGTGCCCCTGGAATACACCTAGGTACTCATTCGACTATACGCTAGTTCGTTTCATTCGTTCACTCATACCATGCCAGTTAACATCCCAAAAGTCTCTTTACAGCGTGAGGGGGATACCGAAGGTGGCAGCAAAATCCAAAGAAAAAGTAACGACAAAAAAGAAAAAAAAGAAAACACATCAACGCGAGACGATGGTGTAGTATAAGATGGAAAACATGTCGTCTAAGGGTGCTTTTCTCCATGGCGCTACAGTGCCACTCCCCATAGTCCACGTCCACCGCAGACCCCGAGCCAGTCGCGCGGATGCCCGGCAGGCGTGGTACCGCCCTGCGGCGACCAGCTAATGTTCGACACTTCGTTGTCGCAGAGCCACACGGCGGCTGGACCTCGCTCACTGGGTGTCGCGGGCGTGCCCGCATTGTGCGGGACGGGAGGCATGGGAGGCACAGGAGCCGCATTGTGCTGGTTGATGAGGTCCCACAGAAGTACGAAGCAGTCGTCCGCACCAGAAGCCAGGACTCCGCGGCGGTTGGGCGACCACTCAACGCAGTTGATGGAGGAGCCGTGGCCCTTCAGTTCAAGAAGAGCCTGTCCAGGCTGCCGGACATCTAGAACCCGGACAATGTTGGAATCTTGCGAGAAAGTGGCAAGAAGGTGGGAATCATGGGGCGATGCTATGACAGTTAGCGTCCAGTGTCAATGGCAACCAGCCAGCTCGACCAGATACATACCAGCGATGCGTAGTAGAGGCGGGGGCCATACGGGCTGGGCTTGCCCAGAAGGACTGCCATTGCCCGGAGTGGGGACTAGTGCATGTACCCGTTAGTGTACTATTCAGGTTCTGGTAAAGAAAGAATTGGCATTACCCTTCTCATGCTTCTCGGTGGGCTCGTAGATGATAGTGCTATGTTCTAGGCTGCGGAGATCGAACATGCGCACACTACCATCAGCACCACAGCTGACAAAGACGTCCACGCTATTCGCACAGAATCGAACATCGTATACCTCTTTGTCATGTGCGATCAGCTGTGTCTTGGCGGTAAGGGTGGGAATATCCCAGATTGTGCAGGTGGTATCGATACTGGAGGTAATGATCAGACTGGGGGAAATTGTATTCCAGTCCAATGAGGTGATTGGAGCGGTATGCTCGGGTGACTTGGAATTTGAGAGCAAAGCCAGCGGCGACAGTTTCGCTGTCGGTGCGTGTTGGCTGGCCGACCGCGTAATGGAGTTGGAACTTGGTACGGGTTGCGCCGTTGGCAGCGACCATAATCGCAGATGATCACCAGATGTGGCCAACAGATCGGTAGACTGTTTCTGAGATGATGGCGGCTCCCAGAGGATCCGTGTTACTGGATACGAATGGGTGGCCTCTGCGGTCTTCACATAGTCGAGTTTAATCTCCCCCGCAGCGGCGTCCGGCGTATCCGGGTCTGGTTGTGTCCAATGAGTATCTATAATTTGTATCTATTCCCCAGATTAGCACAATATGAAGCTGCGAAGATGACCAGGGGGAAGTGGCAGGTATATGCGTACGTAGTTGTGGTTGTCCTCTAGGTAGCTTCCCAAGGCGATTTTGCCCCCGAACGAGCTGGAGCTCCCCGTAATAGGCCATTTACACCAATCCATAGAATATATAGGCCAAGGAGCAATGTAGTTGCTATTGGTAGGTACCGGATTATCCCCGTTGAACGGTGCCATTCCGGAGCTGGTGATTGGGTCACCCAGAAGGTCTCCTGTCGGTCGGATGTCGGCTAGACCCAACGGCGAGTATTTTGTACCCTGGGGAGTATGGGGAGGATATGCAGAGCCTGGAGAGGAGCCTGGCTGTCTGTATTTTGGCTGCTCAAACCCTGCTGGGCTGGATCTAGAATGCCCATGAGAGTTGACCATACTGGCGCGGGCATTCGGCTGCTGCTGTTGGGGCGTTTGCTGTTGTTGCGCAGACGGTGGCTGTTGTCCTGATTGTGATGTTGGCTGCATTGGGGTATTCAGCTCTGGTAGGGTTGGTAGCGCCGAAGGTGCAGTGTTGACTGATACTGCAGGTGGACGGTTGACGTTGCCCGGCTGAAGCGCTCCCGGGAGTACTCCGCTCGCGCCGCTGCTTCCACCACCACCATACTGACCCGGTTGTGACCCCAATGAATGAACGTTGATAGAAGGGACAGGGTTGTCTTGACCAGCGGGGTATTCGTGAGACATCGATTGTCGCTGCAGATTGGGGCCCGCAGATGGAATATGGAGCTCCTCAGGTCGACCGTAGCTTGTCGCCCGCCGAGAGTCGAAAGGCTGCGTAGGATTCGACATGGCAGCAATGGCCGAGCAACCTGAGTCCTCAAGAATGAAAGGCGCAGTCCACCGCACAGCAGTTGGAGCTCAATGAGATTCTCGGATCGGGGTCAGACTCGAAGACGTAGGGCGATAACGAGGGTACGAGGACTATCCGGAGAGGGGGGGATTGGCGCTAGGAGCTCCGACTGCACCAAGGATGTGCTCGATCTGGATCATATCACGGGGGAGGAACGGTTAGGGAGTCAGAGAGACATCCTGGAGCTCGAACGAGGGAAAGGAATGCCTGCAGAAGAGGAGAGGGCCGAAGGGAGGAGCGATGAGGCAGCAAAGCGCCGCCGAGGGGAGTCTCGTGCCGCTGACTCAGCCACTCAGATCGCGGGGAATTCCTGCGCTTCTCCTTCCATCATCCATCAGAGTTGAAAGAAAGGGATCTTGTGTTGCGTTGCAGGACGGCAGATATTTGGCACCGGATCGCTAGGCGGGGATTTACACTCTTCTATCACACCAAAGCGTACATCGTGCGTTGTATAACCCTTTGACTTTATCGTCATCGCTCTGAAACTATACCCTTGCTGTGTTCTTCATTCTCTACTAGGCTCCACCCGTGAGCTCCCCCCTCCTCCCCGCAATATGGCTTCAGATCAACTTTCGGCCCTGCTTCTGCTGCCGCCACCCCCTTCGGCATCATTCAACGAGTTCAAGGCTGCATATGAGCCCGTCCTGTTGGGTGTTTGCACCAAGCTTGTCCGCGAACTCAATGGAGCCAATCACACGGCTATACTAGATATTGCGCTCTCTCTTCCTGGCCTCCTATCCCCCTCATGTCGGCCACGCACTAGGGCATTTTCAAGCCTCCAGTCTCTTCTGGAAAGCATCTATAGGCTTATTGGGATTGTATGTGTTGAGCAAGGCATTGAGCTTGATGGTCCGGGTGGTATTGACCCCCGTGTGATCTTGCTCGATTACGACTCGGTCCAGACTGCCGTCACCAGGGACAATCCGTGTGACGGCCCTATCATTGACTTGCAGACATTGGCGCGGTCTGGACGACTGTGGGATTACATATACTACCCGGATAACCAAGTAGGTCAGGGTCTAGCAACGGCCTTCAGTAGCTTCTATTCTGAGTCCAGGGACCCCAACGGCGGATCCATGAGCGCAATCCCAGATGCACCCAACTGGAAGGCTGCAGAATCCCTTTTGGTGATGGACGATAACCACACATCAACTACGCATTACTCTGTGGCTGTAGGAGGCACTTTCGATCACTTTCACATTGGCCACAAGCTTCTGCTCACAGCTACGGCATTGGTATTGCAGCCTGCTGAAGACGTGGAGGCAGGTAATGTCCGGAAGATCACCGTCGGGGTGACAGGGGAAGGTTTGCTGGCGAAGAAGAAGTATGCTGAATATTTGGAAAGCTGGGACGAGCGATGCATGAGCACTGGGTCATTCCTCTCGGCCATCATGGATTTCCGTCTCCCAGAAACCAGTGCGCCGCGTATTGAACGGGAATCTGGGTCTGGGCCCGATGACAAGTACATTCAGATGCAAATGCGGCCAGATCTAGTCTTCAAGCTGGTACAGATCACAGATCCTTTTGGCCCTACCGTCACCGACAAGGGAATTAGTGCTCTTGTTGTTTCCAAGGAAACTCGTGCAGGTGGGAGCGCGGTCAATGAGGAGCGTGCAAAGAAAGGCTGGGAGAGCCTGGAGGTGTTTGAAGTCGACGTACTACATACAGGCGAAGTTCCCACCGATGATGCCGAGAGCTTCGCGTCGAAGATAAGCAGCACGGATATCAGACGGCGTCGGATGGAGATGGCAACGGAATAAATTAGCGCAGTGAACTGGCAAAGCGTGCGGGCAGCTATGCGAACCAGTCGTCAAGCTCGAGAATCTAGACATTGACAGCTGTCCTGAAACGGCACAGGGCAGGCGTGCAGATATGGGGATGATTGGGCACGATGTGATCCTGTACATACAATGCCGGCATCACCAGCAGCCAGGGACAACAAAGCGAGTCATGCGTTAATCATATTGATTTTTGTGTGTCGCGATGGTGCTTCTTGATGAGGTGACGCGACGAGGAATGAGCTTCAATATTTTCAATGGGGTTTGTAAGATAAACCGTCTCCGCACTAATATGTGGTGGCCTACTCTCATTTTCTTCTCTTCTTTCTCCAACCGCCATTATTATATTTACTCCTTTCCTAATTTCCGGGAGGTTTCTGAATGACCTTATTATTTGAATCTCTCTCTTTGTTTGATGTCCTAAACCTAACCGCAATTTACCCCTGAGAAGGGTTCGGGATGAGTTGTTTTCTTTGTGCAAAGAGACTGGAGCAAGAGAGCAGAGAGAACAGACCACCACCCATCTTATCTCCCCGGCGTTTGGGATTGCGCCCTGGACTCGGGGGCTACTGGCCCAGAGTGTTTTAGGGGCTGATGATCCTTTCCCTCACAGCATCCCCACGCGAGGCTTTTCAATCCGGACCAACGCAATACTATTGTTGGCGATTCCGATCCAGTTCTGCAATCTCGATACCGTGCTGCTAACTAGTCCTGCTACTAGCAACCCCCCGGTTCGATGGAGCAGCTCCATTGCGCTAGGCGACGGAGATGGGGCAGAAGGAGGGAATAAATGCCGTGCGCAACTCGCCAGTCGCAAGCAGGGACGATCTAGGCTTGGGAACGACAGGCCGCCATTGATTCGCGTTCCAGGCGGGGTTCCCTTGCTTGCAGCAACTCAGTGGGCGTCTGTCTGCACGCAACAGACTCTCATGTCGCATCATTTCCCTCCCCTCCCCTCCCCCCCTCCCTCCTGCTGCTTCCCTTATCCCCGGTCCAGCCAGCTGCCGTCGTTCTTCCTACCAATCCTTTCGTCTTTTCTCCTAGATTCCCTCCTGCAGGTTCGCGCTGGATATCCGCATGCTGTTTCGATCATGTGACCCTGTGTGGCAGCTCTCTCAGCCAATATCCAGTCGTCTGATCAACTGGGGGGTCCTCTAATGGTCCTGGCGAAGATATTCGGAGGTGAAACCCCCCCAGTCGACTCGAATGACGGGATTGGGGATTGTCGCGGTGGGACGCTCTAAGTCTTGTCAGACAGGTTCACTTGCTGCAAGCGCTCTACCTGTGGCCCGCCGTCTACTCTGCAGTCGATAGAGAGTGTGCTGGGAGTGTGAGAGGGGATGTATCACTTTCGTCCTTCCTTTCTCCAATTCTTAATTTCTTTTTCTGCTCTCCCTTTTTTTTTTTATTTTTTCTTTTTCGAACTTTTTTGCGCCTCATTTTATTTTTGTGATTATGATCCTTTAAAAACCTCCCGGCTGTCTGCTGTCACTCTTTGCTCATACTCTCTTCGACTCCCTGTCTTTATAATCAGTGTCGTTCCCTTCCTGGTCTCCTCTTTCTTCTTGAACCTCCGACCTGGCGCATCGTTGTTTGCCATACCCTTCTCGTACCTGGACTGGTTTCCATGTTGGTGCGAGTGACCACAGCAGCCGACCACGCGGCTGCTTCGCTGTGCGAAAACCATGGAGAGACCTCGACACATTGAAGACTTGGCAGACGAGTTGATCAGTGATATACTTTCATACCTTCTGGGGTCAGAGTATCTGTCTCCCGAACCCTCCCCGACAAGTCCGCAGGGCTCGTCTCGCGACTCCGACAATGGCACGACTCATGCTTTCGGCGAAAAGTCCGAGTTGGATCGTTTCAGACTTGTCTGCAGAAGATTCAAGCGAATTGGCACACCCCGGAAATTCACCAGTTTTGTACTCCGATTTTCATCCCACGAATTCCGAAGATTGGAGGACCTTCTGAATATGCAGCTAGCCTGTCATGTCAGATATTTCACGTACATGGTGCGACCCTTCTACCAAGGAAGCGGTACCGTCTCTGAAGACCCGCCCGGCATGTTGCGAGCCTGAAGCTGACGATCATATAGGTTGGTCCCACATCCTGGATGGGGTCGATGTAGATAACCTTCCCGTTTCGTCCATCCACCGGCGTCGGCTCGATGACCAAAAATACATACTCGATTCAAACCTTGATCTACGTTTGCTGCGACGCGCGATAGCAGCATTCTCATCTCTACAACAAGTCAAGCTCCTCCGATTGCAAGATGAAGCAGACGAACAATTGCTAGACCACATACGCGAGCGCTCATTGGGAAGAACAACGCGTCTAGATTGGGAACCCGCCTGCACCAGAGCTATCACCAGCTTGAGCATCTCTTTACTCGAATCAAATTGTAACTCGGTGAGATTTGTCGGGCCGCAGATCAGCCCGGAAGCAACCGTGCGATTGCTGCAAGCCCCATCCACCAGTCTTTCCGCACTGGGCGCACGACTGGCGAGCTTAGATGTTACTTTCCACTCCGCAGCCAAGCTATCCACATACATGGAGACGCTGTCCAACGTCTTCCACGACTTCTTCCTGGCTGCCAAGAATCTCACAACCATTCATTTAGGCTTCCCGACCAATGCGCCACTGGACCTCGCGTTAGAGCAAATCTTCCACCACGTCCAGTGGAAGAGACTCCGAACCCTCAGCATCCAAGGCTGGCGCCTCGGCTCGGAAGAAATCATCGCCTTCATCCGTCGGCACAGGCGCCAGCTACGCAACGTCCGATTAGCCAGCGTCTATCTCCGCCCCGGTGGACGATGGCGCGAAGTTCTCACCGTCTTACACGACGAAATGGACCTCCTTGAACGCATAGACCTGCGCGGAATCGATTACACCAGTAACTTCGACGCCAACATCAACACCAATGCCCATCACAACGCTGACGCTGCCGGACCCGGTACCGGCAGTTCTCAAACGCCGACACTTGCTATCGTCGTACAACCCACGCCCGACATGGCCCCGCACAAGGCCTTCCTCAACATGGACTACTACTCGAACAGTGGCCCTCCAGGTAAAACTCGTCGCTCCTTTTCCGAAACCACTCTCGAACAGCTGCGCGGACATACATCCGACGTGTTAGGAGACAACGGAGAGAGCGTAAGCCACGACCAGAGGTTACTGTGGGAGGCATGGGTCTTGTCCAGTCAACGAAGTAATGTCCACCGAAGGGTTTAATGTCATGTCTTTACGAATCTGTTTCATTTTGCATATGTTAAGTTAATTGGTATTCTTGAAGCGATATGGAAATTTAGGCAGTCGTATTTTAGTCATAGGTCGGTTCCTAAGCAAGTAGGCTGTGCATGCATACCGCGCTTGCTCCACAAAAGTCCGAACAAGCAAAAAGAGAAATCGTCAGTACTGTGGGTGGTAGCGTCGTATCTGCAATATCACCGACAGATCTGATGGTAAGTAAAGGCAGACAAAAACAACCAATGCATGATCAAATTCCACGAGCAGGGATTCATCACTGTAGAATTATTAACACAGGGGAAAGGAAAGAATATTGTAAGCACTTAGAATACTATGTGAATTAATAGTAACCATGAATGGACAATATACAAGAAGAAAGAGAGCAGAGAACACAAATAAAAAAAAAAAGAAAGAAATCTATGTATTTAGTAGATATCAACCTTCTTCCTCCTCTTGCGGTAAAAAGGTACTAATGTGGCTGTAGTAAGTGACTAGATAGACAAGATGGATAGAAATGACACAGGATCCCAATGATCAATGCAATAACACATCATCGTTCATCGTTCATCATTATTCTCCTCTCCCTTCCTCTCGCTTTCCTTTCTCCTATCCCCCTTAACCGCGACTGAACTGTACATGTATGTGAGTGATTTAAAATCTCTACGCGCCAGGCGGTGGAGCAACAGCAGTAGCAACATGATCGGCTGCGCCAGCAGGTTTATTGTTGCGTTCCCGGAGCCTCCGACCTTCCATGAGACCGCGGAGACCGCGCTTCTGAAGACCGATGACGCTGCTGAGGTCTCCGGTCCAGATCTCGCGTTCGGGACGGAGTTCTGCGTCGGTGTTGCGGCGGTGGTGGGACGGACGGGTCGGGTCGCCGCCCATTTCGGAGTCGGAGTGGTCGAAGCTGGTGTTGGTGGAGGCTGAGGTGGAAATGCTGGCATTGCTCATGGAGTCCTCGCGGTCCCGGTCTACGCCGGCGTTGCTGCGGTGCCGGCGGCTGAAGATGTTGGTGTTGATGCGGAGGGGGATGCCGCGCGAGCCCATGACGCCGCTGGCGCTGCTGGCAACAGAGAGGGCGGAGGTGCCGTGTTCGGTGTCGGAGGAATCGGAGGTGAGGTGGCTCTGGGAGGTGGTGGTTCCGGTACCGGAGGAGGATTCGTGGCCGGCGTGGGCGCCGTTCAGCGCCTCCAGGGTGCCGCCGGGGCCACTTGTGAAGCCGGTGCCTCGGCCACCGCCGGCGGCCATTGCGGCAGCGTTGAAGACGGCAGCGGCGTTTCTTCCGTCGAGAACTTGGTGGAGGCGTTCGACGGTGGCTTCGAGGAGGCCGTCGACTTGGTAGGGACGGGCGAGTTGGAGAAGGGAGCAAAGGATTTGTGGGGTGCAGAGGGGTGAGCCGGCGGGGGGAAGAGACGAGGTGTAGAAATAGTAGACAAGAACTTGAAGAGTGATGACGGTATGGGGGAGGTAAAGCACACGAGGACGAGAGGTAGGGGAAAGGCTATGCGCAGAGGGTATCTCAAGGTTCGCTAACAAGGACTTTGAGGTGACTGAGCGGTTGCTGACAAGAGTGCTGGAATTGGAATACGTGCTGTTTTGCCCCAGTGACGGGGTGATGGTGATGCTCGAGTTGCGACTGGGATACATGGCAACTGCTGGACGTAGTGTGGCAGTCTCGGCGATCCCGCTATCACAAGACTCGCGTAGAAGCTGGATGAAATAAGGACCCCATCTGCGAGTCAGGATGCGTGAGTTCACCGGGATGCGCTCACCTCCGACTGCCTGCAGCTCCATATCGGCCATTTCAGGCAGAGACTGGGCAAGTCTGCCTAGCTCGTCAGACGCGGAGGTGAACGGCCTTCCGCCGGAGGTCAACTTGGTCAATTTGTGCTGCATGGATGCAGGGACTGCCGGAGAACTGTACGAGATGTATCCCGATGTGGGCGTGGTCCGGCACGCGTTGTTGTAGAGCCCAAACGCTTCCAACTCGACCATACATACGTGGGAGAAGTTGATGCGACGATGGTTGTAGTCCTCAACCAAGCTGCGCTTCCGGTGGCCCAGAATGACAAAAGTGTTTCTTCTTGGCCACAAAATTCCACGGTTCCAGCTGCCATGGCCGAACACAGACCCGCCGGCATCGATCCGACCCCAGGTAAGGGTTCTCAGGTCGAGGGCCCAAAGCGCATATTCTTGCTTCGACGAGGTCAGGTAGGTTCCGCTCACGACAAAATGACCGTTGATGACTCCTCCGTTGGGGAACCTCAAGCCAGGAGGCGACGCCTGGCTCTGCATGGGCTTCTCGATCAGGCGGCCATCTGGGAGGCGCACCTGGAGCTCCAGCTTCACATCCAGGAAGTTGTAATTAGAATAGACCAACATCGGACACCCCTCGACCTGCGACTCTTCCAACGGCTCCTGTGCCTCCCCATCGTCTGCGGCAGACCCAATGTCGGAAACATTCATGCCTACCAAGGGAGCGACCACACTTCGGTAGGCACCGCAGCTTCGCCCCAGGTGAGTGGTACTGGTCCACTTGAGGCTCCGTAGGTTAAACACACTAATCTGTTCGATGTAGTGGTTTGAGCTATCTTGCCCTCCTACGACCACCATCTCCGCTCCTCCAAACCCGTCGATATCCACCCCAATCGATCCCTGGTGCGGATTTGACGAGGCGGGATTGTGATGGATTGCAGAGAGTGGAGCAGTGGCGGAGGTGAAATGGGCGCTCGAAGGCAAAATGGTCGCGCAGTGCGCATAGCGTCCCTGTGGCGAGTCTGTGGCAGGCACACGGGTCCACGTCCGAGATGGTACATCGAAGATATGGATATCAGACATGACCACCACTTCTGGCTGTGCTTCCTGTCCACCTGAGCCATTACTGGCCGGCTCCTTTGATACGTTCAGTGCGGGCGACATGCCGCCATAGCACACCAACTTGTGATCACCCAGAGCGCAGACACTGTGAAAGTACCGCGGGCGGGGGATATCGCCGGTGGTCTCGATCTTCGTCCAGTGACGCCGGATCAAGTCCAGCTCGTATATGTCCGACGTCAATTGCGGGCGACTTTTAGACAGAACACGACCACCGAACACGTAGAGCTTATCGCCCAGGATAGTCGTGGTTGCCCCGACCAACGGATGCGGTTCCCTGCCAGTTGTTCGGCGCACATTGCACACCAGACCTGACAGATTGATGGGACCCGAGTTGGACGGTGGCGCTTGATGTCCAGGTTGAGCGCCTGGCGCAGAGGGATCATCCCTCCCCGCGTCCATGAAGCCCAAGCTCGACTGGCTTCTGGACATCATCTTGGCGGTATATGAATCCTCCACCTAGAAAATTCCACAGAAACCGACTTTCGTCCTTCCACTCGTACTCCCAATCAAACTCTCATATAACCGACTGTGTCTGCGTATCCAAAAAAAGAAAAAGGTTGTTCTCCAAAATCACGCTGTTTCCAACCCTCGACGACTTATCTCTGGTATGGCGCTAAAGGGATCTCGATTCGACAGGGTATCATCACAGCCGTATAGCACGACTAGGCACGGATTTGGACAAGTGAAGCCGCACGGGCACGATAGGAGAGCGAAACGAATGGCTTTGGGGCGATCTTCGACGTCTAAATCGGACCGGGGTAGTGCGACCAGATCAGGGGCGGGCGGAAAAGGCGAAATCCGTCAGAGCACTCGCTGGCTTTCCCCGCCGCTGCCGCAACCTAGACGAGGGGAAGAGGCAAGGAGGTGCACCAAGAGGCTCTTGACTCGAAGAATAAGTTGCTGCAAGGGATGAACCACCGACCACGTCACTGAAGCCCGATCGAGGAAACACGATTGAAGGAAAGGAGAAGGACGGGGGTTGGGAGGTGAAGTGCGGGTTCAAGGCGGTCTCGCTACCTTGTCACTAGACTAGTTGGCGGTTACCCGTTAAACGGTCCAGGCACTACTGGGTCAGATCACGGTGGAGAAAAGTGTCTAAAAGGGAGAGTTTGCAGAATATGCAACCCAACCCTGGGAAAGTCAATTCCTCTGACAGGTCAAACTCAAAAGCGAGGGAGGGTGCGAGCCTGTTTCAGAGTTGAGGTATCAGCAACTTGGAGGGAAGAACCATGATGTCAAATCAGAACGGGAGATTCCTCTCACCAGATTAGTTGTTATTTATAGCACACTCGGAGGTCCTGTCAGGGTAGCACCTCCATCATTCAATTGCTCACACTTCTCTGGCTAGGTTGTCGGAACTCAGCTATACAGCTTTGCTTCTGAGGGTGGAATATCCTGTTTGACAGACAAAGGCTTGCGACGACGATGAAAGAACACGGCGACGCACCTCATTCCAAAGTACAGTCTTTTGGTCCCCTGTGATCGGTTCAGAGCCTCGGCCCCAGGACGGTGCGAACACATACTGGGAAACTTAATTAACTGAGGGTGGGAAGAAGGGGGTAAGCACGAAAAATCTGACAGTCTGACATCTGCATGCCAACACTATGCCTTGTGACCAAAAAGGTTATGAGGCTCAGCGACTGTCGAATGACGGATGATTGTATACGTTCAGCCAACTGATATTTGCTCTTCGCATGCTCACCCCCTAATTAGCAGTCTATCTCACCTTCCTACATTCTCGGGGTATCGACGGGTTTTCATTCGAGGCATGGCACAGGCGACGCATTCTGCCCTTTTGCTGGCCTTTCAGCCGTTCGCGACCAGGGTCATGTTGCATGTGTTCTCATGCAGGACGGGACTCCAGCTCCATATCGCCACTCGACGGGGCCAGACTACTGTTGATCATGCTACCAGTCGCTCTGTATGGACAGCGACAGGATCCTCTAAGGTGCGCCATGCAGGAACCAAAGCATCGCAGACGTGGCTCCTGCGTGGAGATCCCAACACGCAGAATCATTATTTACGTTTCTTACTAGCCAAGGCGGGGGAGGGCTTTTCCCTTGGTCACATCTTTTGGGGGTTGTTAATCGATTGTTTGTCATGAGGTATCAAACTATTACACATCATAGCCATAACTTTCATACCGCGTTCCCTCTACCGACCCGTCACAACATCTTTTTAAAATCATGATCGGTACGCCACCCCTCTGTGTGAGGTTCAGTCGACGATGATCGGGCGGGATATTGTCATTATATGACTTAATTTACTCCTTCTTGAGGGAGGTGAAGCGAAGGTAACTGGTTCATCACGTTAGCGACCGCAACATCTCTGTAAGTTTGGGCTTTGAAGGACAACTCACGGCTTGACAATGCGGATGTCGCCGAACTTCTTCTGAGCGTCCTCAGTGGAGACGGGAGGGGGGATGACAACGTCGTCACCAGGGAGCCAGTTGATGGGGCAGGTGACACCGTGCTTGTCAGTGGTCTGCAGAGCGTCGACAACACGGAGAACCTCAGCGGTGTTACGACCAGTGGAGGCGGGGTAGGACATGATCAGACGGATCTTCTTGCTGGGGTCGATGATGAAGACGGAGCGGATGGTGAGAGCCATGCCTGGAACATATTAGCAGGGTCCTCATAACGTCACTTGGGAAGTTATAGAAGAGCGTACCCTTGGCATCAACGTTGGTGGTGTCCTGGTAGTCGACCATGTCGTACAGGTAGGCAACCTTGCGCTCGGGGTCGGAGATGATGGGGAACTTGAGGTTCGAGCCGTTGACCTCATCGATATCCTTGATCCAGGCGTGGTGGGACTCGGTGCCGTTGGCGCTCAGACCGATGAGCTTGACGCCACGAGCAGTGAACTCGGGCTCGAGCTTGGCGAAAGCACCGAGCTCAGTGGTGCAAATGGGAGTGAAGTCATCCTATACCAATTGCAAGTAGTGTTAGCCAGCCGTCTTCCTGGCTATGCTGGTTGTGTTTATAACGCGGCTGGGAGAGACTAACGGGGTGGGAGAAGAGAATAGCCCAGCTGTTGCCGATGTAGTCGTGGAAAGTGATAGGACCGTTGGAGGAGTCGGCCTCGAAGTTGGGGGCAACGGAGCCGAGACGGAGACTGAGAAAGTGGCAGGTCAGAATTGAGCTGAATGAGGGGATATGGAGTGTTAGATAGCACTTACGGAGCACGTTCCTGAGCCATTGTGAAAGTGAAGGGAGTTGTAGAGGGGTGGGTATAAACTTTTTTAATTAGAATGGTAGAAGAGAAGGATGAGTAGGAAGCAAAAGAAGATGAATGCAACGGAGGAAGCTGGAAGTACTAAATATACCCCGATGAGGCCCGAGGTCGGGGAACCAAGAGACGAGGAGCCCGTGAATGGAACGGGGATGGAGCTACGAGGCAGAGGGGGACAACATCCACATTGAACCCGAACCACAGCTTGGATGCCCCTCCAACGAATGACAGCCGCTGGGCAGGCGATCCCGATCACGCAATCTGCCACCGCCCACGGGGCAGAACGGCCCTGATTGGACCCGCATGAGCTCATTCCAGGTGGGATGTTTAGCGCCGGCCGCATTGGGAAATGCCCCTCCCCCTCCGGGATCTTTTTGGAGAGAAGGAACCTGAATTCCAAGGCGAGATTGGGATTCCCCAAGGCACGAACCACTGACCTTAACTCATGTACCGTCCTCTAGTTCCGGCACTGTTCCTAAACTATAGGAGGAGATGAACCGTGCGAGGCCAGGCCTCTTGTTCATCCTCCGCTTCTACTCTTCCTCTGTAGATAGTTATTGTGATTACTATCTATATCATCATCCAAATCAATGTGGTGCCTACTACCACATAATTACTGCTGAGTGCCCAACTCTGTTCGTTCGTATCTGCCGCTTGCTAGCGTTTCGACTCTCTTCCCTCCCGAGAGCTGTCGGCCGACTACCTTGCAAGAAAATGGCTCGGCCGACAATCTTGTTCTGTTGGGGCCAATGGTGATGTTGAATGATGGCGCAATTGTGCGTGCCATCTTACCCATCTTCCCGGTGACTACTTGATCTACTACTGTTTGCGCACGATTACAGTAAGTGATGTCCGAGCTAGAGGGCCATCGCAAGAAGCATCTACAGAAAAGGGGGTTGCCATAACGTCGCATACATAATCACTCAAGTCTCCCAGAAAGAGCTCCTAGGGGTATTTACCAAGAACGACTTAAGGTCCACTCACCCCTGTGTGAGATCTTGACGAGGAGAAACGTAGGTGCCCAACTTGTGCGTGACCTTGGATTTAGAAGGGGGAACTTTGTCTTGACTTGATCGTATAACGGCATCACGGGTTATAAAAATGGGGGATGGATGTTGTCTGAATTCATGAATTTCTGTTGCAACAAGAGAAAGACTTACCGTGTTTTGGATGCCGCCGTACAGTCATTGCCGGAATGCCATGCTCACTGGGTACATTAGCTTACCCGTTCGGAAACGTACATGGCGAACTCTGCTCGGCTGAAAGATCACTTGATCATTGAATATGGCGCTTTCCACCGACAATTTTATCAGTTTTGCTCTCCCAATCAAAATGGCCATACTCTCCTCTCCAGGGACCAATCTGCTTACAATCTCTCTGGGACAGTCAACATATCGCGCAAGTCCGGCAAATAGTTCAATTCTCCCAATATATCTCATTGACTCCTCACCCGCAGATGAATATTTGATCCTGATATGTTCTGCAAAGAGATAGAGCAGTGGTGTTTGGCCGAGTGGTAACTCTGTGCAACATTTACTCTGCTCAAAGTGTACAGTCCGCATTAAAGTATACTTCTGGAGCTTGCCCAACGGATCACGCCGACTCTCATCTCGGGAAGGTGAATGATGTCCAATGACAGGGAAAGAAGATTTTTTGCGGAACAAGAACTACGAACCGATTCAGACTGTCTATAAATGGCATATACTACCCGATCTCCGGTCGATGGCAATATAACCCAGGTACCTGCTCCTAGTCTTATGAACTTGAGGCTTCTGAGGCACGGAGTGGATAGACCACGATTTGAGAGAACCAGTCAACTTGGAAACGACATTCCTTTGAACTCACTTGTTTGTTAGCTCATCGCATTGGCAAAACAGTACTGAAGAGTTGAGATGCACATAGGAGAAGTCACTTCACAGAAATCCAGTATTTTTGACCTATTACTATAGGGGATCTCCGAGAACACAGTGGCCAATCATAATGTTGAAAGATCTCATGAACTGTAATCGGCATATTAGGCAGTATGGTTGGACACTAGTGGGATCATTATTGAGATGGTGCCTAATAGTTGGTGTAGCAGGTAGTACAGGTTAAGAGCTAGGCAAAATCACGGTTATGAGTGGCCTACACAAAACAAACAGTGATTGTTGACGACACGAGCTTGCTAGCAGTGAGGTGCATCAATCTAACTGACAAGGTAGCACAATGCCCTCAAATTATGACAGGGGTATATATACTGTGTGGATTTAATTTTCCAGGCTGTTCCTGCGCCTACGGAGTAATAATAATAGTTATAGTTTGTTCGGTGAGGGTACCTGAGTCTCCGCGAGCACGTCCACGTGACCCCAGCGGAGCGCCTAAGGGGGCTCCACCGCGCGTCCCGAGAAGCTCGACCCGTCCACTCGTCCGCAATCAGAGCTTCACCCATCGCGATCCTGTTATGATTCTTGCCCAGTGCGTGCCTAGAACCGCGTCTTGTCGTGTCTAATTGTTCCTTTCGACTGCCGGAAGACACAGTTGGTCGTACCTTGGTTAGTTTCCGTTGCTAACCTTTGTGAACACACATTATTTCATCGGTTCCTTCATAAGCTTTCCTATACTGGATTGACTGACTGGCTGGCTTCCACACTTCTAGGCGCGCCTGGATCCTCGTGTCCCAACTCCCCCAGCGCCTCCCCGCTGGCAGGCTCCTGACTGGCTGATCCCTTTGTTGTCTTCATCTACTCTTGTCCTTTCCTGACCCTCCATTCGATCTTTGTTCCGTCTCCCTCTTCCGTCTCCCCAAAATCTCCCGTGGATCTTATCGCGCAGATAAATATCCCCCCATCAACCTATCAACCAAACATGGCACCCCAAAGGAAACGCAAGTCGGAGAGCGCGTCAATCGCCGAGGAAACCGAGTCACCTGCTGCGAAGAGAGTGGTAAGCCTTTCCTATCTACAAATTCGCCAATACTACCCGCGAGGTAGCGCCTATCAAACCAGTCGGCCCGTCCAATACGCGATCGCCGCCCACTGGCTAATCACGGTGTCATTCACGTCTCTTCTCCAATGATAGGAAGCATCGATGTTACATCCAATGCACGAACAAACGATTATGTTCTCCCAGTTTTACGTTCAAGCAATACTAATCATTTCTTATTTACATAGGCCGCGCCCGACACACCGGCTACCGGAGAAAAGAGAAAGAGGGGTCGTCCCAGGAAATATCCTGAGGGTAGTACTCCCAAGCGCCCTGACGGCCCCAAAAGAGGCCGTGGCCGTCCTCGTAAAGATCCGAATGCTCGTCAGTTCCCTCTTCGTCCCATAATTATCTCTGATGCTCTTACGGACAACGCCCACACGATTTCTTTTGTCATTCCAGCCTCCTATCAACGATGTGTTCGGTATGATATTATCTACAGCATTTGCTGACATACACCAGCTACTCCCGCAAAATCTACAACCCCCAAGCAGGGCAAACGGGGCAGGCCAAGGAAGAACCCGATCGAGAATGGAACCGAACCTACCTCATCAACAACGAAACCAGAGACGATCGATACCACATCCTTCGAAGGACGCTCATACTGGTTGATGAAGGCTGAACCGGAATCGCGATTAGAGAAAGGTGTTGATGTAAAATTCTCCATTGATGACTTGGCTTCTCGCAAGGAGCCGGAGCCATGGGACGGTACGTTTCCATAATAGGGCCTTGAATGATTGACATGTCTGCTGATCACCCAGTAGGTGTGCGTAACCCTGTTGGTAAGTGAGACCATTGGCGGTGGCAAGCTAGCCTTCTGGCTTACAAGCGACATAGCACAAAAACATATCCGTGACATGAAGAAGGGTGATCTCGCCTTCTTCTACCACTCCAACTGCAAAGTACCAGGCATTGCGGGTATCATGGAGATTGTCCAGGAGCATTCACCAGATGGTTAGTCCTAACACGAGCCCTTTCTGGAAAGGACAAGGTCAGCTAATACGGCGAGCATGTTTAGAGTCAGCCTTCGACCCCGCCCACCCATACTACGACGAAAAGTCGAACCGAGACGATCCCAAGTGGCAGGTTGTGCACGTAGAGTTCCGGCGCAAGTTCAACAAAATGATTACGCTGAACGATCTCAAATCATATGCACAGTCCGAGCGGGCTCTTGAAAATATGCAGGTGCTGAAGCAGTCCCGGCTGAGTGTGACGCCAGTAAGCGTCACAGAATGGGCGTTTATCATGCGGGTAGCGGACGAAAACGAGGCCAAGGCAAATGCCGAAGCTTCCAAGGATGACAGTGCCGAGGGCGACGAGCCCGAATCAAGCGAGTAAAGGATAAAGCGATTTCATTGTGTTGCAGGGCTTCTGGGATGATCAACTTACTCTTGTGGGAATTCGACACGCGCATTTTACTCTGTTATGTACAATCAAGGGAGTTTCTTTCGGTGCAGCTGATGGTGCGGTGGAGTCACGTAGCAGGCGGGTTACAACGGCAGCTTGTTTGGATGACATGTCATGATTCTGACCGGGGATGCTTTTATATTGCCACTAGTTGACGCATTATAGGCCTTGTAAACTAGCAGATCCCCTGGCGAGAACATACCATACCTTCTAGACTCGGCAAAGAACATCTGTGGCTGTAGCGACGCTTTGTGTCTTGACGGTTATCTGTCGTGCAACAAGTCGGAAATCCATCACTGCTGGCGGTAGAAGGATATTCAACTGCTTCTGAATATCCGCGACAACTGCAACCTATTATTGAGTAATCGGGGAAGCGAGGGGTTTATGGCGAGGATTCGGGGAGGGGCGACAAGGCTGGAAGACCCGGAAGAACCATGATTGGGGATGGAAGATGCAAGCTGCATGCACATGAGGAGGGGAGAGCAGGTGGTCCCGCTAGATGAGGGAAAGAAGTGCGGAGGAGCTGCAGAATCAAGCTTATCAAGCTGAGGTGATTAGTTTACTTCGCCGGTGGAGTTGCTGACCCAGAGATTGGAGACGCCGGCGAAAGGATGGGATCCAGAAGAGTAAGTGTATGCGAAGAGGGGCTGCCCGAGCACCGCCGCGTCTCCCATTCGCTCTTCCATCCTTCGCTGGCGGGGATGCTTCATCCGGCTTCCCATCAACCAACTAATCCCCCTCGACCCTCTCCTTCAGCTTCGTCCCATACATAAAATCTTCCCCTCAATGCCCTTCTCCTCCTCCTTCCCCGCTCCCTTTCGCTGTCTTTCCTTCTCCTCTCTGCGGCTGCGTGGTGTGTCTTTCTCCCGTCTGCCAGTTGTTCCTTTCTCCCCTCATCGTCATCACTTCCATAGCTCGTCCATCACAATGAGCGATCTGTCCGTGCAGCTGACAGCCCCGAATGGGCGCACATACGCCCAGCCGGTTGGTTTGTTCATCAACAATGAATTTGTCGCTTCCAAGTCCGGCGAGAAGTTCGCCACCATCAACCCTTCGTACGTGACCTCCCAATCCTAGTATCTTTCTTGGATCTGCAGCTGACCAGTGCTAGAAATGAAGCGGAAATCACCTCGGTCTATGCTGCGGGTGAAGAAGACGTGGATATTGCTGTGAAGGCTGCCCGGAAAGCCCTCAACCACCCGTCATGGAAGTTGTTGCCTCCGACTGAACGGGGCACCCTGATGTTGAAGCTGGCCGACTTGGTCGAGCAGCACAAGGAGACGCTTGCCACCATTGAAACGTGGGACAATGGTAGGGAGCCTCGCAATTTTCTCAAAGGCGATCGATCATCATGTACTGATTCTCTCCAGGCAAGCCATACTCCGTTTCGTTGAACGATGACCTGGGAGAGGTTGTTGGCTGCCTCCGGTACTATGCTGGATACGCCGACAAGGTCCATGGTCAGACTATTAGCACCACCCCGGCCAAGTTTGCCTATACTCTTCGTCAGCCAATTGGTGTCGTGGGTCAGATTATCCCCTGGAACTTCCCTCTCGCGATGGCTGCCTGGAAGTTGGGTCCTGCCTTGGCCTGCGGAAACACCGTGGTTCTGAAACCGGCTGAGCAGACTCCGCTCAGTGTTCTCTATCTTGCCAACCTCATCAAGGAGGCCGGTTTCCCGCCAGGTGTTGTCAACATCCTGAACGGCCTTGGACGCGTAGCTGGAAGTGCGCTCGTGACCCACCCCGGGGTGGACAAGGTTGCCTTCACAGGTTCGACGTTGACTGGCCGCGAAGTTATGAAGTTGGCTGCAGGCACCCTGAAGAACATTACGCTCGAGACAGGTGGCAAATCTCCCCTGGTCGTCTTCAGTGATGCCGATATCGACCAGGCTGCCAAGTGGGCGCATGCGGGTATCATGTACAACCAAGGACAGGTTTGCACCGCCACCTCTCGTATCCTGGTGCACGAGTCCGTCTATGACAAGTTCGTGGCGCTCTTCAAGGAAGCCGTGGCCAACACCAGCAAGGTGGGCGATCCCTTTGCCGACGACACCTTCCAGGGTCCCCAGGTCACCAAGGCCCAATACGACCGCGTGCTCTCCTATATCGAAGCTGGAAAGTCCGAAGGAGCGACCCTGGTGGCCGGTGGCGAGCCGTTCAAGAACGTCGGCGACGGCAAGGGTTTCTTTATCGCGCCCACCATCTTCACCAACGTCAAGGATAACATGCGGATCTACCGGGAGGAGGTTTTCGGACCATTTGTCGTGATTTCCAGCTTCTCAGAGGAGGACGAGGCTGTGAGACGGGCCAACGATACGACCTATGGACTGGGCGCTGCCCTGTTCACCAAGGACATTGAGCGTGCACACCGGGTTGCGTCGGAGATCGAAGCGGGCATGGTCTGGATCAACAGCAGCAACGACAGCGATATCCGGGTGCCTTTCGGGGGTGTGAAGCAGAGCGGAATTGGGCGCGAACTTGGCGAGGCCGGTCTGGAGGCCTACTCACAGATCAAAGCGGTCCATGTCAACTTGGGAACGAAGCTGTAGGCGAGCGCAAGTGATGGCGAATGAATTGCAACCGTGATCTGTGGGACGAGCCTGGTAGGACGAACACATACACATGCATCCGATGGACCGTTGTGTTGATGGCGATGCATGAAGGAAAAGAGAGATGCTATGTGGCTCTGCGACATTGGCTGCACGTCGTGTACCCGATGACTGACATAAAGTTGGTGTGTTGTTGCCAACTTGACTATACCCTGAACTGACGAAAAAAAATAAAAATTGTACCATAATTCGACCATGTCAACTGGCAGGCAGGCTACGTGAATTTGAGCCTGAGTGATCTTTCACATTCCCCTTTTAAGCCGTAGTGTAGCACCCAACACACCACAAACAAACCCTTTTTAGCCTAAAGGACAAGCCCAAACGTTACACATCCAGATACCAGATCTCACAACATATATACCAAGGACCAAGCACTCGCTTACCTGTCTCCATACAGTACCAACGAACTCATACCCACATCAACATCAACCTGCACGTCCATCCATATGCACATAAGTAAATACCATGCACATCACCCAACAACCAAGGCACTTACCAAACCCAACCACTTCAACCAGTCATCAGATGTTAAGACAAACAAAGCAAAACCCAACAGTCAAAATCCAAATCCAGTTTCAAACTCATACCCTGCAATCAATCAATCAGTCAATCAACTGAAATTGTCACCTTATCCCCCGCGCCCAGACCCAAAACAAACCCTTTAGAAGCAGAAAGCATGGGTACCTGACCTGACTTACCACATATACTCTTACCTACTTTGCTGGCTCACTTACATTGCTTTATAGCATCCCAAAGATGAAACAGGGATATCAAAGCGATTGGACGAGAGACAAAAAACCAAAGTGAAATACAGTTGGGATAGAAATTGCGCTTGCTTTGCTTACATGTAAGTATTTTAAATCGTTGGCTTAAGGTGACTTGCAAGTGTTGGGGAAGTAAGGGGGGTAAGTGGGTGGTTTCTTGGCTGCTGAGAGTTTTGTACGTGCATGTAGTACTGCCACAGTAGTTGAAGTACTTGGTAAGTAAGTAGAGTTTATATGTGAGTTGTAGTATGTATGAAGTATGTAGGATGTAAGTGACAACTCAGCCAGTGCTTCATGCATATACATGTACATACAAGTAGGTTTTGTGGAATATCAGTCTAGATGATAATTAATTGTCAAGCATTATAATAAAACAAAGAAAGTAGGTTTGGAATGGCGCTGGGGGAGAGTGTAGTAGTAAGAGATTGTGGGAGTGACATACATATTATATGTGGTATGTGCGTTTGCTGCATGTCGGTAGATATCCATTCCCCAACTTACTTGCATTGCATGCGTGCAGGATTAGTATATTCTTTGGGGTTGATTTGGATTGATCGGTTGTAGAGTCTGATTGCATTTTCATAATTTATGAATAAAGATAATTAATATCTGGATTTTGAGGTGGGTTGAGCTATTTGGTGAGTAGGTCCTGATTTCATGGACATGTTATTTAATATATGTAAATATATTTTTCAGTCCGACATAGTAGTACTCTGAATAACTTAATAAAATGATTCAAGTCTAAAGGCAAATTGTACATGCAAGAATACTATTAAATATATATTTATATATCCTACTACATAACTACTTACCACAATAATGACTATCCATCATCTCAATTGGACTTATACCAACAACACCCCGCGCCTAACCACATCAGGAAACACAATGCTCGCTTCGAGCTTCTCCTTCTATCTGCATGATAATCTGCATACCACAACATACAACTGACATGACACACAGTAGAAGCTTTCAGTCAAACAGCAAACAGAACTTAACCCAACCAACCACAGAATTAGAAGCAACTTGAAGAATATCTTCCGATGAGAACCCCCAAAGAAACTCTCAAGCCAATTTATGCATGTTTCATCTCGAACAAGTTCATGCCGTTTGATTTGTAATACCTCTAACATAACTTGCTTACTGCACTGTGTAAGTTGTTTGTGTATGCTGCATGAAAGCTACATACACACGTACATATATGTATGTGTGTTTGAGTGGCGTGGTTGATTGATTAATTGATTGATTGATTAATTGATTGATTGATTGTTTGTTTGTTTGCTTGTTGGGAGTTGAAGAATGAAGTTTCCACTATTATTACTGGGTTTGTCTATTTATTATTAGTAGTAGATAGTAGTAGTAGTCTATTATTTACTGCGGGTAGATACATGCTAAACACTATACCAAGCAAACTGATAACTGTTAGTTACTTTAGCTGCTAACTATTAAGTTTATACTAAGCCTCGGTATTAGGTCATAATCAATGACCGATATATACCCACCAACAACATGGATGATGAACACTAACTAGGCCAAGTATCATACTTCATAGTAGCATAGCAAACACAATTAATTAAACTCAAACAGTTGTCTGTTCAACCCACACATAACTTTCAGTACATACCTGTTTACTTACTACCTCAGGATAAACTCGCACCTAGTTGTCACTACTACTCAGCAACTTCAGCAACTCCCACCGACACTAATGCCAACACACAGCAAGCACCACACACCTCCCCCTCAACCTAATGCAAGAAATACCCAAAAAAGCCACATACATAAAGCCAATACCCAATGAGCATCAGCCAAGCGTCAAATATTTGTTGAATTCACGTGTCCGTGCATCGTCATTGGTAGAGAGGGGATGCCATGTGCAGGTTAGGTACCTACCAGGGTAAACTACTAGTAGAGGAGATAGGCAGAAGGGAGGATTTGGTTTCTGGGCTGGCTGGCTGGCTGGGCTAGCTAGCTGCATTGCGAACGTAAGAGCCATGTGTTGTGACTACTGTCGTGGCGGATTGCGACTGGGACTGGACTGGAACTGGGGTCGGGCTTACAGGAATTACTTTACTTTACTTTACTCTTACTAGTAGGTGGTTAGCTGGGGTGGGAGCATGCTGGGCATGGGTTTGTCGGAGTTGCTGGCTCCGGGGAGAAGGAAGAGAGAGAAAGGATGGGGGGTTGTCTGGCTGATCAGGGTTGATCCTAGGTTGTAAGTGGTCTCCCCCAGTCGCCACATGAGATGGATAGCTCAGACACTTGCATACACAGTCTGTTAGTCTCTCTCGTTCTCCCTCTTTCTCTCTTTGTTCAGAGTCTCCTCAACCTGGTAAAGGTACTTGATAGTAGTTAATATGTAACTTTCCTGCTGGGTGAGGGTAAGGGAAATACCATACATACGGTAACCGAGACCCCAAACATACCATACATACATACATACCATACCAACAGGGCCCCCCGTACCTGCACCCGCCATGTAAAGTTACATTGTCCTGCATGAAGAATCGATCATGTGAGGGCTGCCTAGGCCTCGCGCCGTGCGGCCCCATCGCTGCTCCTCGCCGCCTGCAATCGCACCGCGCGCGGAGAGAACTAAATCTGGACACACTTGCATACATAAGTACATCCATCTTCAATCTCAACATGCCATGCGGCATCACACCCCCTCCTTCCTCCTTCCTCCTTCTTTTCCCCCCCTCTCCCCTCTCTTCAATGTGACCACTCACTTTACAACGGTCGGGGATATCCCCTCCCAAAGCCCGCGCGCCGGCTCTTTGCCCACAGCCCACTACCCACCTACCTTACCCACTGGCTAGAGTCTTCCAGCTACCGATATGACCGACATGACACGCCGCATCCAGTCCGCTGCGTACACCGCATTTTTCGCGGACACATTGCTGGTTTGAGTGATCCACCGAACATTGGCTCGAATATCGGTCGTGTTTGCCTCCTGCAGGTACTGTCTGCCCGCCCAACTGATGCATCACCGTTGAGCTGGTCGAATGCTTTCTCCCCCCGCCGGGCTACGATGGATGACCTATTAAGGTTGTGTGGCCGACTCCGTCCGTTCGTATATCTGCACCGTCGATGGCCCAATGTTGGGCCGTCCGACCGTCAATCAATGCAGCGTCGCGGATTGTGGCCAAACGCCCCCCATCAACCGACCGCGACTTTATCACCCTCTTTTACTTCTTTCGTACATGATTAGCATTATGACGACGATCACCCCAGATAGACGGAGATCAAGGTCACTTCCGTTGTTAAGTAGCCGGCGTGAAGGCTCGCTCGTCAATAGCCATGTTGCTAGACCGCCTGGATGGGGGCAGTCACAAAGTCTCAAGTCTGTGCTTGCAACTCTCTCACTAAGACAGTTAGAGTAACCCGGTCTAGCCAGCAAAAGCAACGTAAGTCGGCCAAACCATAGGCGAGGATCCTGCCTAGCGTTGGCGCAGTCCCGAAGGAATTGCAATCTAGGAACATCGTAGCTGCTCCTTTACTATCCATCTCTCTCTGACTCTTCTTTTTTTTTTTTTTTTTTTTTTTTTTTTTTTGCTTTTTTTGGGTCTCCCTTTTCCCTTTTATTTCTTTTTCTTGCTTTGACTTAATGCCTTTTCTTGGCACGACACACAATGTAGAATGTAACTAGTCGCGACCTTTCGATGAGGTAGGTCTACTACCAGTAAGATCCAATTTTTAGGGAATATTGGGTGGTCAGTGCAGGGGAGCTGTCGTTTGTAACGGCTGTAAGTCAGAAGGCTGGCCTCCAACTGGTAGGGAAATCTTCCACATCATTCCGAAATTTGGGACCCTGGGCGGATATGCCGTGTCTGCATCCAAGGAACGCTTTTAGATCCGGGACTCACATTGCTTGATCCTGCTCTGTCGCGCAGCTTGCTTTAAGCCCTAAACTAACCGCTACTAGCTGTCGCCATATTTTCCAGACTGCCACAATGCTCCAGGGAGACCCCCCCCGGGTGCATTCCTATTTGTCCGTAACATCGCCCCGTATGTGATTTTACTCCACCGCGACCCTTGTCTGGAACAAATGAGGCGGCACACGGGAAGCCTGCCGCACCCTGTCACTGACAGCACCAAGGCTGGCTGGCGTCATGGTGAGACTCCAATCAATTAGCCCGATCAAACTCATTCGCCGGTGGGTAACTGGGCTTCCTCTTCCTTCTCGTCTTTGCTTTTCCTGGACATTCATTCGATAAGTTTTCCCACGTTTGCTGTGACGAAACTGTTGGTCCAGATAGCTGATACCAGTTCACATGACAGGTGATAGTCAGCTTCATTGAGTGGAGTCGGGCCTGGATGGTGTGGGTTTCAATAATCGTATCCACCAAAAACCCGACGGTCTCAATAGTAAAAGGGCCATCGAGCCGGGTGTTTGGAATACTTTTCTGGGCCGTGAGATACACGGACATCCGATGAGACACTATGTCTATTTATTGGCACGACGAGCAGGAGGCCGAGCTTCAGCTGAAACCGACGCGGTTTGCTTAGTCCAGACCTGATTAGCACCTGTGGCACCTGGATTGGGCCACCCACCGGTGAAAGTACCGACTAACTTGACACGGAGCAATGGCCCGATGGGCAATGCCAGCTTGCCAGACTACCAGACTGCCAGTACGTGGATAGTAGACTAGCACCGTAACTCAGAGAAGCCACCCAGCTAGCCCCACTAGCCATGAGCTCCCTAACGCTAAGGTAGAATCAGAAAAGTGTTCGATGAGATTCGTGCGGGGGCGACTGGCGACTGGGCTTGGCAACCGAGGACAACGCCGAAAGCTGCCCATGAGACTTTCGACTATCGAATCTCTCTTTTGGGCTGAATTCCTCAGCACTCACACAACGGTTCCAGTCTCCAGCAACCGTCTGGTTTTAGCCGCCGCGCATATTCCTTAAACTGACTAGGCTGTCTCGACCCAGCAGAGTCCACGGCTGCTCCCGATCTGATCCCCATATCTGAACCACCAGTTCTGAGGGTTGCACATCAGCCTGCCGTCAAAATGTCCGGCTTCCAGTACCAAAAGTGGACGGTCTCTGAGGTATGGTATCTCACATTCATTTTTGAGTGAAGGCGACCGGCCGAAGGAGACAAGAATGGGGAAGCTAATGCTCGCACTGGTTTCTGTATGCAGCCGTATGTCGATGTACCGGGAACCTTATTGGAAGGACCGTTTCACGACAAGACCAAGAATGAGTTTCGCTTCGTCGATATCTGGGAGCAGAAACTATACGTTCTGGACCTGGCCAAAGGGCCCGACTCCCTGAAGATCATGGACACATCTGTGTCAATCGGGTATGTCGCTCCTAGCTAGAGTCCTTGGCCCACAGAATAATTACACCGTAAGCGGTGCCCAAAAAGACACTAATCTCATACTCCGAACAATATGTAGAGTAACCGCCAACATTGCGAATGCTGGAGATTCACGCGAGAACCAGATCGTCGTAGCCGCAAAACATGGATTCGCCCTGGTCGACCGCACCACGGGCGCACTGTCCTATATTCAGAAAGTGTGGGACGATCCGGCCAAGGAGCATAGGTAAGTCAATTATCTAGTTTCTTTGCCATCATCCTCGTGGGTCTGACTCATCGGGAACGTCATCAAAACAGAATGCGTTTCAACGATGGGGCCGTCGACAGCCACGGACGGTTCTGGGCTGGAGCCATGAACGATTCCAAGGTGCAGAACCCAGTCAACGAAGGTGTGATATTCAGGTTAGACCCGGACATGAAACTGCACCGCATGGTTGAACAGGTGACGATTCCCAACGGGATTGGCTGGAATCCTGCGGATGACACTATGTACCTGACCGACTCTCCCACCGGCAAGATTTACGCCTTTGATTTCGATGCTGAGACCGGAAACATCAGCAACCGAAGGGTGTTCTTTGACATTGGGGAGCCAAAAGAGCCGGATGGGTTTGCCATCGATGAGGAGGGGTGTATATGGAGTGCAATCTACGGTGGTGGGAAGGTGATTCGTATCTCGCCGGAGGGCAAGATCATTGGCGAGATAACTTTTCCCACCCGAAACATTACCTGTCCAGCTTTTGTGGGAACGGAACTCTTCATCACGACCGCCAAGGATGATACCAATGATGACCAGTTTCCGGAATCCGTCCGGTATGGAGGCCGGCTCTATAGAGTCGACGTCGGCATCAAGGGTAAGCCTAAGAATGAGTTTCGACTCGAAGGCAGCCCGTTATAGGTAGTATTCGATAGACTAGCGTAATTAGTTAACTGCTAAAGATAAGCCGATCTGACCGCTTGTCGAACTATCACCTTGAAAGGATTCACCTGTAGGAGTCTCTGGGCCGGAGCCGTATGGTCTGTATACCCATCTAGAGAGATCAACATAATCGTGCAAATGAGTCTCTGAGACACATCTTCCAACCAAAGTGTAAAGCCTGCCCAGAAGGAAAGCGAAGTCCGTTAGCCACAGGATTCGCACAGAGCTGAGGTGGAGCAATCAGGTACTTCTGCTTACAGTACAGAGTATGTTGTGAAACATTCTGGCATCATAGTTACATGCTGTAATAGACATGCCGGAGGCCATGATTGAACGTATATTCGCAGCAGCAGATACGTATCCTTGCAGTTGTCGTTCCTTCCGATGAAGAAGGATGAAAGACTGCCTTGGTCGTGCCGGAACCGGAGGATAAGTGAGAGGTCCGCGGATCGACGAACGGTGGATGCAGAGGTGTTGGCACTGGGACTTTTGGGGACCCCAAGTCAGCAGACCTGGAAGTGGCCTTTGAAAAGCAGTGCCTGTCGTCTCTCTTCTTTCTTTTTCCTCCTTCATTTTATTTATTTATTTTTTTTTATGTATGTATTTATTTATTCTGTCTTTTCGGGTGACTCCCCCAATTATGCTCTTCTGTTTCCTGCTCCTCTCTTTAGTAGAATTCAGTTACTCGAAGGTGAGTCTGTAGCCTGTAGGGAGTATGTATGCAAAATGATCATAAATCACAACCGAAAGGTAAATGAAGATACAACATAGAGGGTTGGGTTTGTTGTGGAAGGTGTTACTCGTCTTACCGCCACATTGCATGGGTGAAGTTACCAGTATCGAGCAAGTAGAAGGGATATGAATAAACTTGGCAGGTAAACATGGGCCTAGAATGATCTCAGTGGCTATTACTGGAGTAAGGTATATCCCTAAGACGGGAAAGGTACATTCTAGCATCTACTTATTGTGACATGACAAGAAGTAGGTTCAGTCATGCATTCACGCATATATTTAGTAGGTACAAAGTACGCCTCAGAGATGATTGATGCCTGAGGGTGAAACGGGCATCCAGGCCGCAGCGAGCAACAAACAAGTGTCAACCCATAATGCCATTATCCTCCTCCAGTCTATTCTTTCCAGGTCCTCTACAATGGCATCCAACTCACAGGATCTTTAGATCGCATGCAGTGTTCCTGCCCTATCCGGATTCTAACTTGATGATCGCTCGACTTCTTCCAGGATGGTGGGTGACAAGTGTGAAGCATGTTGCATGCATATGCCGCACATATGCGCTACGGCAATACCATCACTTACCCTAAGGCCTGGGATCTAGCCGGAGCTAGCCTTTCCATGTGAGCATACCGATAATTCTGATATCATTGCCGCCTGGTGGGTTAATGATAGGTACTTTATTAAGCTATGCAAAGGTGCAGGCAAACGGAGAGACTCGTGGATGGACTGGAGCCACTTGGCTATGTATAGATATTTTCTTTTCTTTTCCGCTCTTTTTGTTGCTTTTCTTCTCTGCAGGGTGATGGTACTTTACTGACTTTCCTGACTGTACACTTACTATACATGATTTCTAAGTACGGATGTTGGTATGCATATCCTTACGTACATAAGAATACCAGCTAAGCGACGCAGGGCCAGCGGTTCGAAAGTACGGAGGGCACAAAGTGGATACCTTCCGATGCGCAGATTTGCTGCCTGTGTACTCCGTAGCTGAGATCTGGACCCGTAAGCTATGGAAGTTACAATATCAAGACGAGATTCGAACATTTCTCGAAGCAGGGAGGGAAAAGATAGATAATATCAATTAGTACAGGAAGAGACACAAACTACTATGATAGCCGTTGAGAATGAGCTGATAGACGGCTACAGCGGCACAAAAAAAAAAAAAAAAAAAAAAAAAAGGTGAATCACAACTTAGAAATGACAGTCCATGAGGAAGCAAATAATGAGGCAAAGGAGGGTGGGGGTGGAAAAGAAGGCTTGGTGAGGAGAAAAAATAAAATAAAGGAAAAGAAAATGAAAAGTTTTGGAGGAAAAAGCAACGTAGGAGGAGACAATACCATTCACTGCAGGTTCTGTGGCGATCGAAAATGGGCTTGTTATTATTGCTAGGATCGAATGGCGTCGTGATTGATAAGTACTCGACATAATAATTCATCTTCACCTTCCTCCTTGGGTAAGATACACTTCCTTCGCAGGATTGTGAAGGAAGGCAGGTCAGATGGCCGAGGGTGCCGTGTTCGCAAGCTTCTCTCCCCCTTGGTTCGAATTCCAACATTCGAGAATTCACACCGAAGCCACCTTATTCCCCCCAAACCATCCTTTTCCGACGCCTTGCCTCAAAATTCTTTCCTGGAGCATGGTCTAAATTGATAACCGTCAATAGCACGCAACCAGGAACCACTCCTCTGGGAAAAGCCCCCCTCTCCTCTCCTCCGACTAAAACATGGGCTAACGCACGAACTAATGCAGCTTCTCTCACACTTCGTCCCCGTTTCCACTTCCGCCTGCGTCCCCGTGGTCTTCCCCGGCCTAGTGCCTTCTAGTAGCACAAAGCGGTGCCGGGTTGGGCGATGATCTAGCCTAGGGCAGGAATTAAAACAACAAACAGAAGGAAAATGACAATCAACAGTCGCCGGGATTCAACTTCCGTGGCAGAGGTGACTACTACTTAGCAACCAATTGAATCCCTTATGGATAGCATTATGCAGTTCATTTCCAGGGGAAACAATGAATGAAAAGAGACACACGAATGAGAAGCGGAGAATGATTCCGATCCCGACCGCTGGCCTGACTGGCGTCTGTTACCTATCAGTCTCATCATCCCATGCCTGGTCCCGTCAAGCCGCCACGATGGATGAATCAAATGAGGACGGAACACCTCGACTCCACTTCCCGCACATATTAATCAGGTAACGTGTGTACCTCCTCTGCCATAGAGAGAAGAGCTAGATAGCAGGTAGCTGCTAGTGCTACCGCCAACCTTCCACTAAATCGCACGTAGTTTCGCACGAATTGGCTCACCATCTGAAGACCGAGTTGGCGTGACCCGCAGTTGGCTAGAAGAGGCTTCCAGAACCGATGTGCCGCCCGCATAACCAAAAAAAAATTTACACTATACCGACACGGTGGACATCACCCTTACTCCGCGGCAACACCATCCTCCGCCGTCTTTTCCATGACCAAATGATGGGCAGTAGTTATGATTTGTTCGATAAGGATAAGGGAGATACGAATGCAATCGAGTCAATCTTGTTTGCCGTGGCTAGCGAGGTTACCGCCTGTCCGTGGGGTTTCAGAGCGAACCATCCACATCCAGCCTGTGAAATGAAATACTCCAGTAACTAGCGGAGGCATTTAATACTCCGTAGCAGGGGGGAGTCCCCAATTCAGCTGGGTGCGCCAGCTAGACGAAGCAACAGTCCCTTTGAGGTAGCACAGAGGGGGGGCCCGCCCACTAAGGATGAAGGAGGGGCCACCAATTTTCCTGCTACTGGCCAATGGCGGCCTTTGGATCGGCTAGATCGCAGCGAAATTTCCCAAGCTCACTGCATGTAATTCGCTACTCTCTGCAGAAGCATGGAGCTCACCGATCCTTACCGACATATGTACTTGACAGATCTACAGGACTCTCTTTTGCTACTTTACTCTATTTTGTGCTCCTTTGCCTTATCCCAGTGGTCATTATTTTCTAAATTTCTTATCTTCTGCCTGATTTTCTCTTGCGGTCCCACTTCTCAGTTCCCAAAAGTACAAGCATCGTGTCTCAATCTCATGTATGCAGCACAGAGATCAGGAGATCCATCCCAACCAGCATTCTTCAAGCCCCAAAGCATAGGAGATACTACCACAGATAGTACGATGATCGTGAAATGGTCGAAATGGAAAGAGAAGCAAGTGGGAGCCACCTGACATTAACGGATCGCGGCAATCCGGACTAGCTCGGCCACCAATGTTTTCTGAACTTAGTGGCCTGGTCCCCATGGTGCAAGCTTCAGAGACTCCATTATATTCCACCAATCCAGCCCAGACGCCCTTCTATTATAGTAGTCGGCTTCCGCCTGCAGCACCCAAGAGTTCATGCTGGGTTACCCTAGCATTTGGAGCTTCACGGCGGGAATCCAGAGGATATTACCTGCACTCGTTGCATAGGTTTGGGCTGTGTTGCAGCCTGCAAGTGGATGTCTCCTTGACCCGGTGACTTCTAACATCAGACACAGTCCGAGATCTCTCCTCGAGACCAGGAGGAAGCTGACCAGCAAGGCAGTCGTAATGCTAACATTTTCTCTATGAGTATGATGCCGATAGACTAAGGTAGGTGAGATACATTTATGTCTCAACGAAGCTTGCGGGATATATGGTAAGTCCTATCTATTGCACTTTGCCTCTGAAGTGTTTACGGAGCGATTGATGCCCGATGACGTAGCTGAAACACCACTGTTTCCCTTTGGCTTTTGGGCCGACCTCGCTGGACACCAAAGTCCGAATGAAAACACAAAGCATCCTTCGTGGACCACTCAGATGGCAGTAAGATGATGACGAGCCAGTCTTTCCGATGATCTGTCTGCTTTGTTGCCTGCGTGCAACGAATGGAGATCCTGACAGCCCACAGACCCAGTTTTTAGAGACTCTGCTAAGCCACCAGAAAGGAATCCGTTGAATTGGGACAAAAAAGGTCACCAAACAAGTCCATTAAGACTCCCAGTAGTAAGGAACTGTCGACCTCGAGGTAAGGGGGAAACGGACACAGCACCGCCGAGGTGTGTACTGAAGGATGGCAATCTGAGAATTGGAAAGGTGAGAAGCAACGGTGATCAGCAGCTGACATGGGAACGACGACGGTCACCCGTCTGTCATCCACATTTTTGGGGGGGAGGAAGGCAAAAGCATGTTGCCCGCATGCATGCAAGACATCGTGATTTGGGCGTCCTGAGTGGGAGAAGCGAGGCCATCCGCCCCATCTGCCGATGCGAACTAGACGAGGGCCTTGTTTTAGCTTCTTAGGAGGAATTGGCACGGCAGCTACTCTGGGGCTAAGGCATCTAGTCTTAGGTAGATGGGCAGGAAGACCCGTCCGGATAAGCGTCGCCTGGAGGGTGAACGAGGGTCTAAAACAGCCGGCAACACAAAGCCACGACATGGTTTCATTCAGAGTTGAGGCTAGCCAGATGTTTAGCTACTTGCTTTTCCCTTTTCATGATTTTAGTTCTGGTGTTTTGTTTTTTTTTTTTTTTTTCGGTTTTTCACCATTTTTCCCTTTTCTTCTTCCCTCGAAAATATTCCTTTTTCTTTCTCGCTACTTTCGGTCAAGACTCCGTCAGTTCTGGCTTTCATTTCACCTTGGGGGTGGATGTATTCCCTAACTGGTACAAGTCCATTTGTTCGACCCAGCCATGTCACTCGTGCAACAAACTATCTCGTGAACGATGATCATCTAACTTAGCTAACATGATATAGTTGAGGCTGCTGGGGGCCGCGAGCGACATCTGAAGTCTATCAGTATTGAGATGTGGGCTGGCAAGTGAAATCCGTGGAGACGAATTGCGAAGCGCCAGAACCTTGACCAGTATTAGTTTGAGATCGTGATAAGGCAGGATTGAAGGCGAAACCCTTCCGAAAAAGACCGGTGACTTAGTCATAGCTATTAGAGTGGCCTGATTTTACGCTTAGAGGCTCTGTATAAGCTACTACTGTCTAGCAGATAGTAGCTATGGAGTCGGTGGTTGAATATGCTCTGATAGTGAGGAATGGCACATCAAGGCGGTAAGTGCACTCGGGAAGTGTGTATGATTTTAGTATGGTGTAAGTAACGGGAAAAGATACCTTGAGTATACCTCACGGGTACCGTAAGGAACCCGACACGGCTTGATATCCGGCTGAATCGGTCAGTATCGGTAAAGTACCAGGCAGGTATTCCAGGGCCTCCACTGATCCATAGTGCTGGCGCGCCCAGTTAAGCGCTCCGGTTCACCTGCACCTTTTCCCCAGCCCCAAGGCCGGTGTTAGTTGCCTCTAGTGACCTCACTAGCTCGTTGTTAGCGGATTACATTTGTTGGCCAGGTAGTTAGTAGTTTTACTGACATACCTGGGATTTTGTCTGTCTGTCTGTCTCTCTGTCTGTCTGCCTGCCTGCCTAGTAATTAATGCACGCTTCGCTCGGCCAGCTGGGGCTGTGAAAGGATCCCGTGGGATCCCTATCCACTGCCCAGAAAACTAATAGCTCAATCCCGAGGGCGCTCGTAGGTTTTCCTGCTTCGGCAGGTAAAGGAAAGTTCCAAGATGGCCAACTCACTTGGGATGTGGGTTGAGTGTGTGAATGGTTTGTCTACAAGTAGTCTACTAGGTATGGAGTCCCTTCCCTATAGCACCCCCCAAATTTTTGATAGTGCAGTAAGCTAAGTTATACTTTGCGAGAGATTATTTTCCCAATTTAATCGTACCCACGTTCGTCAGCGGTTATTCTGGACAAGATGATGGATGAAGATGATGATCCACTACTATTTACTGAATAGAGACCCATTCCTCTTCGTGACTAGTTAACTCCTACCCAACAACTATATTGGGAACAGTTTCCCAGCCCAGCCCCAGTGCAGTGAGATTCCGTCACCCCCGAGCTCATTCATGGCGTTGACTTGCCTCCACTAGCCCCTCTACCTCTCTTTCTCTGTCTCTTTTCTTACTTAACTTGGTACTTTTGGCCACCGGGTACCATCATTCAAGTCTACCTAATCTAGGTATGCATCTGCATGTATGTCCGTATCACCCTGCCAAGTACGAGTCAGGTCCGAGGTCGAACTTATCAACAAGTACGTATTTTTGGGTTCTAGGTCGGTAGTAAGTAGATTAGGTGTCTCGATGTGGGCGCGATAGATCAATAATAATACAGACGATAAATTATAATAATATAATAATAACAATAACTATATATTCATGAGAATGGGCTGCAGGTAGTCCATTTCTGCCAAGCAGGCATGGGTTAAGCCAGGCTGTCGGGGGGGGAGGAAGGGAAGGGAAACTGAGTCTCCACGTAAGTATGACTGAGATGTATGTCGAATGTAAGTACCTCTGACCGGAAGGAGGTTATGGCGAGGTACTTGGTATGTATGTAAGCTGTATGTCGTATGTATGTAAGAAAGCAACACCATGTCGGTATGGATACCTGCCACTGGGGTGACCTCGAAACTCTTTTCCTACTTTAGTTACACTTTGCCATCTTGCTTGCGTTCTTCCCCAAGCATGCCGGTCGTGCTGTGCTCTCTTGATTCTTGATTCTTGTTCCTTTCATTTGGGGTTCTTGAGTAGTCCTCCATTTTTGGTTTTTCACCCTTTTTTTTTTTTTTCCTTCCGTCTCTTTTACTCTCATTGTTGTGACATGCGCGATCCGCCCAATGCAAGTCGGCTTCGGGTCCTTGTCTTAGTTGTCTCCTCTTCCCACGTCTCTGGGTTCACTCATGGGGTCCCACCCACTCTTGTTTTTCGCGCCCCCGCCCTCTCATCCCAGCAATCAGTGCTCTCTTTCCTATTTTATTTTTTTTATTTTTTTTTTTTCTTCTCCTCTCTTTGCTTTTTGATCGATTAGAATTTATTTTTTTTGTTTTTTTCTTTTCTTATTTTTCAATTTTTTTTTATTATTCTGATTTCCGATTAATCCATCTTTATTTTATTTTATTTTCACTGTCGATTTTGTTTCACACCGCCGAATGATGCTGTCAACAACGTTCGACCTACTTTACGATCGTCTCTGCTCCTATAGGAAAGCTGGCCGCGAGCAATAATAAGTAATCATGCCTAGAGGAAATAATCAGAATAACTAATCCTCATCATAAATCATCATCATTCCTGGACAGTCTGGCTTGAGACTTCTTCCTTTCTTGTCGTTTCTTCCAACTGTCACTTCCCTGTCCCTTCTGACCCTCCATCCTATCCATCTTCCTCTTCATCTTTTCTTCCTCTTTGCTCTCCCATATTCCGTATTATTCATTCATCGTCATAGATAATCTGTATTTCTTTCATCATCTGCTGCCCTTCATCTCCATCTAAAGAAAACATCCATCCTTCTTGTCAGTGCGATCTGCACGGTTGCCAATTTGCCATACTACCTACGACTACTACATCCGGTATACTGCTGGTCACTATCGTGTAGTACTTACTTCTTTCTCTGTCTTTTCTGCAACCAACAAAATCCTCCAAGTCGGGAACAAGCAGCACCACGGGTGTATGTTATCGAGGTTTCACTTCTTCCCTTGAAGCAAACCGGGTTTCTCCCACCTGGTCCTCTTTCTCCCTTTATTTTTTTTTATCTTCAAGTGGTTCCGTGGTTTTCCTTTCACCGTGGCTACCCTCGGGATCAGTGTGTTGGCGAGTCTTCCATACTCCCACCCGGTTCATTCCTCGCAACAATATCATTCGCTGCCAGGCTACCATTTTGCCCAACCCGCCGGCTCCCTCTCTCAGGCAGCTCTTCACGAGTCTCCAGCTCATCTGGAGAGAGAGGGGGCCCAGCAATGCCCTAGGTCGCTCCACCGATCTATCGAAAGAGAATCGGAGCATATGTCGTCCACCTTGACTGGCCCTTCCCCAGACGATGCACATCCAGCCGAGGACCACGGTACGTTTGGTAGAAAGCGGCCTCGCTCACACGATGACTCTGCATCTTCCGATGGACCGGACCCTGTGCGTCACCGGCCTCTTTCCTGGCAACCATCAGCTCCTGTGGAACCTTCCGTGAAATCTACTCAGCTTCGTTCCATCGGCGTTGAGTCGATTCTGAACCCACCGTCAAAAGCAGCAGTCGTTGCAGCAGAACCCGGTCGCGAAGGATTGGGGTCCCAGGTGCCGACTACTTCATCGTCACCATCCCATGCACGACTGCCCTCCTCCCCATCAGTCCATCTTCCCTCTCCCTCTGTTCACCCAGCAAAACGTCTCTCTGCATCTCCCGCTATGAAACACCATCAGGCTATTGCCCCTGCTTCTCCTTCTGCGCGTTTTGTTCCAACGGGAGGCGGCTACGCCCAGAGACTGGGTGTTTCACAGTCTCCTCTGGCTCACCCATCTCGTCTAGCCTCTTATTCAGCAGCTCCAGGCTCTCCCCTATCCGTTGATCCATTCCCTGGGCAGTCAGTATCGACATCCACGCATCCTGCCCCGGCTCCAGTCTCCATGCATTCGACTCCAACTTTCCACAGCCGTCGGACAAGCGCCAACCCCACACCTGCTCCCAGCTCTCAGGAAACAAGCCCTACAACCCCCGTCTCTGCTTACAGTCAGCTCGGGCGGTCATCTCCAGCAGTATCTGCTGCGCCAATGCAGCAAACTACACCCTCTTTCCTCAATGCAACCGCGTACGGATCCAGTGAGCCCGCCACTCGCTTGCCTTCAGTAATGGCGGGACCAAGATCTACGGGTGAAGAAGCGGCTACTGCGGGAGCCCCGCCAGAGAATCCTCCTTATCCTGGCATGATTCCTTGCATTCTAGACCTGAAATCAGGGTCTTCTAGTCAGGCAGAGAAACGGAAGGCGAACAGCGATGCATCGAGGAGGTTCCGGAATCGGAAGAGAAACGAAATGCAGCTGGAGCAAAAGATTGCCGGGCAACTGGAAGAGATCCAGAAGAAAACTGAAGAGTTGAAAAGGCGGGACGATCAAATCCGATCTCTGATGCAGGAACGAGATTTCTATCGCTCTGAGAGGGATTTCTTCCGTGAACACGTCTCCCGCTTAGTGCCTACAGGTCAGCTTCCGGCCAGGCCAGCATCCCCACTTACCCTACGACCGCCCTTCGAGTCCACCGCCTCTGAGCGCGAGGCCACATGGCATGCCTCCGAGGCCAGAAAAATGGTCGAGAACACTTCTGGAAGTGGAAAGCTGGCCCCAGCGCCATCTCACCTGATGGCCGGTTCGTCAACCAGGCCGCCCGTGACGTGGTCGACCGCTCCGACTTCGTATCCGGCAGCCCACGTTGAGCGAAGTATGCTGCCCGACGAACAGCAAGCAAGATCATTGCCTCAGTTCCCTGGACAATGGGCGCGAAACTCCTAAATGAGATGAATAGCAAACGTGAACATCGGGCGCCTAATCTGGCTTTGAAATCTCGGGTATCAGATTCCTCTATGGTACTTCTAGCGGCTCGCAGGGAGGGCTACTAATGCCAGCGCGACACGCTTTCTCGAGATATCGTCATTTCTCATTTTTCCCTTCTTGTCATGTAATCGACCTTTGTGTGCCCTTGCACATCGGGGGACTGAGAGCCATAAAAGTTCCTAAAAGGCTTGTTTTCTTTATCCGCCGGAGGCTAAGTCATCTTAAGCAATGGGGAAAAGCTCTCTGCACACAGTTTGTGTGATCAGCATATGAAATAGGTGTATGGACGGGTGGTATTTTGAAAGGTGTGGCTTTGTCCTTTCCTCTTGTTTGTCTTTCCATGATCGGGTATTCTCATGCAACTTGTCTACCTTATACATTTATCGTACACATTTACTCAATTATGTCGCCCTTGATTTTTTGTTCCTTGTTTATTCAGACGTTGGGTGGCGTTGGGTTTCTCTGCTTCGCTTTACCATGAGTTAAACGGCCTGCACGGTGGACTTTTGAAGATACTCCTTGCTGCATGCAGCATTGTCAGCAAATGCATTGCTTTGAATGATTTTGTGTTCTCGCGTTGGACCATAGACGCTGCCATTATCTGACTTTTAATGAGCGAGGGCGAAGTTTATCATTCAACGTTCTGTTCTTTGTGGATTTGTCCACGTCCTTTCGGACTTTTTGACGCAGCGTTATAGACTGTATAGCATATTCAGGGATCAATTGACGACGCATGCACTCGAGAATCTTCAGCCATGGAAAGCGTTCTGTAGATCTTTGGTAAGAGAATCGATGGCAGCCTAGGGCATCCAGGCACCTTTTCCCAAAGGGGAACGTCCACCCGTCCACGTGCCCGGTTCAGCCAATCAGGGCATCCCACGGCATGTGTTGGATCAGTGATCAGCTCGAATGCAATATAATGAAGATGCAACCAACACCATCTGCTGGGCTTCTCTCGAGAAAGCCCCTCCACTTCTCACACTAGATATATCCGGCCCGCGTCGACTTCCCGTTCCATTCGGCCTCGTCCGCTGAAGATCCCTCCCACTGCTGCACGTGGGCCACCATTGTGAACTTCTAACCTGAACTGGTAGAGTATCACACACCATGCCGAGCGGGGATGAAGGGGTTATATGAGGACCGGCTGGTCCGGTGCAATGGCCATCGCCATCAATTGCTGCTGTGCAAGAAATTTCTCCTCATAGGTATCATGGGTGTCTCTGCCGTTCTACTTCCTTTGTACCTCCTGTCCGGGTATGCTAATCATCCCTATCGGAGCCTGATATGGACCCTCCCCTTCCGAAGGCCCCCTGAAGCTTGGACTGTGTGGGACTATTGATCTGATCGCTGACAATCTGTGCACAGAGTCACCTCCGGACTGGCAGTCCCCGCCTCGAGAAATCAATCCACTTGCGATACGGTCGATCAGGGGTATCAATGCTTCTCGGAGACTTCGCATCTTTGGGGCCAATACGCGCCGTTCTTTTCTCTGGCAAACAAATCGGCCATCTCCCCTGATGTTCCTGCCGGATGCCATGTCACTTTCGCCCAGGTTCTCTCCCGCCATGGAGCACGGTATCCGACCGACTCCAAGGGCAAGAAATACTCCGCTCTCATCGAGGAGATCCAGCAGAACGCGACAACCTTCGAGGGGAAATATGCCTTCCTGAAGACATACAACTACAGCCTGGGCGCGGATGACCTGACTCCCTTCGGAGAGCAGGAGCTGGTCAACTCCGGCGTCAAGTTCTACCAGCGATACGAATCGCTCACAAGAAACATTGTCCCGTTCATCCGATCCTCAGGCTCCAGCCGCGTGATTGCCTCTGGCAATAAATTCATCGAGGGCTTCCAGAGCACTAAGCTGAAGGATCCTCGTGCCCAGCCCGGCCAATCGTCGCCCAAGATCGACGTGGTCATTTCAGAGGCCAGCACATCCAACAACACTCTCGATCCGGGCACCTGCACCGTTTTCGAAGATAGCGAATTGGCCGATGACATCGAAGCCAATTTCACCGCCACGTTCGTCCCCTCCATTCGTCAACGTCTGGAGAACGACTTGTCTGGCGTGTCTCTCACGGACACAGAAGTGACCTACCTCATGGACATGTGCTCCTTCGACACCATCTCCACCAGCACCGTCGACACCAAGCTGTCCCCCTTCTGTGACCTGTTCACCCATGAAGAATGGATCAACTACGACTACCTCCAGTCCCTGAACAAATACTACGGCCATGGCGCAGGTAACCCGCTCGGCCCGACCCAGGGCGTCGGCTACGCTAACGAGCTCATCGCCCGTCTCACCCACTCGCCTGTCCACGATGACACCAGCTCCAACCACACATTGGACTCCAACCCGGCTACTTTCCCGCTCAACTCCACTCTCTATGCGGACTTTTCGCATGATAACGGCATCATCTCTATCCTCTTTGCTTTGGGTCTGTACAACGGCACCAAGCCGCTGTCTTCCACGACCGCGGAGAATATCACCCAGACCGATGGGTTCTCATCTGCCTGGACGGTTCCTTTCGCGTCGCGCATGTACGTCGAGATGATGCAATGCCAGTCCGAGCAGGAGCCTTTGGTCCGTGTCTTGGTTAATGATCGTGTTGTTCCGCTGCATGGCTGTCCGGTTGATGCTTTGGGAAGATGTACGCGGGATAGCTTCGTGAAGGGGTTGAGCTTTGCCAGATCTGGCGGTGATTGGGGGGAGTGTTTCGCTTAGTGCATGATACTGACGCAGTTGGAATGTCACATATGAGATTACCCATCAATTACTTCGTGTATGCATATATCGAGAATTTTGATGATGACTACTCCGGTGGATATCTAGTACCCTCAACCATACAATCAAAACCTACTACAATCAAACCCAATTCCCTTCTATCCCTCATTCCACAACTATCCACACTCAACGCATAGCATTATACCCCCATGACAGGATCAAAAACAAACAATATTATACAAACCCCCCAATGCAATAACAACCGCAGTCCATACCTCATATAAATACAATATCCAATACACTCAACCCATCCCACTAACCACCCCTACTACTTACTTCTCCCCCTCCCCCTCCACCTTCCCAGAACCCGAAGTCAAAGTCGAAGGAGTAGCCGAAGCAGAAGACGACCTCTCCACCAACCTCTTCGGCCTCTTATCCCCATACGCTACAACAACAAACCCCACCCCCGTTAGCAAACACTCCCCCTCCCTAGAACAAAACAAAAAAGCCAAAGAAATGTGGAAAAAGGGATAACATACTCCTCTCATACAAACTCCACGACGTATACATCAGTATCGGCAATCCCACCATTACTGATATCCATCTATATAACCATACCCACGTTAATGATGAATTCCAACATAGAAGGATATAAAGAGATGATAGCAGTAAAACAGGGAAAGAAGGAGGAGGCAGAGGGTGACGTACCGTCTCGCGGCGACTTTATATTCTTTCGTTTGACGAATATCTTTAATTGCTCCTGCTCTTGCTCCTGCTGGACGTCCACGCGGTGGGATGGACGTCTGTTGTGGTTGGCGGTGATGGGGATCCATGTTCACTCTTGGTTTGGGGGTGGATGATGGTTGGGTGGGCATTTTATTTCTTTTATTTTTTTTTTTGGTTGGTTGGTTGGTTGGGTCACTTAGGGGAGTTGTTATTTGGAATCAATTAAGTGGATGAGTGAGTGATGTTAGGTGAGTGATTATTCGGATTGAAGATAGATTGGATATGAAATGATTGATGGGATGGATTGATGGATGGATGGAGGCGGAAAAGTCAGGTGGTTCGGGGATTTGTGTTTGTGCCTGAGGCATCTATATCCCATCTTCTCTAGACAATAGCTAAGTTGATTCCACGACAATGCATAATAGCCACGATGTGTATGTATTTATTTCATTTGTAAGTTATTTAAATTAACCCGCTGTGCTATTGCCTTGGCTATCCACCCAATTTCGAAGTTCGAGAATTAAAAGTCATCCTACAGTACAGAAAAAGTAAAACAGTGAAGGGGGAAAAAAGAAGAAACAACAAGATAATACAGCCCGTCCAGGTCCATTCTAGTTCTTCGAATGACCAAATAAGAAAACAAAAAATTGGGCAAGCAAGCAAAGCATATTCTAAACGGAACGCCAATAACTTCGCCTGCCTGTGGAATTAAGCGCTATGCACGAATGGCTCGAAAAACTTCCGTAACTCCGTAATTAGAGAGAGATATGAAATTAAGCTGACCATGAGGGAGTGATATGGAGGTGCTTTGTTGTATTGTCGATAAAGAGTGAGACGATCGTAGATCCCGATTTGGTTGCACTTCGATAGTAACAGCAGCTCCGGGATGATGTAGATGTAAATGTGAGTTCCACACAGAGTGCTGTTTACTTTGAGAGAGCAGTGAGAGATGTATGTGAAGCAGATGAACCATGACGAAGCGATCCAGACACACTTAGACTTCAGTGTACGGACGCTTCCGCGGGTTGATAGCGTATAGTTTGAGATGCCACGCGGAGCGCCGAGTAAGCGATAGAGATGAGAGATGCGTGTGTCATGAGGTAGCAGTGATGCCTTGATCCATCGAGCTATATATGAAGTGCAGTAAACCGTAATCGAGCGAGCTCAGATACTCAACGATCAGTTTGTAATCGGCTCTGGGTTGAGATGGAAATGAGTAGAGTGCCTCTAGAAGCCGAGTACATGATGCGAATGTGAGATGTGTATCGTCGAGCATCAGAGAAAGCATCCTCAATATCAGTCGGTAACGAACCTGCGGGTTGATATGGTAGTGAGATGCCACGCAGATTCGATACCAAGATGAGATTCGAGAGATATAAAGGAGCCATCGTATCGTGAACAAGCGAACCAAAGCATACTCCATGATCAGTCCGAACCGGATCTGCGGGTTGAGATGAATATGAGTTGCCACGCAGATCCGGTGACATATAAGAGAAATGAGAGATGTAAAACAGCCACTTTATCTTCATCAAGCATCAAAACACATTCCATGGTCAGTCTGTACGGTCTGCGGGTTGATATGTAAGAAAGGCGATGCCACGCAGATTCGAAACAGATTGAGAGATATGAGAGATTTGAACAGCCACTTTTTCTTCATAAAGCATCAAATCACACTCAATGGTCAGTCGGTACGGGTCTGCGGGTTGATGAGCAAGTTTCGATGCCACGCAGACCGCGCACATGCGATGTATAAAGCTAGACGAGTGTAGACTGACCATCGAGGAGCATCTCAGTTGGGTTGGCCGTTGGAATGGCCGTTAGGTTGACCGTTGGGCTGGCTATTGGGATCATCAGATTTGTCCGATGGAACGTTCCGTTTGCGTGCGTTGGCGCGACGAGCTCTCTGCTCAGCGTGATTCTGAAATTCGGCGATCAAGGCGGCTGCAGCACGGCGACGGGGACGTCCCCCAGGAGCTGTGTTGTAGTTTCGGGGCGGCGGTCCGGGAAGGGGAGCCAAATTGAGAGCCTCGAGCTTGTCTTTGGGTGGTTCGGGAGGCCCCTTTGCAAGATCTTCTGGCGTCGTGCGTTTCATCATCTCTTGAGTATAATTACGACGCAGGCCGAGCTTCAGGATTTTGGAAGGGCTAGATCGCTCCTGCTGACTCTTCGTCTCGGTGGGCTTCGTCTCAGCGGGCTGATCTTCCATCTCAGAATGGGATCGCTTTCTGGTAGCCCCCGCCGCTCCTCCCTTCAAGGTCAGCTTGATACGCAGCGTCTTGGGCGGCTCAGCAGGTGGAGTTGGTTCTGGCTCCCTCCGGCGTCGCTTGGTCGGTTGAGTGGTTTCTGAGGCCTCGCCGCCGCGGCGCCGTTTGCGAGTCGGCTCCTTGGTCTCCTTGGTCTCTTTTGCTTCACCTGAACCGTCTTTCGGGGCATTTTCATCGTGCTGAGCGATCAAGGTTTGGATATAGGCAGCCGGCATCATTCGGTCAACAGCGATACCTCTCTTGCGGGCCTCCTCCCGAGCCTTGATGGTCGCCTTGACCTCGTCCACGTTTTCGAAGAAGAAAGGCATCTTGTTGTCCTGGGGCAGGTTACGCTCTCCCATGCGTGGGGGATACCCGAAGATGCGATCCTTCTCAAATTGTTCGTGAGACTTCAGGCGAATCGGAGGTTGGGGAAGCAACTTGTCTCCGTAGGTGTTGTTAGGGCGGAACCAAGAGTAGCCTTCGCCAACGAGCACAAGCTCTTCACCATATTTATTCTTCTTGCCTGTGAAAACGAAACCGTCCTCGTCAGTCCACCGGTGCGTCTCGGACGTAGAGAAAGGCTTACTGGATCCCTCAACGCCGATCTCTGCCTGGGGCTGCGCTTCGGATGCGGCCTCGGTCACGGGCTCCGCCTCGGACTGCACCGTTGGAGTTTCGGTCTTCTTCTCCTCAGACTTCTTCACGTACTCCTTGCGCAGCTCTTCGAGCCAGCCCTCGGCTTCCGATGACGGCTCAAATTCTGGAGCAACAGCTGCCGCGGCCAGATCAAGAAGTCGGTTTGCAACAGCTGCCCATTTTCCATCGACGGCTGCCTTAAATGCCTGTGCGGTACCAGTTGTTTTCGCACTGGCCTTTTTGTTTGCACGCGTCTTTTTCACTGCTGCCTTGCCCTTTACTTCTTTGAGAGCAGACTCTGGCATTGATGACGGTGCACGGTTTCTCCGGAAGCGCCGCTCGGATTCCAACGATTCCATAGCTTTGATGGTAGGCTTTCTGGTTCTTCCAGATGTGCGCGCAGCTGAAGTAGTGGTTGAGAAGCTGGCAGTTGGGGAGCCTGGGCCATCATTGGAGCCATCGAGACCAAATTTGTTTCCATACATATCAGCAGGGTATTCAAAGGGAAAACTTTCGCCGTACGGAGTACTGCGTTCATATCCAGGAGTATCCAAGTCATATCCAGACATGGTCTCGTATCCAGCTTTGCTGTCAAAGGCAGGAGTGCTTTCAATGCTGTCAGCAACCTCGCGGCTGAAAGGTGTCTTTGGGGCTGACGGTGTTTCAAGAGACCCGTCATCCACGGCCTGGCTGGCTGAGGTGGCTGCAGTCTTTCGAGTAGAACGCTGGGGTCGAGAACTTGTTCGAGCAGCAACCTGTGAATTGACAGGCTTGTGACTGTTTGCATTCACCGCAGAGACGGGAGTCGACTGCACTGATTTGGAATCCTGAGTGACAGCCATTGCTCTGGACTTGCGTTCCGCACGACGAGATCTGGCAGTCGTGGTACGAGGAGTCGAGCGAGGCTGCGTAGCAGGTGTTGCAAGCTTGGTGCTAGCCTCCTGGGTTTGGGCAGCTTTAGCATTGTTGGCAGACGCAGCAGAACTAGCGGGAGTTTTGTTGGCTTTGCCGCCCTGAGCGTTCTGCTGGGGTGTAGAAGTAACAGAAGTGGTAGAGTCCACTGAAGAAGTCTTCTCGCTGTTCTCAACGCCGTTCAGCTTGGCTGGCATAGACTTGCGCGTCTTGCGGCCGTTGGAAGCGGAAGGGTTCATAACAGGTGAGTTTGAAACGTTAGAAGTGGACATAGTGGGGTTTGGTGACGGGTTTTGAGTAGCCAAAGACTTGCGTCGGTCTTGGGGTTTTCTTGACAGAAAGTTATGCAACGTCGACTGGGACTGTTGCTTGGGATTGGGAGCAGGAGTTGCAGGTTGCACGGTCTCACCGTTGGCTAAGGCCGATTTCCTGCCGCGTTCTCTTTTCCTAGAGACGCTGTTGGATATCTGCGAGGGACCACCAGAGCCTTTCTGGTTCGGGGTCTGGGCAGAATCTTGAGTTGAATCTGTCTTTTCGTCTACAGTAGCAGAACGCTGCGTCTTGCGACGTTTGGCAGAGGGAAGCTGTTCTTCGAAAGACGTTGTGACAGGTGTTGGGGGCAAAGAGTAAGAGGAGTGGGAGAGGTTTGAAGGGTGAGCTTCTGGTTCACGCGTTGTCCTACGTGAGGCACGAGATGAACTGCGTCGTGTTTCTCGCTGGAAATCTGTTTAGAAATTGAAGAAAGAGACGCGAGGCAGAAAGATGCAGAAGACTTACAGGAGTCAAGTCGAGGGAGAGGGCAGCGGGGGACCCAAGTTCCCTCGCAACAGAAGCCCTACCAACCACTTCAGTGTTGTTAGCTTCCATCACAGTGAATAGCCGGATCCAAGTGAATCCCCAAGTCCTAAAACGGGATTCAGGTCTTTGTTCGGCTTACTTGTTCACCGTTTCTCAGTCACTTCCCTCCCTTCAGCAACCCCGATATACGGCTTGTCCCGGCCGAATCCTTGATTATACAACCACTAATACTTCGGAGGCAACGGACAGATTGGCGGGCGAACTACAGTGTCTATTCCGGCTGAAATGAAGAGGTTCGATCGGAAGGGTAATGCGACGGGGATTTGGGGCTTTTCGGGCCTGTGAGGCGAGGCGAGAGTCAGTGAATGGAATGAGGGCCGATGGACGATTCGGAAAACGGAGGCAAGCAGGAGCGGCACCTCCTGGAAACCCAAAACACCTGGCATGAACCACCAACGGGGCACGAAGCAGTCCAACTATCTTCTCCACGTACCAATATCCAGCTATACTCGTTGTAATTGTAACCACAACCGCCCAGATCCAACTCGTCGTGATCGGAGACCAGGGTGACCCGTCGGTGAAGCGGAGGCGAGGAGTCGGAACGTCAAGGCAAACTGCAGGCGCAGGGGGGCTCCCGGGGCTAGAGAAGAAGCATATAAGACATGGCGCAAATGCAAAGGAGCGACTATTGAGCCGTTCGAGGATCTCCGGGATCGCAACAGTGGCAGGCAAACCCGATAGTCCGGACGAGGGAGCGAAGAAGAAATGTTTGGCAGCCCGAACTCCATCGAGATGCCGGGAAATTAGGGCTTGCACGGGCGGGCGGGCGGTCACTGGACCGCCGCTTGCCCCAAAGCCGCGGGCGCTTATCTTAGCGCATCTTCCGCTTCGGCCTGTTCGTGTCGACGCTCAAGCTTCCCATTCCTCTCGCTATATCCCCGGTGTTTGGCCTTGTCGCTTCCTCCTTTTCTGTTCATTCTACTGCCTGGTCGCTGTGGTTTTGGTCTCTCGCTCATTATGCAGCTGTGGCACTCCGTTCTCCAGCTTTCCTTGCTGGCTTCTGCTGCCATCCCGACCGCGGCTGCCTCCGCATGGGGATTTACTGATGCCACCGTGTCAGTAAACACCAAAGGCGCAGGTGTCGGCGCGGGCGTGAAGGAGGTGTACGTTTCTTGTTTTCTACGTTGTTATTTTTCTCTTCTGGAACTTTTGGACTGATGGTATCTCTCAATTGACAGTATCCCCGATAACAAAGCTCTCACCAAGCCCGTCGCCCTTGGAGTCGCCGATACCTTGAAAGTTACCTTGACAGCTCAAGAAGGACGCGCCGGAAAGCACGCACACCAAGTGTACCTCCTTCTCCAGGATCCTGAGACCGGATTGGACATTTCATACCCTTTCAACGTCAAGGACAATGGCAAGTCCAGGCTTGACCTGGTGGGTGGCCCTAATTACACGCAGAACCAGCTAGGACACAGCTGATGTATACTTCAGACCCAGAAAGACCTTCCCATCCAATTCCTTTCCGCCTCCGAGCCTCTCGAGGCCCGATTCCTCATCGGATCCTTCGGCGAGTCGACCGCATACAATGCTGCTGCCTTCCAGCTGGATGTGACCCGTAACGCTGATGAGCCCGTCCCGACCGTCGAGGTTTCGCGGTACGGAAAGCTTCCTGAGATCCACCACATCTTCAAGAGCGACCCTCAGAGCCCTCCCGTTGTGATCACCTTGGCTTTTGTCGCCATGGTGCTTGCTACTCTGCCCGTTCTGGGTGGTGTGGTAAGTTCTACTCTATACCATTGTTTTCAATACATCACTGACACTGTTCCAGTGGCTCTTCCTCGGCGTCAACGTCAACCACCTGCCTACCGCCTTGAAGTCGGCTCCTATTCCTCACGTCGTGTTCCTTGGCTCCCTTCTCTCCATCGAGGGCATCTTCTTCTTGTACTATACTTCTTGGACTCTTTTCCAGATCCTCCCTGCTGTCGCAGTGGTCGGATCCGTCGCATTCGTCAGCGGCAGCCGCGCTCTGGGTGAGGTCCAGGGCAGACGGCTTGCCGGACTCAGGTAAACTGCAGTACTGGACTACTGCGTGCCTGAGCGATCATTTTGAAGTAGTGTTCCTATAGGGAACCAGGCTTGTGCAGACAAGTCTTACTGTATGAGTGTAGCAAAACCAGACATGAATAGGACTCAAGCATCTACTATACGATACTTTCATCATAGCATATCTCTACAAAAATACATCCCAGACCGTCAGGGGCATACCCTTCACAACAGCGACTACAATATCAAGTAAAGAACAAGTAAATAATTCGTAATGGCTGACGTCACCCGCGCGCCTAGCCCATCATCCCAAACAGGCTAGTCCGCCCGATCCTCTGCAGAAGGCAATTGATTCCATGTAAAACCGATCATCACCACCACCGCAATTATGCTTCCAGAACATCAGTGCTAAACCCCAGCTCCACCCCCAGATCCGCAATCTCAAATCCTCCAGATCCCATGGGCGCCTCATCCTCCAAGCCCGCGAGATCCGCCGCCCAGGCTGTCTCGCGGCGCCAATACCCAAAACAACCCGTTTCTCCTCCGACCTCCTCCCCAGCACAACCACCACCAGCATCCAAACCCACACGACAACAACCACAACCACCGCGACAACCGTCGCGACCACCCCCCGCCGGACCAACCTACCACTCCAAAGAACCCCCCTCCCTCGAGCGCTCATCAGGTACGTACATACATCCACCCCCATCACATACATTCAATCCCCAAACTAACCACTTTTCTACAACAAAAGCAATCGACCTCGACGGCCGCGACCCCGACTTCGCCGCACAGCTTCGCACCATCGGCCCCGTGACCCCGAACCCGACCTTCTCTCCCTCCAGCACCTTTGCGCGCCAACAACCCGCGCCTACCGTCTTCCCGCCCGCATCTAACCCGGCGTTACTGGTTTTCTCGGCGCGGCAGCGCCTCACCAAGGCGGCGGAGCAGGAGCTGGAGGCGATGGGGAGATCGGGGTTCCAGGGCAGGGAGTACCTTGATGCGTTGACTATTCGGCAGGTCTTGGCGATGAGGGATAGGCAGGGATTGTCGGCGGAGGAGATTGAGCGGCTACTGAGGTTGAAGAGTGGTGTTGTGGGGAGGTTGGGGGAGAGGGGTGTGGTTGGTGATATTGGTTAACGGGTTGGGATCTGCTTGTTGCAAAGAAATGAGTGTACGATAGGGAAGAGTGGACGGATGTATGTATGCATGGTTATGGAATGGCATTGTAATTCTATGGGATGATTTGGTTCGGTGCTGAGGTGTTGTAGATGGATTGTTTGGGAATTGTGCATAGGTGTTTGGGCCTAAACTGATGCGTAGGATTATATCTATGGACTGTATGCTGCTGCTATGTTGCTACATTACAGCAGAGCTCGTGCGATTATGTGGGCATGTGGAATCACAGGAGAACTCGGACTTGCTCTTCCAGGGCATAATTGGTATTCGAAAGACTAGATCAGTTAGTTTTGCTCAAAAAGCCGAGGCTGATTGTTCTTCATGTCCATCATACCCTATTTGTTTATGTTCAACGCTTGGTCTCAATATGTTGGTACCTTTCTTTGAACGTCCGCCATACGTCTACTCAAAAAAAAAGGCCCATCGGGATGGGCTATAACAGAGACACGAACGGGAAATTTGCCTGAAATAGCCTCTTATGTACTCACAGTAGTAATTATGAACTTATATATCATTAGTAAGAAACCAATTAATGCATGTTCGTTCAATTCCATATCATGTCGCTGTAGTGGGATATGTGTTATACTTCCTTTACTTGGTTATCCATCATCGCCGCAGGACGTTTCATACAAACTTTAGTACAGCACGAATGGAATCAGTAGTTTCTATAAAATCTCGCTCTCTATCAGTAGTGCGCTAAAAGACCGCAGGCACTGGGCATTCCTTCCAAGCTGACAATTGTGGAATATGTTTATAATTTGGTAGACTTCGGTTGCTGAAATATATATTCATGCCACTGGGGAAGAGCGCAATATAATCTTCAACATTATCACGACCTCACCTCTATCCTGTCCCGATAACAATATAATCAAAACTACGAAATAAAAAAAGACCAAATAAAGCCTTCAACAGTCGCAAAAAAGGGATCTTGACCCAGGAACCGAGCAGGTAGAGCAAAAACCAAAAAGATCTCCCCGACTGGGAGTCGAACCCAGGTCTCCCGCGCTTGTTCCTTTTAAGGATTGACAAGCGGAAATCATGACCGTTAGACCATCGAGGATTGTTGTTGTCAGCCTCTTTAAATTATGCTATATCAGCTACCAATTGTTCCTTTCAAAACAAGGGCCATTGTCCTCCGTACCAGTCCCATCGCAACCATGAAACCTACTCCCCCAGATGACGATTCGACTTCCCACACCATCAACACGAACCATTCCAAAACTGGAGATCCCGGTCTGTCTTCCTCTCATTTCTCCTTCCAGAAATCCTCTACCAATATCCGCCACACCAGAAATAATCGTAACCGGTCACAAGAAACCCCATCATCAACGCTGTTGGCGATTGCAAAGTGTGGGCTCCATATAGAAACATATAACTGGATACCAAAGTCGGAGTGATACGGGGAACATACTGCACGCAGACAATGTCATGCACACAGCGGCGGTGATGCGTTGTCAATGATTCTTTGGTCGATATTCTATTACTCAGGAATGCTGGGTCAGGCTGTTAAATCTAGTATCTAAGTAAGCAAGTAAACTGGAGCCAAGTGAACCAATTAGTAGACTTACGTGGATGGTGCGAACTAAATAGTTACTTAGCTACCACTAGTGGTTAACTAGTATAGGAGTCATGCTGACGATCCGGGGAAATATCAAGTGACTACCGAGACCGCATCATCCGGGGAAGAAGTATATACCAATGAGATGGTGATGAAGAGGAGGAACCCGGAAATGTCCGTGTGTTGGGGTTATAGTATACCATGCGTGTTGAGAAGATCCGATCCCCACCGAACTAAACATCTTCTAATAGTACAGTAGTCAAAACAGGTGATTCCCTCCAACAACGAATTGAAAATAGACCGACTGCAAGGCCTAGTCACCACGTGAACTGGGACCCATAAACACTAATACTGCAATATCGAATAAGGGTCTAGATTATGTTCACGAATCGATCCCCTTGCATCTCGATCGAAGACTAGGCCGTTTAGGCGATATGTTAGGCATCAATATGTATCGATTTACCTTCAAACAAGTGAACTGTATGGATCACGAGACTTATTTCCTGGTTTTGCTTTTCTTTTTTCTTTTTCTTTATCAACTTGAGTGGCTGGTTTGGGTTCGCTCGGCACATAGATCCGTCTTAGGCTCTCATCCTTCTTACATCCATAGGTATCTACTTACTAGAAAAGAGAAAAGATGACTGTCTTCTCAGCTAATAATCCCCCTGTATAAGACCCAAATAGGCAATCTCTTTTGCTTTCTCGGCGAAGTCTGGTTTCATCTACTTCACTTTGCAGGTGGAACTAGACTAACAGATAGGCCAATAGCAACTTATCTGTTGTTCGTGTTGTGTGAGTGTAGCACAGCCATCTCTACCCATACAATTCCGAATCGAATAGTACTAAGTACTGTTCGTATGAACCACCGGAGAATAGAGCAAGGTAGCAAACGAGCCAACTTAGTAACTGCCCAATAAAACCCAAATCCAAAACCCAAACCCAATAAATATAGAAGTTGTTATCAGTCTATACATCAACCTAACGTCACATCTACCTCTCCAACCCTGGTTCAGAACCATTCTAAAACGTATGCAGTTATGCGGGGATCACTAAAGTGGGGTGGGGGTGATTACCCCGGATCGATGGGTGGGGATGGGCAGTATGATGGGTCTTGGCAGATACTAGGAAGGGATCCATGATTAGGCTCAGCTTACGACTACTCTTACTACTTTTGCGACAGGGTGATTTATTCTTCGTGCTTCATTGGACTTTGGATTGCTAGGCTCAGCTCAAGGTGAATTTTGTGTGGGGTCATGTGCGATTTTCCGGGGTGGTGGGATCTGCGCGCTAAGTGGTGCTATTTGTAACTTTGTTTGGGGTTGTGTTTTGGTCTAGCTTGCTGATGGGGACTGTTATTGGGTGGTGTAATTGATGGAGGTGGCGGATGTTGTTTTACTGGGGGATCATGGATTCATATATCGGAGGAAATAGTAATATTGATTAACTAGGTAAGTAGGGATGATAGGTATGTATAATAGGTATAGGTACAGGTGGTAGGTAGCAGCTCTAGGTACTGTTCATCAACCCAATCATCCCGTTCAGACACCAAACGCTAAAGGGAAAGAAATATTGGCCTCCTGATGAAGAGCCAGACGTCATGATAAACCAATTGTGATGTGAAGTGCTCGCTTCCAATGAACGCCATGCGGTAATCAGAGTGCAGTATAGAAGAGTGATAGGAAAAGGAAAAGAGGATGACTGATCATGTCATCACCATGCGGCGTGACCACCGTCAATGCGGAGGTCACTACCGGTCATGAAGCTGCTGGCGTCGCTGAGGAGGAAGACTGCAGCACCGCGGTACTCGTTGGGTGCGGAAAGTCGACCGAGCATGTTCTGCTTGGGCCACTCGTCGCGACGCTCAGGATATTGTTCAAATAACTTCTCAACCATGGCGGTGACAATGTACCCAGGGGAGATGGTGTTGACGCGGATTTTGTATTGGCCCCATTCGGAGGCGAGGTTACGGCCAAGTTGAATCACGGCAGCCTTACTGGCATTGTAGGCGGGGCAGATGAGACCCTAGAGCACCATGAGTCAGTTTATGTACAGAAATCCAAGAGAAGGAAGAGTCAAAGCGGGGAGGACAGGTAGGGCTGGTAACGGGTGACATGATGGGAACATACCCGATTGGCAATGGTGCCACTCATGCTCGCAATTAGGGCGATGCTGCCTCCATTCCCGAAGCGAATCATTTGCTTGGCGACTGCCTGAGCGGTCATGAACACCCCCGTGACATTCACCTCAAACATGGTGTTGGAATCCTTGGCTGTGTACTCCAGCGCGGGGGTCTCTTGCTGGATTCCGGCCGCCGCCACCAGACCATCCATTCGGCCTTCAGTGTTGGCAATAGTTTCAATCACGGTGTTCAGCAGCTCCGTGTCGCGCACGTCGATGCGACGGTAGTGAAGCTCAGTACCCAGTTCTTGCAGAGCACGCTCCTGGATCACGGCGAATTCGGGAGACTAGAAGAATTGCGCGTTAAAAGAGGACATAGTAGACTGCTTCTAGGTCACTTACGGGCTCATCCAGACGATCAAGAGCGTAGACTTTGGCGCCCGCTTCCAGAAGGGCTTCAGCTTGGGTCAAGCCAAGGCCACGCGCAGCTCCAGAGACCAAGACAACCTTTCCAGCCAGGCTGAACTCGGGCATCCTGGACTTGGAGCCGAGACATGGGCCATCCTGTACAACAGGGACCGGGGCGGGGGCAACGTCAGTGGTGTCGAAGGAAACAGACATTGTGGAGTAAGTGTAGAGTAAGGTAGAGTTCAAAGACAATAGAATGGAGAAGGTTTCAGGTGTAGGATAGACGTTGGGTTGGGAAAGTCTTGAAGTTCTTGTAGCACGCGAGTCACTGAGAAAGCAGAGGTGAGCACGAAGAAGACTCAATTGCTGATGGAAGAGTTCTCAATGAGCATCGAGCGAGCTTCTTATACATTTCACGATGAGCCCATGGGTGGCTTCCTCAGGGGGAATGATGTTGGCCCAAGACGGTCATGAGGGCTCATGTGAGCAACTAGAGATTGGAACCAGCACCCAAGAAAGATTAGCTGCGAGGGAGAGGTGGATGCGGTCCAGACCCAGGGAATGCGTGGACGGATGGGGATAGAAGGGAATACAATTCAGGTTCCACCAAGTGGTCATTCGGTCCTCTCTATCGTGGCAAGACCTGCAGGCATCTTTCCGACACTGAATGTTTCTGTATATCATACTGCACGGCAGCTATCCCGACCAGACGATAATAGTATACGACCTTGATTAACGCATATCCCTAGGGTCACTACAGTAATAGTTACTGCTCTCTTCAATCAGTATGACATCTCAACCAGGAGTATTTCCAGTTTCTCCCCAGCAGTAACTGGGTAATGAAAGGATGTCGATAAGTAAAGAGAAGCGGGCAAAGTGACATGGCCAATGGGGATGCACGCCCGCGGATGACGAAGTTAAATCATCATGAAGTAACGATATATCTTGAGGCCCATCATGAGAAATTCCCCCAGAAGCGTCGCTCTAACAGCATCATCCAAGGCAAATTTACGGCCTGACCGACACGAACAACGGACAACTGCCGGTCATGGCTTTCCACTGGAAGGGCCACTATTCGTGGAGTGCTCGGCTTTCTCTTTTAGGCAATCCGGGGATGGGGCGAATGGGGGCGCGGCGGGCGGAAAGAAGCTCCCCTCTACCAGTAACCGAAAAACTGGGGATGGGAAAAGAATGACCGTCAGGGTGACAGTTGGTCTGTCTCTGCCACTCCTGCTGATCACGGGGCCTGCCTGGGCGGTTCTGGAAGCTACATTTTATTCGGTCGAACATTCGACAGGGTGGTCACGCGTCGTTCGGAGATCATCCCGGATCCAATGCCAATCTTCCAGAGCCCTTGTCCTGCACATTATCAGGCACCTATCCGGGTACAGCATGTAGGGGTGTTATGTATGCATCACCTACATTGGAGATAGGGCCTTTTCAGTTGAGACGGTGGCATAGTATCTACTTTCTGTCTAGGTTGTTACTATGCATTTCACCTCAGTCTATACGTGGAGTGTGATCCTTTTTCCTGTATCTGCAGTACTACTAAGTACTTACTTTGCGACAGCAAGCTTATCACAGGTCCACGCAATCCTATTGGCCAATTGCTGGATCGTTTAGTTGTGGTGAGGATGGTTTTTGAAATTTGCAGTTCGTGCCAATTCCGCGGTCGCTAACATCCCCATCTCCATGGGTATCACTAAGAAGTATAGCGATACGGATCGAGGCAAGTCGTTTCATGCACTTGAAACAAATCAATATCTGATAGAAGTCTCGGACATAACCAACCACAATACCATGCGTATACGAGTCAGCGCATAGATGTTAAACCAGGGGCCACATACCCAAGCCCATCGAAACCACAACCATACCTTACTTTCCAGGAGGTTTGGATGAGGAAGAACCATTAACCACCATTCCAGGTACAGATAGATACATGGTCCCTGCTTCCCACGATGTGGTTAATGGGTCTAAACCAGATGTAGAGCAAGCAATCTGATCGGCCACCAGAAGCGGATCCGTGGGATTGCCGTGTGACCATCATATTTTTCTTCGCTGGATGGAAGGGTCTCATCCCTATCCCGGGAAGATGGACCGTGACGAGGTGAGGTGTCCCCATCTTTCCCTTCTGGGACTCCCGGGTGGCTTTTTCCTGCCTGAAATTAGGGGCATTTCGGCCCCGGACTTCTGCTACCATGGCACCCGCGTCTTCATCGGCGGCTGTATCAGGTCCCGTGAGCATTCTAATTTTCGATTATTGATTGATGTTTTGGAGCTTAAGCTTGGACTAGTGCCCAATGACGCTCGTTCCGGTTCATGCGGTAGAATATGCTGGTCTGCCTGACAACTGAATCTTAATGGCTGTGCTATTGCTGGCCATTTGCAAGTTTCCAAGCTCGAGCATGGCATGAAAATAGGCTTGAATAAGCATTGGGTCCAGATGCGCCCATCGGACATGCGGCCTGCTTCCCTGTCGAATCCGGAGGATCCGGGAGTTTAATCCGCAAAGAGAGCCTTTGGTGCATACAATTGTGCTCGTGTGAATTATGAGTATGCGTAGAGGCTATCGGAAGATGAATGTAAGTGAGTAAGCCTGTTTTAAGTAGTCGATAGACAGAGTCGTTCAACAGTGTAAAAGAACCAAAATGCGGGAGAGACGGCAATCGGCAGCGGCAATGATCGACTCGAGGGTGGCAGATTGTTTAGGGATCCCCAGGTTCCAGACTCTCCCACGGACAGGCTGGAGAGTAACTGCTGGTCAGTGCGCGATGCGACCCTGGCGGGCTAGGTGTCGAGGCCCCAGCGGAATGCTACAGGAAACGTTGAGCAACAACCCAGATTTCAACCATATTACTTCGATCTTGATGAAACAACTACTGATGCGGTACTCGAAATCAAGGAATTAACTTATATTAAAGCATTAACACCAGGTTATGTTTGACTGCGGACAAGCCACATCAACGTTTGCTGCTATTTATTGTTCAGTGGAGTCCAGGAAGGCATACTGTAGAGTGCTTTAGAGTATAGTCAGAGGAAAAAAATGAGTCGATATGATTTTTTTGGGCCTGTAGACGAGACCTCTGGGCCTATGCAGAGGTTTCCTATCTGATATGGGGAGTGTATGTTCGGTTCAATTTGTGCGCACTCGTAGAAGCAGATGGAAGGCCCACCACCCATATTTTACAAATATAAAGTCTAATGTCTATCCTACAATTTCATTTGACCAGAGCCAAGGAAGATGCCAATATAAGAAAAGTGAACGTGATAGTGACTGAAGCGGTAGCAGATAATACAGTGGCTCAAAGACTTAGAGTTCTCGCCTAATTGCTGCTATCTATAGGCATCTACTATGTATAGATAGTGCCGCCGCGGGGGCGTGAGGCGTGTGACCAGCAAGAATTTCCCCCAACTCCCCACTGCCCCTTCTTTTCTCTCCCCGCGGCAGCTTCAACTCTCGATTGACAGGAAACATTAACACAGGATACTAATACCTTATCCTATTACCGGTAAAGTTCACTTCCAAGGTTCACTCCCCCAAGCCACCAACTTGCTACTCCGTCCCTTCTGTCTCTCATTCCGATTGAACTCCGGCATATGGCTGACGTGGCCTCGATTGCACAATAGCTGCCCTTGCGACTGCAACTTGCTTGCTGGGTTTTCCCCTCGTCTCTCATACCTATTATACTTCACTTCCAAGACCTGAGACAGATGCAATATACAAGAGCGATTACCATCTGCCCCACTTGAGATGGTACTGATTGTCTACTAACACCCTAGTGATGAGATGCATCTTACATGCTAGAATCTTCCATGTGCATACATAGTTACTAACTTACTCCAGCCAGTTCAGACCGGTCGGCGTCTCTCCGATCGTCAGGTACGGTACTAACTGCGATAGTATGCCTGTCTGCCCGAGGTTGCTGGGGAAGCCGGATCTGGTGCTGTCACATGGCTCTTCAATCCGGCTTCTGGCTTCTAATAGATAACCGGTGCTCATTTGGGAGGCACAGTCCTCGTGTCTCGTCATACAGGGCTTTTTTGTGCAAGTTAATTGTCTGTTCAGAATTCAGATGCGTCCTCTGCTCCCCTAACAAGATGGCTATTGGCCTGCGTCCACAGACTAACTAATCTACTTCATTGAATCATCACTTGAGATAGTAGCACTTGATGCTACGGAAGTGCCATTTGAACAGTACTACTATGGTAGCCACATATCCTATGTATTGACCGGAATGGCCCCGGGGTATCGTTCACCAGCTGGGGTGAACTTGGCCAATATCTCATCAATCTCCAGCATCTCTTCATCCGTGATATCAATTTGCGTGCTATTCTCCTCTACCCGCTCCGCAGTTGTGGCACCCGGAATGGGAATAATGGTTGGTACACCCGGGCGCCTGGAGAGTGCTCTCGTCCAGTTGATGGCAAGCTGCGCAGGGGTGCAATTCTTCCTCTTAGCGATATCTTCTACTTTCTGTACCAGCTGCATATTCTTCTCGAAATTCTCCCGCTGAAATCGCGGAAAGTCGAAAGAGCGCAACAGCGAGTCCTGTGGAAGGTCATCAAACTTCTTGAACTGACCAGTTAACATGCCTCTGCCAATAGGCGAGTAGGCAATGATCGGGATACCGTACTGGGCGCAGGCCGCTGCGACGCCGTTTTCCAGAATATCAGTAGTGAACCTGTTCCAGTCAGCATTTCCCCTTTGCTTCTTCGCAAGAATATCAATAATCCTACAAAGAAAGCTCAGCCTCCACAGCAAGCACCTTAGTATACTTGACAGCTTCATGAATAGTCTCAGCCCGCACCTCCGACAAGGCAATACCCTCGATCTTGCCGGTCTGCACATACTCCTTCTCAATAAGAGCAAACGTCTCATGCATAGGCACGGCCGGGTCTCGACGAGCAAATTCGAACATATCGATCTTCTTGCGACTTTTCAGCTGTGCTATGCAGTTGTCTAGACTGCGGCGTGTATTCTCCGGCGATGCATCTATCTGGTGGGTCTCGGGGTTCACGCCACCCTTGATGTTCAGGACAATTTTGTCGGCATCTTCGGGGTATCTCTCGAGATATTGCTCTAGTAGAACGAGACTATTGTATTCAAGTGGGCCGTAGTTTTCACCACCGTTCCAACAGGTACCTATATTGCCATTGATCAGCGCTGGTTAAATAGCTGTATACCAGCAAAGAATGAAGACACAAATCTTACATACATCCCTTCTGAATTGCAGTATGCATGGCATCAAACGCCTGCTCTTGAGACGGTGGTGTCGCTCTCCAGGTTAATCCCATAAGGCCAAAGCCTATGGGGCCGACCTCCTTCCCGGCAATCTCGGGCATGTTGATTCTCAGGACAGTAAGGTTAGCGGTAGAATAGCAGAGCAGAGTTCTGGAGTGACAATGCTTCTTTTTGTTTTCACTTTTTGACTATCTCGTAGGAAGACCTCGCCTTGTGTATTTATAAGACGACATACCATAGCTACCTAAGTACTCCTCGGTCTTAGACATAACTCCGGTAGTTATTTCCGGTTTGCTTACCTCTTCTTCGGCGATGTTTGGGCGACCTCTAGCGGTCGCTTTTGACTTTTAAGCATTGAACCTGCATTGATGATAGTAGATTGGGCAACGTATTCAGATGGATTCTACTCGATGGTTCAGTTGGCAAGGAACATTAAGTAGTTGGATGCCCTTTCTTCTAACAGCCAGAGCCAACGTCTTACCCCAGCATCTTCAGAATTGCATTTTCGAAACCTCGATGTGTACCTCTATTAATCTAAGCTTTATCGACTGCTACCTACATTGTCTCTACGCTACAGATATCTGAGACGTACGGACATGGATCTTAGAAAGATGCTACTAAAGGAGAATTAGCGGAGCTCTGGCCACCATTGGATCGAGCTTCATGGAATTACTTTCGTACATTATACATAAGAGCGGGTTGAAATTGTATGCCAGCCTTGGGAAAACCCGGAAGTCATGGAAATGCGGTTGTGTCGTTCGTTAGCTGAAAAGTCAACTAGATGGAGGTACGATATAGTCTATCGCCAAAGTAGCGGAAGAAGGCTACACTAGTTCATTTGAGTCATGATCCTTCTATATGGAGCACGAGGCTGTGCATGTAGGATCAGCCCATCTTTTCAGCCTTGCTTACAGGCAGCAGTGGGGCCCGGATAGGTGACGCATCTCTCGAGCCTCATTCTGCAAATTCCACCTTATTATATAAGACTCAATTACTTGCACTATTCGAGTTAAAGACAAAAGAAATATATGAAGAGCCAGATAGTACGAGCATTCTGTACTCAAATACCAAACATGCAGCCATCACCTTCCAAATTCCTCACCTCTCCACCACCTGCCATCGCATCAACTTCGAGACTTCTCAACCACCACTCCCAGAATACAAAAACCTCTGCGCAGCAGTCATAGATAACGCGTTCACTGAAGAAGAATGCGCCGAACTCATCCGCATTGCGGAGTCCAGCACTATCCCTCCTGGCGACTCTACCGCGACACCTACGTGGGAGCGCGCCATGATCAATATCGGAAACGGCAGGCAAGCGCTCGCAACTGATACGCGGAATTGCGGACGTATTATCTATGATTCCGAGGATATAGCAGATAAGCTGCTGGCTCGGTTACTGCCATTTTTCAAGGAATTGGGGATCGACAAAATTGAGAATCAACCTCGGGTGACGGGCCTTGGAGGGCGGAATAAAGCTTATGGAATGACTCGGTTGAATGAACGGCTGAGGTTCCTCAAGTATGAAGGGGGGGAGTACTTCCGGCCGCATTGGGATGCGCTATACATGACGCCTGATGGAAAGGAGAAGTCGTACTATACTATTCAATTGTACTTGAATGGCAATGGGGAGCAGGATCTTGGGGAATTGAAGAGGGAAATGAAGAGGGCTGAGCGAGGAGAGGGGGAGGTAAATATGGATGTGAAGGGCGAGCTGCTGGGTGGAGCGACGTCTTTTCTACCCCGGTATGAGGAGAAGGAGAGGCATTTGCGTGTCTTTCCGAAGACCGGTTCGGTGTTGGTGTTTCAGCAGATGGATCTGCTTCATGGCGGGGATCCGGTCTTGAGAGGCACGAAATATACGATGCGGACGGATGTGATGTATCAGCAGTTGTGATTGCTGTATATTTGGTTTTACTAGAAGAAAGTTTAATTCTGTTAGTTGGTGTTCTTGTGTGCTCTCATGTGGCTGACTTGAGAAGACTCAAATGTTGGATGTCTGTCAGAGTAAGCTGACGTTGTTTCCGGCGAAGTTTTCCTCTAGTTGCATAGTTACCCTGCTCACCCGAAGTTAATTGCATTAGACCAGAAGTTGGACACGAGCGAACCACAGCAGAGCTGACTGCAGCAAGCCTTTGCTGCGCACCTCAGCCTTCTGGTTCCGTGGACTCCATCCGTCAGCTCCGGACCCACTGATCGCTGTGACATCAGGGTCCTTGTGTGAATGTATACCAGGGCCCTTGCGGGTCTCTTATCCCTGAGTAGTTGTAACGTAAATGCCTTAATGCGTTCAAAGCAAATGATTCACTCACAATTGGTGAGTACCACATGGGAGTTTTCAGAATCTAGCAAAAAGCCTAACAAGCAGTGTGTCGCCCAAGATCGATCCCGTGTGAACCATCATCCATGTTCGGCTTACCAACTTTAATCCTCAGCTACTACTCTCTGACTGCCAGTTCAGCTACGGAATTGCCGGTTTAAATCAGCCTCCACATGTAGTGTCCCGAACCATGGACTGCAATTCAATGCCATCTTCGCTTCAGACCCTCCAATCATCTATCAAAGATCCATGGTTCTCCAGACCGCAAGCAACGAGGTCACTATGATCACCACCAAGACTTCGGTACCATTCTTAATGCTTGACAAGTAATGGCATATCTACTACCGAGGCCCTCGGCTGCGCAGCAACCTTGGTCGGGTTGGAAATTCGAAGTGGTCGCTCTTTCTTGCTGTGAAGACGTCGGGGAGAGCTGTACTTCACCATCCCAACCCATTGGCTTCCTCTAGAAAACAGTAGCCGTATATTACTTGCTAGCATGCAGTGCATAGCAGCTTTACTTGCCTTTGCAAGCATATTGTCAGGTTTGTCATTGTCATTTCCAGTTTCAATTTCACCATTGCACCCTTCCGCAGCTTCCGGAGCTGGTCTAACCGCAGAGTTCCATAGGCGTAAGTGCTAGCTTCAACAATGAGTACGGCAGACACTTGATGCAGCAGCGCGCGCTACCAAATGCGCCTGATGGATATACACCAACTACGGTCGGGTGCTCTGCGAGTCGTCCCACTGTGCGCAGTGCGACAGCACTCTCGTCGAACGAATCGTCATGGCTAAGGACTCGGAGGAACAATACACTGTCGGCCATGAGAGAATTCTTCGGTCGCGTCAACATTACAGACTTTGACGCTGTGGGGTATATCAATCGCATCTCTAGCAACACCTCCGATTTGCCGAATATTGGCATTGCTGTCTCTGGTGGAGGGTACCGGGCTCTGATGAACGGTGCTGGGGCAATCAAGGCTTTTGATAATCGTACAGTCAATTCTACAAGCAATGGTCAGCTGGGTGGACTGCTGCAATCAGCAACATATCTGGCCGGCCTCAGTGGTGGGGCATGGTTGGTGGGATCTATCTACTTGAATAATTTCTCCACCATCTCGTCGCTTCAGACCTACGATCCTGGTGATGTCTGGCAGTTCCAGAACTCGATCTTTGAAGGCCCCGACGGGGATAGTATCCAAATTATAGATTCTGCAACCTACTACAGAGATATTTATGACGCAGTGTCTGGAAAGGATGATGCAGGTTGGCAGACATCCATCACTGATTACTGGTATGAGTCCTAGCCCAATTCTCGCCCAGCAGCGATACTGATGCCCACCAGGGGCCGCGCGCTCTCATACCAGCTCGTCAACGCCACCGCCGGAGGAATCAACTACACCTGGTCATCCATAGCTCTGACCGACTCCTTCAGGAGGGCAGAAATGCCAATGCCCGTGCTAGTCGCAGACGGCCGATACCCAGACGAGCTCCTAGTCAGCAGCAATGCCACAGTCTACGAATTCAACCCCTGGGAATTCGGCACCTTTGACCCAACGGTACACGGCTTCGTGCCCGTTCAGTATCTGGGCTCACGCTTCGTAGCCGGATCCCTTCCCAGCAACGAAAGCTGCGTCCGCGGGTTTGACAATGGCGGCTTTATTATGGGAACCTCATCCACCTTATTCAACCAATTCCTTCTTCAAATCAACACAACTAGCCTCCCCAGCTTCCTGAAAGACGCATTTACAAGCATCCTAGAAGATCTCGGCGAAAACAGCCAAGACATAGCAGTTTACACCCCCAACCCGTTCTATCTCTGGGCCAATTCCACCTCCCCATCCGCAAGCCAAACAGTCCTCGACCTCGTGGATGGCGGCGAAGACCTCCAAAACATCCCCTTACATCCACTCATCCAGCCAGAGCGCCATGTGGACGTCATCTTTGCCGTGGACTCCTCCGCAGACACGCAGTATAACTGGCCCAACGGCACCGCATTAGTCGCCACCTACGAGCGCAGCCTAAACTCTACGGGCATCGGCAATGGGACAGCTTTCCCTGCTATCCCCGACCAAAATACTTTTGTCAATGAGGGTCTCAATACGCGACCAACGTTCTTCGGGTGCAACTCATCGAATACCACTGGGCCAGCACCGTTAGTTGTTTACCTTCCTAACTTTCCGTATGTGACTTTTTCGAACGTGTCGACGTTTGATCCGAGTTACTCGGAGTCGCAGAGGGATAGTATTATCCTTAATGGGTATGATGTGGCCACGATGGGGAATAATAGTCGCGATGGGGAATGGTCTTCTTGTGTTGCGTGTGCTGTTTTGAGTCGGTCTTTTGAACGGACTAACACTACGGTGCCGGATCAGTGTAGCCGGTGCTTTGAGAGGTACTGCTGGGATGGTACTACGAATAGTTCGACTCCGGGTACTTATGAGCCCAGTACGGTATTTGATAATGCTGGGTATGCTGTAATGCCTGCTGTTTTCGCGACTACGATGGCTGCTGCGACTGTTTCGGCGTTTATGTAGGACATTTTCCGCTGTTCAGGGTGTATGTATAGTGAGATTGATAGGAACAGAAAAGTCAATGCATAGTAGGTTTATATGAAGAAAGTATATAATTGTGCAATTCAAGGCATTCCATGAAATGCAGGAGTGATTGACGTGCTCGACTCCGGATGAGGCAGCCCACTTCCCTCACGTGTCGCGTTACCAGGGGAACCACCGCCCGATCGCCCAAACAAGCAAGCGGCACAAACAGGAGCGTCCACTCGGGCGACTTCGATGATCGGCCTCCACTGCTAACTAGTCAACAACCACGCCAACTCGACCACCACCATCCCCTGCTTACTTTAACCCTGCATACAAGCTTCCGGGGTTAAAGCAAGTGATTGTTCACTTATCGCCAGTGGACGCACAATGAGCACGGCAATTCAGTACTGAGTCCCCGCTGCCACCGACACACCACAACAGAAGCGGGACATCAACAACACCACCTCCGACCTCCCGCGCGGTAGCATTTACCGACTCCGAATATTGATCAGCACACAATGGCTCGCGCAGCAGTCATCCCACAGTCGCCGCCCAAGCGGACGACGCGCACAAGAACCAAGGGTTCGACGACCACTACATCTGCTAAACCTGCGCCCAAAACGACAAAAGCCAGGGCACCTAGCTCTGCCACCGAAGCGAGGAAAAGAGGCAGCCGGACCACAGCAGCAGCAAGCAAGCCCGCGGAGGAAGATGCGGATGAGTCGACAGACGATGAGATTGGCATGTTCTCCGAAAGGAAGACAACGACGGTAGCAAAACCTAAGGGCCGACCTCCGACTAAATCCACAACTAGCACGACCGGTCGTGGTAGAAAGCCCACGCCCACTACAAACGCGGAATCGGGCAGCGACAACGATGATGAGCTTGCTCAGTCTGACGCGCCAAAGAAGCGCGCTGGGAGACCGAGGACTAAGCCTGCGACGCCTGCAAAGACCGAAACCGCCCCAAAGACGCGAGGACGACCGAAGGGTTCTACAACAACAAAGTCGACCAAGCCAGTCGATCCTGTGAAGGAGAACACACGGTTGAATGCGAAAGGCTTCACGGACATTGATTTCTCTTCATCGCGCGAAGCACCCAAGCGTGTGTATATTGCGACGAACTCTGCGACCGCGAGATCGAACATGCTGCGTGGACCAGCGAAGAAGAAGAAGGTTACATTTCAGGATCCGTCTGATACTGCAGAAGAAGAAATGAGCGAGCCATCCCCCCCGCCGACTGCTGGAAGACGACGAGGAACAATAGGGCCTGGACTCCAGGCGGGTCTTGCGTCTAAGCCAGTTCGCAAACCTGCAGCGACCTCCGCTAAGGGTCGGAAGCCGGGAACGGCTAAGAAGGATGGTCCGAAACCTCTTTCGCCAAAGAAGACAACGCAGGTCGCCAAAGCGCTTTCGTCGTATGTCGACTCGGATGGAGAGGATGACGAGCTAAGCGGCGACAAAGATCAGGTCAAATTTGTTGTCGACTCACCCCACAAACACGGATCAGAGAATACCGGCCTTAGTTCACCAGTAAAGAAAATCAACATCACTGGAAAGTTCCGGAAATCACTTGACGAGAATGGCGAGCCTCTGCCTGGCCCTAGACGATCGATCGACTTTAACGACACACTCCTTATGTCCAGCCCTGCTCGACGACCACCCCCTTCGCCTTTCAATTTCTCACTGAGGGAAACACCCAAGCGTGGAGCATTCGCTCTTCGCGATGACCCCAAATCATTATCGCAGCCTCATCTCTCCCCAACACATAATTCACCTCTCAAATTGTCGCCCAGGAAGGCACACTTGGAGACCCCGAAGCGAGGCAGCGTCTTTTTAGACAGTGGCAGGCCTTTGTCGCAACCCAACTTTACCCCGGGGCACAATTCTCCTCTCAAGGCGTCACCCAGAAAGGGCTTGTTCGGGGCGTCGTTCACGTCACAGGCCCATGCCGAATCCACGTCAACCCCATTGAGACACAGTGTCTCCTTCCTCCAGAGCCCAGCAAAAAGAATTGCTTCACCATTCAAAAGCTCGCTGTCTGCAAGCAGAGGCCCCATAACCGAGGATGATGAAGCTGACCCTAGAGAGGATGTGGAAGAACCTGCTACTCCTGACGTCGACGAATCGCCGCTTAGAATGACCGATTTCGAAGGAGCCAAGGATTTTGAGAGTGAAGACGAGCAGGTTGATGAAGAGCTGCCGGAGAGAGTGGATGATAACTATGCGACCAAAGAAATCGATACGCAATCCCCGGCCGTTGCAGAAGAGTCCGACGAAGACACTCTGCACGAAGAGGTTGATCGGGAGCAGACCATAGAGTATGAGGAGGACGACATGGGCAATGCGGCTGAGGACGTCACGACACATGAGGAACATGTTGATAGTGACGTTCCCAATGACCAGCATGTAGAAGAATCTGCCGACGAGCTGGTCGAGGCCACTGAGGAGCCTATGGAAGAGTTCGAGGAAGAGTTCGAAGAAAAGCTCAGAAACGACCCCGAGGAAGAACCTGCTGATGAGCCCGTCGAGCCTATGGAGGAGCCTATGGAGGAATACGCAGAGGCAACAGCTGAAGAATTTGCTGTTGAGCCGACGGAGCATATCGATGAGCTTGTTAAGGAACCCATGGGAGAATTTGCCGAGGAGTCAGTGGAGCCACCCATGGAGGAGACCGAGGAGTCTGTCGAAGGAGAAGCGACAGAGCCTACCGAGGAACCCTGTGAATCTCCCGTCAAAGAGCTCGTTACCGAGCCTGACGTTGAACTTGTCAGAGAATCCGAGGCTGAGCAGACTCACTCAACGGGTGAAGATGAGGAGATTGGTGAGAACAGGGATCAGAACGAGCCTCAGGAACATACCACCGAATACGCTGAAGATGGCCAAGAGCTTGATGCTGAGGTTCCTTCCCCCGAAACTAGAGAGGACACCGTGGAAATGGAAGACATTTCCGCTTCGCAGCCCGAGAAGGACCTGAGCCCAGCAAAGCACAGTGAGACGCGTGAACCCATACTTGAAGGCGAGACTTCAGTCGGACATGACCAGGAAAATGCCGAGCAGCCCGATCAAGAGGCAGAAGAGCAGACTGAATCAGCAAATCCGGCAACTGAGAATGCTCCAGGTCCAGCCAACACAGGACTAAGAAGCAGCTTGGTTGAAGGCCTCGAGGATGTATTCGTCGAACACGCAGCAGCCCCCGAGCCTGTCAATGATGACCGTGATGGCTCGGAGACGGAGGACGACCCGGATATGCTGGAGGCGAGCGACGAGGAGAATGCTGCAGAAGCTTTTGACGACTTCGACGACGTGGACGACCAGTACACATTCGATGACAGCGAACCAACGCTCGTAGGCTTCGAAGCGACCGAGCGAATCCCACCCAACCTCGTTCCCATCCAGCCATACGAGGTCGAAGAAGCGGAAGATCCTTTCAGTCCTTCGCGCCAGGCTCAGAACGCCTCCAGACGCGTCCTTTCTCCTGTGCGTATCCTTGAAAGCCATATCAGGCAAAGCCCTATCAGACGCAGCACGAGGAATGTTCCTACAGCTGCAGCAGCCATGGGCAATGGTACGCAAAATAATGTCGACCTCTCAGACCCATTCGTTGAGCACAGTCATGCAACGCCTCGTCGTAGATCAACTCGTGGACTAGTCTTCGACAACGCCCCTCGTTTCACACCACTGGCGCAACAGTTTAGACAGTGGAAGTCTAATAGCCCCGAGAAGGCGCAGGCGAGGCGCCCTCGTAGGGGTATCTTCTCTTTGGGGGGCCGCAGGAGGTCTAGCAACGTTACTAGTACCTCTGAGGTTTCATATCCTGATGTCTCCAGGCAAGCGGAAGCTTTATCGTCCGAGCCGCAAATTCCACATCAAGAGCGGGAAGATGTCGATGCGCCTGAGGTTGCTGAATCTGAAGAGCAGGAGCCTGAAACAAATGATGAGCTGGCCCACGAGGAGACTCCAATGCCTGTTTCGCCTGTTTCGCCTGCGCCGCAGGAACAGAGCGAGGTCGTCGATGTGCCTGAGTCCAATGAGGATCAGGAGCAGGAAGCGGAACCAATGGCCGAGGACCCAAATCAACCTTCATCAGCCGAGTTGCCGACTCCGCAAGAAGATTTGAATGATTTTGATATGACTCAACCTGAGGAGCAAGATCAGGATCCGGAACTAGTCGGTGATGAGCCAAGCCCCGAGAAGGCTTCATTGCCCAACTCGCCTATTTTGGAGGAAGACAGCAATGATGCCGATATGCCTGCTATTTATGAGGACGAGCCGTCACAGCCCATTGGCGACATGCCCAGCCAAGTGGAGGCTTCGTTGGCTGAACCTGACACTTTGCAGAAAACTGACAAGCATGCTGACATCCCCCAAATCTACGAAGATGAAGATCAAGGTTCGCAACTAGCGGGCGATACTGAGACCCTCGAAGAGCCGTTGGAGCAGCCCGCAGAGGTAGTTGAGAGCAGCCAGGAGGCTGTGACCGATGCAAGCGAGGATAAGGAGAACATGTACGCAGTGCCGTCAGTGCCTGACAATCTTGCTTCTGAGGCGCAGCCAGGGAAGGAAAGAGAGCTCGAGGATATTCCTGTTCTTGCACCTTCTACACCAGTGAAGAACAGAATTCCTGAGATGCAGACTGTACACACGGTTTCTAAGGTTCCACTCAAGCCCGAAGGCCAAATATCACCGTTGAAGATGTCGCGTAAGCGTGGTCTTTCGCTCTCTGCCTCTTCCCCAGGGCGGTCCTCCAGACTCCGCATGTCGATTGCACCCATCGCGCAGAATGCGCCCCAGCTCTCACCTCGCAAATCGCCCCGACTACAAAGAACGGTTGCGCGCCAGTCACTCGGTCAATCGCATACTCCTGATACAGCTAAGAAACATGTCGAGGCTCAAAGGCCTGCACCGCCCAAGCGGCCCTCGTACTCTCCCAGCCCTAAGAAGAAAACGAAAACGCCTCGCACAAGCATCACCGCTCCTAAGCTCGCCCTACAGGGTTCTGTTGTATATGTTGATGTGCACACAACCGAGGGAGAGGACGCCAGTGGCATTTTCATTGAGCTTCTGCAGCAAATGGGAGCCCGATGCGTGAAGAACTGGTCGTGGAACCCTCGCGCCAGTGTATCTCCGGAGGAGGGAACAGAGCCCAAGGAGGGCAAAGTGGGAATCACCCATGTCGTCTACAAGGATGGAGGTGTTCGAACTCTGGAGAAGGTCCGACATGCCAGAGGCCTTGTCAAATGTGTTGGAGTTGGCTGGGTCCTTGAGTAAGTTTTTCACCATCTACGATAAATGCACGGTACTAACAGTGGGCAGCTGCGAACGCGAGAACAAATGGCTCGATGAGGCACACTACGAAGTCGATCTGTCTATTATTCCCCGTGGTGGTGCGAAGCGTCGCAAGAGCATGGAACCACGCGCTTTGAGCAACGTCAACGGCACTCTCGTCAAGACCGACGCAGCGAGTGCATCTGCAAACCGCAGACGGTCCAGCCTTGCCCCTCCCAAAGAATCCACCCCCAGAGATGCGACACCCTCTTCGCGTGATGAACCATCTACCCCCGACGCCACTCCTAAGATTGGCGCCGGTCACACGGAAGCAGACCAGCGGTACTGCCACACGCCCAAGACCCCTGGCTACACCTTTGACATGGATGCCATTGGCATGTCACCGGCCACACCATTCTACCTGTCGCAGCGGACGAAACTCGTGCAACAGACCTGTCCTCCGAAGCAGACCCGGCAAGGGCTCTTTACAACGCCGGCTGCGGCGCGCGAGCCAAACCAGAAGCTGCGGGCCAAACTGGAGGCGGCCAGACGAAAGAGTCTGGCGTATAAGCCACGAGTGGGAAGCCCCCTTGTTGAGTAGATCTTTGGTTAATTTTTTTCCGCTCTGGATTGGTCTACTTTTATGCATGAAATTCTGGTTACTGGATAATTGTTTATGGTTATGGTTATACTACATACCCCTTTGTTGTCTAGTGGCGTATGGTTGGATTATAGTATTGGAAATTCATGTTATATTCATCATACAACATACATCCACGTGTTTGCTTCACAGATTCATACTTCATTATCATTATAATAAGGATATGGTTTGTAGGCGCGAGACCAGCTCAACTGTTAACCCACCACCCCAGTAAATGCAGTCATACTCACAGACCCGGACCGACAGAGACAAAGGCTCTCATCGCCTCCACCACATTCCCATCATGCAACCTCAACAACTCGGTCGCAGTGCTCTTATTCAATTCCAACTCCTCGATCTTCCCCACCATCCCAATTAGCCTTCGCCCAAATCTCTCTATAAGGTATTGACATACCAGGAGATTCACATCCTCCACCGCCACCTTAGCCGCCTTCTTCTTAGTCGCTTCTACCGGAACCCTCTTCTGTGCCTCTGCCGGCTTCTGCACCCCACCACGACCACCAGCACCACCACTTTGTCCCGAGGCTATCTCCAAGCGACTCATTGCCTGGCCCAAGGCCTCTTGGTCTGCAGCGGAGGGAGTGGAGGCGGACTTGGGGGTGTCGGGGGCGATATGGCTGGGGTTGAGGGCGGAGAGGGCGGCGGCGGCTTTGCGGTCTTCGGCGTTGGTGGGGTGGTGGTGTTGTTGGTGTTGATGTTGTTCATCATCGTGGGCGGAGGGGATGGAGTCGGACATGGTGATTGATTGATTGATTGATCGATTGATTAATGCAAGATAGATGGGTTTGAAATCGGACTGTCAGTAGTTAGTCAGGTCGGAGGCAAAACAATGAAGATAACCCAGCTACATTAAGTTAACTCTGGTCGATACCGAGAACACATGACGTCGGAGTCCCTGGCAAAGACAAGAGAGCAAATTGCCTGTCTGGGTTAGCGGGACAAGCGTGACTCAAAAGAGTTCAAATCCGCGAATAACCGATTTTCTTTTTTTTTTTCTTGTGCATTGAATTAAATTTAATTGAAAGTGTAACGTGTTTGTTGTCTTTTTCTTTGATTCCTCATCTTGGTTTCTTCTTCTTCTTCTTCCTCTACTACTCCCATCAGATTATTCCCTTCTTTCAATTCCCTTGCTTCGTTGCAGTCATTCATTCAAAGAGCGGTGGGGAATCACATCCACTCTTGACAGCGCCCTAGCGTCGATCACTACTCCTCGCTGCCTCCACCGACTCTCTCACAATGGCGGAGTCAGAATGGTCCCCTAGCTGTGTGTATACCCCTTTTTCTTCATTCGTCTGGGAAGAGAATGTAATGTGATGACTGACTCATATTAGCCTGGGCCTCGAAGCCCATTAAGCAGGATGTCGTTTATGACGATGCGGCGGGCGTACAAGCCGCACTGGCGAAGCTGCAGAAGCTCCCGCCGTTGGTTACGACTCAGGAGGTGCGATCATATCGCTCGGCTGAGAGCTGAACAGACAAATTGATATAGTTATAGGTGGATGATTTGAAGAAGAGCTTGAAAAATGTTGCGCTAGGAAAGGCCTTTGTGCTTCAGGGTGGTGAGTACACGGATTTAGATTCCGCATTATGACTGATACTGGTACTGGTACTGATACTGTGCAAGGCGACTGCGCGGAGCTGTTCGATTACTGCAATATGGATATGATTGAAGCCAAGGTGAAGCTGCTTCTTCAGATGAGCTTGGTCTTGATTTGGGGTAAGTCTCCTTCCTATTATAACAATGAACCATGCTAATACCTCTCAGGAGCAAACAAGCCTGTCGTCCGTATCGCTCGAATTGCGGGTCAATTCGCCAAGTGAGTTTTCATTCTTTCTTTACATAAACAGCAATGCCTCTAATAACGGATAGACCTCGTTCAAGCCCAATGGAAACCATCGACGGCGTCGAAATGCCCTCCTTCCGCGGCGACAACATCAACGGCTTCGACGCCACCCCCGAGTCCCGCAAACCAGACCCCTCCCGGCTGGTCTCAGCCTACTTCCACTCCGCCGCGACACTCAACTACATGCGCGCCTCTCTCTCCTCAGGTCTTGCCGACCTGCACTCCCCTCTCGACTGGGGTCTCGGGCACGTCATCACCCCCTCCATCCGGGAGAAATACACCCGGATCGTCAATCGCGTCAAAGACGCCCTGCGATTCATGCAAACCGTAGGCATCGACACTGACCGCGGCGTCGAGACTGTCGATATCTACACAAGCCATGAGGGACTCCTCCTCGAATACGAACAAAGCCTCCTCCGACACCTCAAGAACCCCGACTCTCCCAGCACCACCCATTCCTACTACGCCACCTCCTCGCACTTCCTCTGGATCGGCGACCGCACACGCCAACTCAACGGCGCACACGTCGAATTCTTCCGAGGCATCGCCAACCCCATCGGCATCAAAATTGGCCCCAGTATGACGCCCGCCGAATTAACCTCCCTCCTGGACATTGTCAACCCAGCCCGCGAAATCGGCAAGGTGACCCTCATATCGCGCTACGGCGCAGCCAAGATCTCACAGTACCTCCCCGCTCATATCGCCGCCGTACAAGCCTCGGGACATATTCCCGTTTGGCAATGCGACCCCATGCACGGCAACACGCAGGCGACGCCGTCAGGAGTGAAGACGCGGCATTTCAGTGATATCTTGTCCGAGCTGAAGCAGGCGCTGGAGATACATCGTGCGGCGGGGTCGTTCTTGGGTGGAATGCATTTGGAGTTGACGGGCGAGGCGGTGACGGAGTGTGTGGGTGGTGCTGGAGGGTTGACAGAGGAGGGCCTGAGTGAGCGGTATACGACGTTCTGTGATCCCAGGTTGAATGAGAAGCAGGCGTTGGAGTTGGCGTTTTTGGTGGCGGGATTTTATAGGGAGTTGGATGAGGAGTTGGCGGAGGATGAATCTATATAACCCACACCCCTTTTTTTTTGGAGTGGTAAAATGGTATGGATAGTAAGAGTAAGGTCTTTATGAAATTAATATAATGTTTCGGGTTATAAGCCATCTAGTATACCTTTATTTTTATGTTTCTCTTGAGGAAGGACTCATGATGCATTTGTTCGAGTGATATTATCTATCTACCCAACTTTCCAGTCTGATCTTCATACTATCTCTACTTCAAACTTGTAACGAACAGACTAGTAATCATGAAAAAACATATTCATAATCAATAAAGGCCGTCTCGTCTATCATAACCCATCCCAACCCATTCATCCACCCATCCATATACACACCATATCTATATGCATACCATTTATGTACACAAAGCCACTCATCCCCTACCCCCCCAACCTCCATCCTCCCTCCTACTTACTTACTAGAAGACTTCTTCTTCCTCTCAATCCCCTTCCCTTCCCAAATAAACCACAACACCACCCACCCCAGCACCGCCTCCACCGCAAGACCCCACCAAACACCCCCCACAAAATTCTCCCTCAACCCCTCTCCCAACCCCCACCCCCCAAGGAACGGGCCCAACGTCCTCGCCGCAGACGAAATACTCTGCGACACGCCATTAATCGTCCCCAACACCTTCGCATCCGACACACTATTATTCACCAGAATCACCGCCGCCGGTAGCGCAAACGTCCTCGACACGACCTGCAGCGCTATCACCACGGTAAATGCAGGCCAGACGATGTATGCTGCTCTCGGCAGAAGTAAGAGGAAGGGCATGAGGGCGTACGCCAACGAGGAGAAGGGTAAGAAGGTGCGGAAGGATCGCAATGTACCCAGATACCCTTGCACCCAGGGGTAGATGAATATCTGCAACGGGAGGCCGATGATCCCGATAATGGCTGTGGCGAGGCCGACGCGGGAAGAGGGGAGCCCGAGACCGCCGGAGAAGTGGAACCAGCCACGATGGGATTCCGGGGGCGCGCGGGGCGTGGGCAGGAAGGTGAAGGTGATGGCGTTGAAGGCGGAGGTGTGGAAGGCGAGGAGGAATTGGGCGAGGAGGGTGAGGAGGACGTTGCGGGTGTAGATTTCGCGGAATTTGGGGCGTTGATGGGTCTTTGGTTTGGGGCGCGAGGAGCGGCTGCTGATGCTGATGCTGCGTCGGTGGTGGTGGGAGGTGTTGTCGTCGATGTAGAGGGATTCGTCGTCCGGGTGTTCATTTAGGCGTTGGTAGTATTTGCTGTCTTTGTTTCTGGTCCGGCGGAGGGCGCGCGCGATGCGGTGGCCCAGTTGGCGACCCCAGTCGCTGCGGTAGCGGGCCGTTTCGTGGGTCTGGTGTGGTTATTGTTAGTCTGATGGTTGATAAGTTGGAGAGGGAAGTAGTTAGAAATGGGGGATGTACTTCGTCCAAGCCAAAGAATACCGCCAGCAACGAGCAGAAGATGAATACCGCACTGAGCAGGTTCGGCAACAGGAACGGCCATTTGCGCATCCACTCGACCCCATTCGCACCACCAAGGAATGTGCCTGGCCCGAATATCTGAGGATAGTTCTTGACCGGATCAGCCAGGGCACCACCCAGCACTGGGCCTATGATGACGCCGATATTAAAGCACATGGGCAGCAAAAGGAACGCTCGAGATTGATATCTGCAGAGTTTCAGTGATCAGCAACACACATCCTCTCTTCACAAAAGGGTACAGGGGATAAGCATACTTCTTCTCCTCAATAATCTCCGCAATCATCGTCCTCATCACACCCACATTGCTATTCAACACACCCCCCAGCGTGCGAAACACCGCAGCAGCCACAAACGACCGCGAAAACCCAAACCCCAAGCACGAGAGACACGTCCCCAGCGACCCGATCAGCAACACTCTCTTCCTCCCCATCCACTCCGCATCAGCCAGCCGTCCCCACCACACAGCCGTCAGGAACTGCGCCGCCGTGAAACTCCCCTGCAGGATGCCTGCCTGCCCGGAGATGGTCGAGTCCGGTAATGACGGATCAAACGATTTGAGCTGGTAGAACATGTACGCTTGCAGAGAGGTTTGGGTGAGTGGCTCTGACAAACGGGCGATGGTCAGGATGGCAAGTTGGCTCTTTTTCGGTAGTGAGGACCATGTTACGGGCTTTTCGTCGGCTGTGTCGTTGTGGTTGGGATCGTCCTCATTCGCAATCAGATTGTTATCTTCTTCGTCCTCGCTGGAGCTGAAGCTGTCACTGTCGCTGTCGCTGAAGCTGCTCTCGTCATCATCGCTACTGTTGGCGACGAGATGATCATCTACTGATAAGCGCCGCCACTGAGAGGATTCGGGAATAGGTGCCGGCGCAAGTATACGAGTCTGCGCGGAGCTGCCGTCATGGATGGCGGTGTTGACACTGTCTTTGTCGCCGTCGATGGAGGAGTCGACCGACATGGCGGGCGAGAGAAATTGGGTGTCCGGATTTCTGCGGAGATGTGAGGCGTCGGCCTCGGGCGCGGATATCGTTGCAGCAGTAGTATCTACATGATTGTCGGTGTGAGAACTCCGGATCTCGGGTGGTTCTGTGGAGGTCATATATAGATCTGGTCGTGAAGAACAGGGGAACCGTCTGGGGAAACTTCCAGGTACTTCAAAGTTAAGATTCAGCCGGAGGGGATAAAATCTACGGAAAAAGAAAGGGTGGGAACAAAATCTGGGGAGAAGAAGGCAGTGGATAAGAAGAAAGCCGAAGAGGCGATGAGCCAAAGATTCGCCCGAAGCTTGTCATCCCCGCTAAACCTGCCTCGGGTTTAGTCGCCGCGAGTTTGCCGATGCCTGATTCTGTATAGACCAGAATGCGACATGCATCATTCTCCATTCTTTACTTCCTGCACGGTGTAACACGGCGTCCCTTACATGGCTAGGTACCCCCTACTCAGTTAAACGAACATTGCATGTACGCAAATATTGACTCATCTGTGCTACTGTTCTAAACACATCCTTATCCAATCCCATCCCATACAGACAATGATCAATTCAACAAGGCTAGGCACCCCCTGCATCCCATTGAGAACGCTGTATCCAACACTATTAAGAAGAAAGAAAGAAGAAAAGAAAGAGGATAAAAAGAGAGAGAAGGGGCAAGTCGGGTCGTTTTCCTGCCGCGAGATCAACGCCTGGACGGAGATCTTATTCAGTCCGTCGACGTCCAAGACCAACCTCAAGCGACAGGCACGTGAACAAGTCCGAGGACTCTCAGAGATAGTCACACGCCACACGCACGGTGGACATTTCCTCAAGATTCAACTCAAAAGAACCTGCGCATCATCACGTTCTCAAGAACCAGGGACATACACCAAAGTCAGTCGGAAACCTGATCCGAAAACATTACTTTTGCACGAGACTAGGAGAGTTGGAGAGAAAAGAATAGAAAAGAAAAGAAAAGGGGAATAGAGAAAAGTACACAGTTAGAAACAGACATGCTCAAGACCATTGTAACAAATTAAGGAAACATAAAGAGGGAAAGCTCAAAGGCCGTGGTATTCAACTAGTTGCGACGGCTTCCACCAGTCCTGCCCGTCATCTCCAGCGTACTTTCAAATCCCTCCCAAGGGAGCTCATCGTCGTCTTCCGAGTCCGGTTCCTTGCGAGACGACTTGTCCGTGGTGGCAGTGACATCTGCTGTCCGCCCTGCTGTATCAATTCCGATCGACTGAAGAGTCACCTCCATCTCCTGCTCGGTCATCTCACGGCCATTCTGCTTCTGGCCTTCAAGGACATCGTACAATGCATAGATCTGGTCGGCCTTCATGTCGATATCCTTCAACAGCTTCTCAATCTTCTCACCCAGAGACTTCCTCTTTCGCTTGCTCAGCGAGGCATCCAGCTTGTTGTATGAGCCCTGGTATGCCACCAGCTGCATCTTCAGATGAGCCAGCTCATCTTCCAAGGCCTTGAGCACGGTCGCCAGGGCAAGTTCCGGCGATTGCGCGGGCCGCATGGTAGGCTCCTCATTGTAAACAGACGGCTCGGGCATACGCTCCGAGACTGGAACGGGCTTGGGAATCTTCACTGCCTCTGCGGTGTGATCACAAGAACCACCCGGAATCGTCTGCTTGCAGACCGTGCAGTTTTTGCCATTGTGCTTGGTGGCACTGTCAAGTGCACGCTGAGCGGGTTCAGGAAGCTTTGCAAGGTTGTTATCCACCACATGCGCAGGGTTGAATGTGATATCAGGCAGGATAAAGGCCGAAGTCATCTCTTCGGCCATCCGCCGCCGGCGTCGCTGAGAAGCAGCGGGCACGGAGTTGTCCGAATGCCGTCTGGGGCGTTCGACAGGCACCGACAAGTTACTTTCTCCTTCAGTCATGCTAGCCTTGGAGTTGGCGGTCAAGTCGCCCATGGCCGAGGCGGGTCTAGACGGCAACCCCTTGCTTTCCTTGAGGGAAGACTTTCTGGGAATCGTCGACTTGGACAAGCTCTGCCGGGTCGTGTTCCCGGTCTCGTTTGCAGTCTGCTCTTTGCTTGTACTCGACTGCCGCCGTTTCCGAGCCAGGCGTTCCTCTTCCAGAGTCTTTCGTAGTTGAGCAATTTCACGTTCCTGGAACTGGAGTAAGTACGTGTATGTGGTGAAACATGGACGGCAACTTACATCAACGAAGCTCAACAGAGTCAAGTCCTGCTCAGTTGCATTTGATTTCTTGGTGTTTCCAGTAACCTCCCCACTCGACTCAACAGGCTCCGTCTCCTCCACCTCCTCGACAACTACTCTTTTGACGCGCTGTTTGCCAGTGTTTGACTGCTTCCTGGTGCTCACATCACTGCTCTCCGACCGGCTCTTGGATTTTCCTGATTTTGACTTCGACTTCTCCCTGGTGCGGGGGACGTCGATCGAAAATAGTGCCTCTTCTGCACGCTCCTGTTCAAGCCGGGATATTTCCTTGTCAACCTGCGTCGAGATCTTGGCGCGCGAGTCCTCCTGTCGTCTAGTCTTGGATCGCGAGCTCTTGCCGGTAACTTCCCTGGTGCTTCGGCTCGTATGTCTGCTATGCTGCGTATCAGGCTGGCTATCCTCGTCGCTTGCATCAGTCATAGAAGACTGCTCTGACTCGACCGTATCGTCACGGGCTCTGGAGCCCGCGGAAAGGATCTTTGATATCTGCGACTTCAAGTCTGCATTCTCCTGGCGCAGACTCTCGTTCTCGCTTTTGAGGTCCTGACTTTCCAAATACGCAACCCCCAACTGTGATACCGCCATGTCTCGCTCTCGGTTCAGCCGTTTCAAAGTCGACTCCTGAATCTGGGCCTTTCTTTCGATAATGTCGAGTTTATTCTGCAAAGCCAAGTTGGCGGCATCCAGTTCTGGCATACAAAGTCAGTTGAGTGTCGCGGAAAAATAGTATAAAAGTACTTACTTTGGTTATCGCTGGCAAGCTGATCTCTGCGGTAGTCATCCTCCTCGGATTCGTACGGTCGGCTGCGGCCATGCTTGTCCTTTGAGCGTGACTTGTTTGTCCTCAAAGACTCATTCTCCCGCTTCATGTCATCCAACCTCCGTTCAGCGTCAGACTTGGATCTCTCCAATTCTGCAACCTTGTCCTGCAAAAGTCTCAATGAAACGAAGAGTGCCTTCTCATCTTCCGGAATGGGGACGGCATCTAGCGGCATGTGTTCGCGGGTCAACGAAACATCAGTAGCATCATGTGGAGGGGAGACAAAGCGCGTCGTCCGTGCTCTGTTCTGACGCGCATACACGGGTGTGCCGTCTTCATAGACGCCCGAGACCAACTCAGACAAGTTCGGAAGATCCGGTAGTAGGAATGACTGCTGAGTAGCCGTATCACCCGCATTGTGGGCCATGTTGCGCGAGTTGGTGCTAGACTTTCCACGACGAAGTTCGCGAGCATAAGCCTCCTGGGAAGCCTTCTCCACCGCATCGGCAATCTGATGAGAGAGGTTGGGGTTTCCAAAACGTGTCGGACGCGTACTGTTGGCCATAGCCGGAGGTCTTTCGTCCTCAATCAGGGATCCTTCATATGTATCGCGAACCTTTGCGTGCATGTCTGACAAAGTTCGTCGCTCTTTGCGGTTCGACTTGGCTGTGTGAGGATCAACGTTCTCCTTATGGGCAAGGCTGGCGCGTCTGATTTGCGCATCCTTTCGGAGACTATCGCTGACCGCTCTTCTCGCCGGGTTCCGCAGAGCGGACTTTTGAGGGGTATTAGAAGTAGGATAATCGAGTCTAACGGCGGGTGACGACGAGCGAACGCTGTTTTCGATGCTCATGTAGGAGTTTCTCGAGTCGTCCAGTCGACGGGGAGGTTTCGTCGGGCCTCGTCCGGCCTCGATGGAGATGCTGTCGTCGTTGTCGGCCTCTTCTTCTTCTTCGGACGTGCCGACCGGGGAGAAATCTGGTAAATATTGCTCGAAGGTGGATGTGTTGAAAGCATAATCGGGCTCTTCTTCCTCGTACTCGTGGCGCTTCCGGGCGTTGGTGTGCATGGACGGAAGCCGGGGGCTACCATGACCGAGCTCCTTGGTGGACGCGAGCGCCTCGTGCTCAGGGTCAAAGTCGGAGCCAAATGACGCGAAGCTGTTCGTTGTTGCTTCGCGCGACATGTTGCCAGCTGATCTGTGACGCGCCGATATGGGGATGATTTATCGACGGAGTGAAAATCTGATTACCGCACAGGTATCAGATTGTTAAGCTGACTGAATCAGCAAAGTAAACTTGAAGGTAACCCGTTCGTTGTTCTGAGGCTGCAAGCTGCACGGTGGACAGTCAGATGTTTAGAGGGTCGCTGGTAGCGCGTCGGTGCAGCGCGAGTCTCCCGGCTTGAGCAGGAAGTAGCCAGGGAAACCACAACTGAAAGGAAGGAAACAGTGCAATTGCTTAGACAAGACAAGCCACTGCGGTTTCCAAACTATCGCAGAAGCACCACAATTGCACGGTAAGGCCTGGCTAACCGGCTAGGCAACGCAATGGGGACGCGAGTGGATGATGCGACGAAATAAATGAGGAGGTTGGGCTGGTAACAAAGTTACTACGTCCTCGACCAAGTGGAACTCGCCCGCTGCTTTTGGTTTGTTTACTCCCGTGGGCCCCCCTCCCGTGGAGCGGCTGACCGCCTTCCGAGTGCTTACGCCACGAGCTGTGAAATTTCCCATCCGTACGGAGTACATAGTAAACAACAAATTCCTGAATCTTATTTTAAACAGCAGTTTCGCACATCGCCAATGAAGCTTTTGCATTGGGAATCTTTCCATCTTATGCTGGAGCGTATAGTATGTGCAGACGGGATCCAAGAAACACAGTGCCCCCTTCTCTAAATGTACAGGCAGACTGGTGTGGGCTAGGAGAAAACAAGATGTGCCGTCCATAGATTCGCCTTCAATCAAACGCCTTGCTGGGAAACAGAATGTCCAGGGGAAAGAAAACTATTGACAGGAGTCGGAGAGGAATTAAAACAACCTATATGCTAGTATGTAGGGTCGTAAACGCTTATGCTCGTAACGGGTATTGGAATGCGAGGTCGGAAGGGGCAAGGGATGGCAGCCGTAAACGTAGACCAGTTTGTCAGGTCTTCTAGTTATTAGGAAGGAATATCGATGATAGAGAAATCAAGAGGACTGGTGACTATGAGTGTCATCCCTCAAGAGGTGGGTTTCGGCTGATTGAGAAGCAGGGTGTTCTTCTTCGGCATGTTCTTCGCTGATAGGTTGATTAGCGGTGGTATGCTGTTCGGTGGATTGTTGCTCTTCCCGCTCCTCTTCTCGCAGAGGATTCGTGGGCGTAGTGGGAGTGTTGCTTATAGGGCTGGCCACGTCGATATGGATGGTGGGCAGAGGGGTCAATTCACGGAGCTGCGGCGCATGCTCGTTTCTCTCTGCGACTGGGCTCGTATACGGTGGCGCTTCTCCCCATTCCAAAACTTCGTACTCAGGCGGCGGGATGTTGAGTTCACCTACATCACCCTCGTCAACCGCTATTGACGGGCGATCAGCCGAATGAGCAGACACTGCATGTGATTGCACCTGAGTTAGAGTATCTGCGTCGGAAACGTTGGTTGCCCCAGACTGATACGACGAGTAGGACTCGCCTCGAGAATGAACACCCGTGAGAATCGACCCTGAGGATCGATCGGGTGCTGATGCATCGGTGAGAAGAGGACGACGGTCCGAATCGGGTGACGTGGCTCTGATACGAGACCCATCATGCCGCACGTGGCCCAGTTCTGCATATGAGACACTGGAGATACGCCTATCGCGACCACGATTCCGAGATTCCGCCAAAGCCGCGCTGAGGTTTGAGGCACTCCCGTTGGCAGACGCGCTACTTCTCGCGCGGGCTCGACTCTCCTGCCGAAGTTCTTCAAGACGAATATAGTCCCCGCGAGCACGAGCCTCCCGGCGCTCCTGTCGCCGCCATTCACGGTCGGCCAACTCCTCTCGCCGTTGCAAGCGAATTTGATACAACGACTCCATCAATTCTTCTCGGCGGGATTCCTCTTCTTCCGCTGTTTCAGGGAACTCGACAACCATATCCATGCCTGCTCGCTCCCCCTCTCGAGCAATGACCTGCTCCGTTGGCTTGGGACTGGGCGAGTAGGCGGGGAGGGTGATGACCGAGCGAACCGATGTATCCCGTCGAACATTGCTAGTGTTATTGGCGGCGGGGGTGGTAGATCGCATTTCCGAACCTCCTTCGGCGGGTGTGTCTCTGGTGGTGTTCGCATTTTGATTATTCGACCCCGGGACCTGTCCGTATGAGACGCCCACGTTCCACCTATTCCACTTGTCTTTCAGGAATTTCCCAGGCAGATATTTCGGGCGACAATTCATGCGACGGAGGGTACGTAAGACGAAATAGGTCATTAAAGCGGACGCCACGGCGAAGATGATGCAAGCGACGCACTGCAATTAGAGAAAATAGATGTATCAGTGATTGCTGGCAAAAGGAAGAACGAAGACACTCACTATTATAATGATATTGTTCCTGCTCGAGTTATCATTGCCGGAGGCGTGGTTTTTATCCTGGCTGCCATCGGTGTTATTGTTGTTGTTGGGATTGTTAATAATGTTGCCCGGACCATCCTGACGGATGTCAAATTGGCGGAAATTGGCTGGAATGTGCATGCTGTGGATTCCGGGCGATCGGGAATGAGCCCAGATCTATAGCCCCTAAGCATGCAGACCGGCTAGAAAGTCGACGATAGGAGGTGTTATCCCAGGCGAAAAGAGGGTGGAAAACCCGGATCGGAGGCGAACTGGAAATGGTAGCCTAACCGGGAACGCTGCGGAACTGGCGGATGAATAGCGAAGGTTTGTATTCGGGGGTATGAATAGAAAAAAAAGCAAGATAGGCTGCAGAAGTGGCCCGAGGAAGATTTGATAAGATATTACGAATCAGACCATAGACTGGGACAGAGTTCAACAAGAATAGCTAGAGATAGAGCCAGTGATAATGGATGGGATGGTAGATTATGGACAAGAAGAGACATGCGCGAATCCATGGCCTCAAGCTGTGTGATGGCTGGGAGAAAGGACCAGGAAAGAATACGAGCAGGACCGCGGCAAGATTTCAGCGGTTAACTGGTGTCAGATAATGACGATGCTCATCATTCCAAGACAAGCCTGCAAGCGGTCGTCGAATGGCAAGAGGGGAAGGCCAGAGATTGGCGCTGATTGACTGATGATGATGCTGATGCTGATGCCGACGAGGGAGTGGCTGGGTCGCTGGCGGAGATAAAATAGCGAATGGATTTTTCCCCAGCCAGCAGAAGTGACTGATCAGAAGTACGACCCTTGGACGCTTCCAGACTCAGGAGGTCAATTTGATCGTGACACGACACGACTACGCATCAAAAGAGACTGTATACAAATTAAAAAGGACCCCATCGCACCCTCCCGACTAATTAAAGACGATTTCATTGTGAAACGAGAGGCGCAATCCAAATTGATGCTGCCGGTTTTTCCTTTCCGAACCACCGGCGCGTGCCATTTTTAGTAACACGTTCCTTCGCTGGTGATTTTCTGGTTGGTGTCGAATCAGGGTTTGGGATTTCTCTCAGTTGATCTGCTCCAGACATCTCTCTATCTAGCTTTAAGTTCAGTCAGTTTATTGCCCAAGGCAAATTAAGCTCACTTATCATGGTCAGGGCCACTGAGCACCTCCAGGGATGGGGCTGCCACTACCCCGTCGGAAGAAAGTCCTCCCGGGTCATTATTACTTTGGAGACTAGTTACAATGGAGTATCATTATGGAGTCTCCTCCTTAATCCTGACCCACTTCTCATCTACAGAATAGAGATGTAGTTTAGATAGCTGATCTCGCTATCAAAGCAACAAACTTCCTGCTATTTCCCATTATCCTGAAAGCACGACAGTTCCTTCAGCGGGAAATACAACCTATGCTTCTGCGAAGGAGAAGCACAACATTCTTCGTTAACTGTCTTACTATGAGAAGCGGAATATTCTTTGCTGATCTCAATGCACACTGAGCTGAATCTGAGGTGTTGTCGCACATCACCTTAACCCAGTCTCTATACCTGTCAGATGCCAAATGTTGAAGTCTGGCTATACGGTAGCTTCAACGTCCGTATCACCGTCACTGCTAGCACTCGGTGCAAAGCCATGTCTCCTTGACTGCCCATACAGAATTGGTGACAATTCATGCCGGGTAACGGAGATGAGAAAATTTTCCTGCGAGGCAGGACCTATGAATGGCTCCAAGAGTACTGTCTGGACGTATCAATCCCGGACTTAGGAACCTACAAATTAGCTCTTTAGCAAACCGGCTGCTTTCAATTGAAACCCAACAGCTCGAAAGGAACGATACCGACTAGCATACATCGTGGTTATAGGTATTCATTGGTTGAGTTGTATGCCAGACGATCTCAATTCCATGAAAATCGTTTTTATTTCAATAAACGCAGTGAACGACCTTAGAGACTGTGTTACAACGAGCCTCACTCTCTGTGGTGAAAACAATATCGAAATATGTCTTCGAGAAGGAGTTGGTCGAGGGCTTTTTGTTCTCCCTCCAAAAGACCTTCATTAGAGCAGCATGCTTCTTGCTTATGACTGGAATGTAACTCGTCTGGTGGACTTGAGGTGGGCCTGCTCTGTGCCAATTAAGATAAACAGAGCCTTCTATTGGCTTGAATATTTTGGCGTCGATCAACTAGTATTAAGTGCCATCTGAGTACGAAAAGTTCGGAGATAATTCATGGACACCCTAAAGTCCGAGTAGATTGCAATGACGGCATCGAAGCAGAGCTCGCTGCTACTCTCGGACATCATGAATACTAGCATGTGAGCAACAGGGATCATGTAGCATACATTGGCTCTCTCAAGCCCAGATATTCATCTTTCCTAATCTTCCAGCGGCTTTATACGTCCGCTATTTTGCATATCTAATCTTGACGAACCTCAGATAATCATGCCTTTTTTCCCGGAGAAGGAATGCGAGCCGTATCGCATATCAGAAAATCTTTGAAAGGGAACCGTAGGACAAGAGACTTGAACAGCAATTCAAGAGTGAGTAACCCCAGTACGATACCTAAATACATCTCTTTTAAAGCTAACCTTGTATACCTGTACATCTGCTTGTCAATTCGTAGTCCAATAATCATGCAGCACGATACCAATCAACTATCCTGCCTACGAAAGCCATTCGAACTTCAACAAGCCGTAAAGCATTGTTAAAGTCTTACAATATCCGCTCAGGCCTCCAGCTACCGAATACACAAGTTATCCCGGCAACCCCAATCCAATCCAATCTCATCCCGCACCAGCCATTGAATCTCGGAGCGTACAAAACTCCACCAACTCAAGGATGACCCCAACCACAGTACCCTCCATTCATAGTACCTGGCACAGCCACTTCGCACCTTGAATCAGGCCACCAATTCAAGCAGAGCTAAATTATCCATCCCATCGGAGATTATATCGGAGATAATAAATGAACCAACCGTATCCATTCTTCCATTCTACACACTATCCCGGACTTAACCCATTTTACCTCCGGCAATCCCGAAGCTGCCCAAGCTCACCCAGCCATGCCATGGATCCTCGAACTTAGCCTGCCCACATCAACTGACAGCAAACAACATAAGCATCAGTCCCCCCGCTCTTTCCAAAGCTTATCTTTTTCGGCAGGTTGATTTTGGCCATTGTCTCACTCAACACTATCCCAGTCTTATAAGGAAAGACCATAATAGATCGAATCCCTTCAGCTATTAAGTCACATAAACATATCATCATGTCCTGTCCCGACTGCTTCAGCGGCCACGTGCACGAGGACGCTACGCCCAGAGGGACAGTCACCACCTTGCATGGCCGGGATGCATATGTGACGGAGCCGACGTCCACGGAAAACCCCATCAAGGGAATCATCGTCATCATTCCGGATGCGTTTGGGTGGGAGTTTGTCAACAATCGCATCTTAGCGGATCATTATGCCGATAAGGGAGGGTATAAGGTTTATTTGCCTGAATTCATGAATGGTATGTTTACTACTACTTGTCGCTTGTGACTCATGTCATGCGGGGGTAGAACTACAATGGAAAACTGCATTGCGAAAGAGCTATACCAATATATATGTTGGATAACCAGGACATGCCGCTCCCGTATGGAGTTTAAAGACCCTATCTTCAGTATTCAAGACATCATCTATCCTGGACTGGATTAAGAAGCCGTGAGTTCACCTCTCCTTCTACTCTTGCTCACAGCTCAAAGTAAACTCTACACAAAAGATACCATGTCGCCTGCGCCGCCTACGCCATGATCCCCTTCATGTACCACAACAAATTCAACACCTCCTGGCCCACCGTCAAGACATTCTTCACCGCCGTGCGCCGCAACGAAGGCGCCAACCTCCCCATCGCAGCTGCAGGGTTCTGCTGGGGCGGGTTACACACCGTCTACCTAGCACACGGCGAAGAAGATGACAAAGTAAACGGCAAACCCTTGATTGATGCCGGTTTCACCGGCCATCCCAGCAACCTGAAGATCCCAGGGGATATCGAGAAGATCAAGATCCCCGTGAGCTTTGCGGTGGCGGAGCTGGACAACATGTTGAAAATGCCGCAGATCAAGCAGATTGAGAAAGCACTGGGGGAGGAAGTGGGGGAGGTGAAGGTCTACTACGGGGCTGGGCATGGGTTTTGTGTTCGCGCCGATGTGATGGTCAAGGATGTGAGGGTGCAGGCTGAGGAAGCGGAGGATCAGGCGATTGGGTGGTTTCAGAAGCAGTTTGCGAAGGTGTCTTATTGATTCCTGTTTATTCTGCATTAATTGTTGTGGGGGAGTTTTGGTTTTCTGCTCTTTCATATACCCGGTTCATCCGCATCGGAGTCCGGATCCTCAATCAAAGCCCTTAATTTCCCACCCTGCTGTCTCGCAAGCAACTTATACTTCCCCGCTTCCACAACGCGACCCTTGTCAATCACAATTATATTATCCGCAATCTCCATCATATCCCTTGCGTGCGTAATGATCAGGACGGTAAGGCCTAGCCTTGTCGCGACCAGTCTCTGCACGGTCCTTCGAATGATCTTTGCGTTGTTGGGATCGAGGCTAGATGTGGCTTCGTCCAGGATAAGAAGCTGTGGCTGTCGCACGAGCGCCCGTGCGATTACCAGCCTTTGTGCTTGTCCTCCGGACATACCGGCCCCGCCGTCCCCTATCATGGTGAAATAGCCCTTTGGCAGGGATGTGATGAACTCGTCGATCCCGGCTGCTTCTGCTGCGGCGCGGATGTGAAACATTGTGCGGAGAGGGGAGTCGTCTTCGAGACCATAGCTGATGTTGTCTGCGACTGTGCCGGGGAAGATGGATGGTCGTTGGGAGACAATGGAGATTAGGGAGCGGAGGGTTGGTGTGTGTATACGTTGGATGTCGATTCCGTTGAGGGATATTGGGGGCATCCTGTCTTGGGAAGTGGGGGCTTCGTATAGGCTGAGGAGCAGTGATGCTATAGTTGATTTGCCTGAGCCTGACCGTCCTACGATTGCTGTGCATTGGTTTCGCGGTATATTGATGGATACATCACGCAGGACATGTGCGTCGGGACGGGATGGATAGCGGAAGTTCAGGTTCTTGATCTTCACTGGCGCCGCTGTGGTTATCTTCAGATTGCCGCGGTGTTCGTGGGATGCGCCTTGTGGCAGGCGTGCGAGGCGTAGGACTTGGTTTGCCATTATATGGGAAACGCTGATTTGAGGTACTAGAGAGTGTTAGCAGTGGCTGTAGGTAGTCGTTGCTAGGTAGGTAGCTCACTCCATGAAAGTACTGTGCTCGCGTAGCCAATACTGAAGAGAAGGACAGAGAATACAGTCATGAGGCTGGTGACGGTAAACTCAAGCGACGATACGAGAACAGCTCCGTAGTAAAAGATCAGGCCTGCACAGTTTAGCTCTGCAAGCATAGGTTTCTTATATACCGGTTGCTTACTGCTGACGAAAATGATCATGGACTCTACCAATCCAAAGAGAAAGCCAGTATAAACAGCTTTCTTCACCCCAAGAACCATACACAGTGCTGCGGCCTTCATATGCTTCTTGTGGAAGTAAGGCTCCAGTGTCAGTGTGCGGACGGTGCGAATTTGCGAGAACGTCTCGATGAATATCTCAGATGCTGTCGTTCGGACCCCGGTACAACGTCTTTCCCATATTCCGGTTGTCCTTTCGAGGCCTCTGGTGATAGCGTAAATGACTGGTCCGCAAGCCACTGCCACAAGGGTTAGTTTCCAACAAACAGCCATGCACCATATAATAGCAACCACAGTGACTGAAGTCGCCACTAGGACATAGCCGCCAAAATGACCGACAAGGTTTCGCATCTCCTCAGCACTGTGGTTGAGGGACGAGGTGAGTTGGGAGGGTTCATTCCCGGCTTCTTCGAACCATTTTCGTGGCTGGTCATGAATACGATGGAAGCCTCTTTTACGGAGGCGATCAACCCACGCCTGGCCACATAGCTCTAGAAGATAATGCATCAGAAACGATATAACACCGTCACCTATGGCTATTCCCAGAACTATTAGGGACCATGTCGAGGCCTTGGCTTGCTTGTTGTAAAACGTCTCGAGGAGCTTCGACAGGCAATAAGAAAACAGCGGAGTAGCCATCGAGTGGCCCAGGGTGCTGAAACATCCAAGCAAAAGAAGCAGTTTTTGACCCCGAGTCAAGTTAGGAAGTATGGTCAGCATAATCTGTCCCAACGACATGCGCTCTTGCGGCGCGAGGTGTGCTGCATTCTTCAATAGCCGCTTGCTTCGGTGCTTCGACCTGGCCCTGTTGATCTCATTGACAACATCATTCGCAGGAAGTATACTCTGCCTAAACCGGTTGGACTGGAAATTCGTATTACTGATATGGACAGTATTGAGCTCAAACATCTGCATCCCAATCGACTCACGACGTGGTCTGACCCTTTGAGTATCTGCAGATTGGCGAATACTCTGTAAGCTTGTTTTGTAGCCGTGAATAGCATATGAATGCTGTGCAAGCTCGTTGTGTTGAGAAAACGAATCAGGGCTTTGACTGCGTGTACTCTCAATCGAAGATTTTGAAGAAGCACTGGAGCATCGATCAGAAGCACTGTGGGCATCAGCATGCTCGCTTTCATCACGGGAGAGCTTTTTCGAGGTAGCAAAACACGTAGTACTCTCCTCCAGTTCATGTCTGTAGCCAGCTTGAATAACCGAACCTTGATCCATGATGTAGGCAAAGTCATGATCCATTATTTGCGACATATCATGCGTGATAATGATCGTCGTTTTCCCTCGACGCCATTCCCGGATAGCTTTCGTTATCTCGACGCGGTTGGTGGCATCAAGTGCACTTGTAGGCTCATCCATTATCAATATAGGCGTATCCCTTAACCGTGCCCTTGCAATCGCTACCCTTTGCTTCTGACCACCACTTAGGAAATCACCACCATGACCCACACAAGTGTCGATTCCTTTGGGTAGATCGTCTATTGTGCTTTGTAACCTTGCAAGATCGATACATTCACGTACGTCCACCTTGTTGAGTCCTTCATAGTTGCGGCTACCAAAGGCGACATTCATGAAAATAGACTCCTTGAATAATACACTTCGCTGCTCTAGCAGAGTAATGTTGTTCCTTACCCAGTCGATGCTCAGCGACTGGATGGGGACGCCGTCTATCAGAATATCTCCAGATACCGGTAAGTAGAAGCGTGTGAGTAGCTGTCCAAGCGTACTCTTTCCAGATCCGCTTCTGCCAATAACAAAGGTTGTCTCGCCGGCGGGAAAGAAGAAGCTTGTCGTGTTCAGGACCGGTCTGTTCGGTTGCGCTGGATAAGCAAAGGAGACCTTATAGACACATTATAAGTTCGATGTACCAACGCAATCGTTCCACGGGTAACCATTGCACTTACATTGCTGACTTCGATGTCGCCTTCGCAAAACTTCGGATAAATGGAACCCCTCCCCTCCCCTCGAACAGCATCCTCTGACTCAGAGCTCAGGATGTGGGCCAAGGAAAGGGCTGCATCCTTTCCTTTCGCTAGGACGACAATTTGTGGCATGAGGAATTCCATTGACTGGGCAGCTGCTAAACAAGCCCAGAATGTTCGGAGCACTTCTCCTGCTGAGAGCTCTCCAGATGTAGCCAGGGAGCTCCCATACCAGAAGCCCTGGACGAACATTCCGAATGTCATCAGCCGCAATATGGATATTTGTAGAGAGGTGAAGCGTGCGCGTTTGAGATAATGTAAAGCGGCGTTGTCGACACTGATCACGAAGTTTCGCATCTCTGTATCTTGCCCGTTAAAAGACTTGACGCTGTCAATTGATGAAGTAGCATTGTCGACTATTAGCGATAAATGACCCAGCTCTGTCTTCTGTGTCTCCATACACGAGTTCGTCTTGGTGGAGAGGAAGGAGAGAGCTGCTGAAAGGAAGGGGATCCCCGCCAAAGTGACCAGAGTAAGGTTCCAGGAGGTGAAAAATGCCAGGGCTAGCGAGAAGATGGCTCGAAATATATACTGCAAAGCGAGGCCGAGAGGCTGCGATGTTGCTTTCTGTAGATCATCGACCTGTCTGGAAGAGTACATTAGTGAAGGCAATGGCACGTAAGAGTGCGACATACCCCTGGAGAGAAGATAGAAAGACCCTTGTGCCATCCGGCTGCGTTTCGAACCACTCCTGACTCTTCTGTAAAAGCCTTTCGAAGAGCTTGGTGCGAGCATTGGCAACCTGCAATTCTCCAAATATCACAAATAGAATGAAATAGACACTATTGCAGACCCAATTGATTGCTCCTAGCCCAACCAGCTGGACGGCAAATGTGCTGATCTGTGGCGTCAGATCCTGTTTTGCAATCTTTCCTCCTCCAAATAATGTGAACGTGTTGAAGATCTCGCCCAAGACTACGGAGAATATGGGAACCGAAAGACTAGAGACGGCAGTAAATGTAAATCCTCCTATGAGCACTGGGTAATGTTTGGTTGTAGTGAAGCTGAACAGCGACATCCACCTCGGCTTTCGATGGATGAAGCGCCTGGCGCCGGCAAGGAGGGCTGCCATGATGAACTATACAAGCTGACCAAGATGGAAGATCTTCAGTTGCGCTTTTGGCCTTCGGCTTCGATAATTAAATACCGCGTAAACAGACATAATGGTGCGTAAGAGAAATGATGATCTAGGGCGTGATATAGAGAGGAACATAAGCAGGCGATGAACACGCAAGCCAAAAGGCTTCCAAGCACTTCTTAGCATGTTAATGTAACAAAGAGCTACGCTCGTTTTCATATTAGCCCGTCTGGTCAGATATCAAGCATTTTCCATATGCGGGCATATTGTAGAGGAAAAGAACAATGGGTTACGTTGCCATTGTTCTCGGGTACACGGAAATAAATTTAGTGGGTCAACCACAAGTCTTTCTATCCATCACTTCATTCCAAAGCATTGATTCAGCTCGGTATATGTACAGGTATCCACTCCGGTAGTAGCACCCTAGGGTACCCGGTCGAGGGGCTATCCCCACTCTTTTATAGGGTCATATACACTATGCTGGACCACCCGGATGAGACCTATGGGCCAAGGTACTAAAGGATGGCTGTCGAACCCAGTGACTCGAGTCATTGCATAGTCTCTAGACGCTAGCAAATCAAATACGGTAAAGGCCCGGGTGAACCATTCCGTCTAGCCGTCGTTCCTGCACGGCCCAGAAAAGAAGCGCAGCTTCAGATTTATTTCTTAGCCTTCTGTGCGCGCTCGTAGATCCAGTCGTTGAGACCAGCACGGTTTCTAATCCATGTATAAGTATCCAATTGCTGTCGGCGCTTATCCAAACGAAAGGACTCACCTGGCGATCTCAATGGCGTAAAACTGCATACGCATGGCTATCCTTCTGTTAGCTGGCGTTCCACCCCCCCGACAAGCCACACAGCCATGTATCACCTACCAAAGATCGTGGTATCTCTGTCGTATTCGACGTTGGGGCTAGCACGCAGCATGGTTCCGAAGTTGAAGTCCTCGATAATCTTCTCATACTGGTTGATCCAGTTACGCCACTTCTCCTTGCCCTCCTTGCTCTTCATCTTGTCTTCGTTAAGCGTCTCGGCAGGGTCAAAGTCGGGGAATTCCTTCTGGAAAGACTCGAGGATATCATCGTCCATCTTCGTCAGGCGGAGTTGCGAGCCGGGGACCTTCTCCAGAATCGACCAATATGTCATCAGATGTTCAACAGCTGCATAATCGTGAGTCATGAGACGAGTTCGAAAAAGAGATGTCCGGACCAACCCTTAACGGCAAACTGCTTCTCCATCTGCACGAAAAGTCAGCATTCCTGGTTGGGTTTCTGAATAGGCGATCCGGGCGCAAAGGCGACATACATCCTCAAAGTTCTCCGCCGTCTCTGGATCAAAAGGCTTCGACATCTTGGCGGTTGTGTGGGCGATAAATAATAACACAAGAAGCAAACAATATCAGAAGAGGAATGTAGAGGTAGAAAAGATGTTCTATTCGCTGGCTAACAGTCAGGGTAGTCGAGGAGAAATCGAAAAGTGAGTTGCCCCGCGCCCAACTCTTTTTTCCGGCAGGCGGAGAGATTTTTGCGCCGCCGCCCTTCAACCCCGCCGCTCGCGATTCGGGCCCGTACGTCATTTACAGATCTCTAAGAAAACACTACGCATTCAAGACTTTTGAAGTATGTACGGTCGGGTTTATCTACATGAATGGCACGATAGTTACGACATAAACTGCTCTATTTCGGCCTGCGAAGCTACTCACTTTGCTATCTAGATTGCTCGCTGTCTGAGAAATGCCATGTCCGGCTAACTAATCTGCCTCTGCCGCTTATTAATTGAATAGCAATTCACAGCGATGCTAGATCATACTGGAAAGCTCCAGAATATGGAGGACGAACGCAAACGCCTCTCAATGCTCTTCCGACGGACAGTCTTCAATCCAAGCAAGTGTAACGTACTGATTCCCGAACGTATGAAGTCATCAGGATCGAACAAAGAAATGAAATCTCTTATCGGCAGCGGACAGAGATTCGACTATGGTACAGGGATAAGCAATGTAAGGAAACGAAGAAGATTGTCTCTAGTCACTATCATCGGAGTCGGGCAACTCTTCAAACCGCCCTTCATGGAGGGCGCGCGTGACAGGATTTTCCACCTGGAGAATGCCGTTCGCCTTGGCTCTGTTACGAGAGTTAGCAATCACTCGAGCAAGTAGAGGAAGGGTGAGGCTTACCGCTCAAACAGCACAAATAATCTCTCTGCCTCTCTTTCCTTCTCCTCCTTGGTCATAGGAGGGCCCTCGTCCTTCTTCTCTGCAGCCCACTTCTGGCCAGTTATAGGGTTAATTTCTGGATCGAAACCGTTCGGGTTTGTTGCAAATGCTTCGCCCGCCGTCTTGGGAATTTCCATGCCGCGAGAAGCTAGTAGTCCAGCAGCGAACCCATATCCGATGTTCTTCGTAAGGTTCTCGGCGTCTTTGCCGGAGAGCACAAACATAAGCTCGGAAATAGCGGTCTTCAGATTAGGGTAGGGTGTGGTCGACAGATTGAGTAACTTCGATGAGAGAGTGTCCGATTGTCCAATGGGACGGCTCCTATCATTGTCTTCGGGCAGGAGAAGCCATTGCATATATTTACGGGGGCCGTCTGGGGCCATCTCATGAATGACCACTAGCGTATGGAACAGGGGTATAGCCTTGGTCTCCAGCTCATCAGGACCGTATGCGGACACAGCTTGATCCAGTATGTTGATCAGCTTGTCAACATTGCAGTTCTGATTGAACGTGGGGAAAAGAGGGCTACTGTCGAAGACTTTGCCCTTCTTGTTCTCCAAGTCAAGAGTGGATAGGCAGTTAAGGAGATAGCTGAGGAGGCCTTCCAGAGGCTTTGGAGGGATATCGATGCGATTGATCATCTTGAAGAGGTGAGGGATCGAAGCCGAGAATGTCGCGGCCAGATCAGAATAAATCTTTGAAACATTGAAGATGAGTTTCAAGGTATCAGTAAGGGCCAACTCGTCCATCTGCGACAGAGACTTTTTGCCGGATTTGGGGAATTGTTTAGCGTGTCGGACAATTTGCTGTATTCGATTAACATTATCATACTTATGCTTAGGCAAGATACGCATTAGCTTACATAGTTGACATTTTCACCTAGAGAGTGGTGTCTGATAAGATTGTCAAAATCCATAGTGGTGTCATAGGTAGACAGGAACAGGATCCGACTGATCACCATCTCATCCTCTGAGGAATCACACTAGCTGAAGGTCAACTTCTGCACGAGCTGGCAACACAGTGAATGGGCATACCTTGAGCCTCTCAGCTAATTTACCTCCGTAGCCTGTGTCCACGAAAAGCTGGCGCATCGATCCATCTAAGAGGAGGGCATTCGCGACGCAGCGTAGAGCGGCACGTCGCACATCCGGGGAATCCCCATCAACACCATATCTGGCTAATAATTCAATACCCTCTTTAGAGTAGATAGGATGGGCATGATTGGGGTTAGTCCCGTGCTGCCTCAACTCCAGGAGTGTCTGCACGCGTTCTAAGGCACGCAGGTGACGAGGTCAGATCGATACAGTTTACATTCCCTGTTAACTTACCCTTCGAAGTGAGAGACTTCGCCTCGAGGTCCGTTCTGAGAGAGTCCAGTAATTTAGTGACTCGCTGCAACTTCTCTAGAAGCTTGTTAATTGCAATCTATACAATGAAGTGGCTTGCACATACCTTGGCCTTGGAGCGGCCGGAAATCCATGGTCGACGTTTGCTTTAGCGCAGTTCTATGCGCCGGAAGTGAAGTGTGTGTCAAGGGGCAACTGCTGGCTTGGAATAGCCGTCTTACGGGGCGCGGTGAACCCCTACTAGTCTGTCCAGTAAGTCCCACTTGGATTGGGCTTGATCAAGTTGCAGCGAAAGCGGGTATCCGCAATTAAAAGCAGAATAGTTGGAGAGGCGAAAACGAGAGTAAGAGGCTATCGGATGATTTGAGGTATCTTCCTTCACTGATGGGTTATGGTGAATTCTGGTGCTGAGAGCAGCGCAACGGATAAGGATAGGAGCTAATGTTGCGCTGATGAATAGAGATCCGCAGCGCAATAAAGCACAACCCCACCGGATAGCACTAAGCGGCTGCACAGTATCTCCGCAGTCTGTACTTGCAGCAATGGTATTAGACACAAGGTTGATGAGACGGACAGATGCCAATGTATACAGTTATTAGTCAGTATTTAAGTAGACCAAACTTACATTGAAGTCTCGTTCTGGGTTCGAAAACAACCACCTGAATGGGGGGGAGAGAAGAAAATTGAAGATAATAACTAAGAATGGGGGGTGACCAACTCCGGTTCATCTCCGAAGGCTTCTCCGTGGTGCCTGAGTGCCTTACTGCCTCGGGCATAAAACGCGGCGCTGCCACTTTACGCGTGGCTCAGCCACAGGCGCGTCTTTTTGAGTTGCGTGGCTTGGCGCGGCCCCGGTAGGATCAAACTGGCACGGCTATCCTACTTTCACCAGGGCTTCTATCCTTGCTTGTGCTTGTCGACAGCTTCGGTCTGGGTCATGGACAGCGTGGTTTCTAGCTAGGCTGTATCGCGATGTTCCTTCTCTCTCTCCCATTCTTGTCCCCGTTCTTTTTGTCGTCCGATCTTGTGAAATATGGTGGAGATTCTCGGTCCTCTGTCTGCTCGTCCGCCTACTCCACCTAGGACATCATCTCGTATGCTGTCTGAAAATGATCGAACTGAAGATTCTCCGGTAGTTGTACACACACCTCGCGACTCTCCTTTTTCCGTCAATGGCTCAACTGGCGCTCCGTCAAGTCGACAATCCAAGCGCGTGAACTTCTCGCCATGGACAAGATACATCAAACCTCCCTCGTTTACCAATTCCGCCGCGAAGTCCAAATCTGACCTGAAGTCCCTGCCTCCCTCGAACGAATGCAAACCTACAAAGTCTATCCTCAAACCGACCACATCTCACTCTGCTGCCAATTCGCCGTCTGCTGAACCCCAAGCACCCATATCCTTCGCCATGCTTTTAGAGTCGATTTTACAACAGCT